GTTGATCAATATATTCATCATCACATTAGGGCTTCCAAAGTCCAAATTATACCAGCAGTTGAGTTAGTGAGGGGGAAAAAAACAAGATGAGAAATTGCATTTTCGTGTTGGGGGGGTTGAGGGGGGGGGGTTTGGGACGGAAACCAAAGTGGCAAAGTGGCCAGTTCTGGGATCAATTTCTACTTTACAGAAAGGAAAATCTTTAAATGATCCTTCTCTCATGTGCTTTCATTGGTTATTTAGGTGGTTCTATTCGAAGGTTGGATGCTTGGTTTTAAACCACTTCCAATGGAAGTCGTCCGAGCAGTTGATCCTCAGGTTAGAACAGTGAAGTTTTATTTATTTATAAGTATCTCAGGATACTCTTCTTACAGGTCATTTTATCCATATGGTATTTGACATTGTAGCTTAAGCTTTTTGTTTTTTTCTTTACAGCTAGAGATCATAAATAAGAATCTTGAAGCTTATTATGATGCATGGGACAAGTTTATTAAGGCATGGGTAGTCATCAAGATTCAGGACCCTCGTTATGTCTACCATTGGCGTTTGCAGGTTGCTTGTTAAATTTAGCACGAGCACACACTGCTGTCAAAGAACTCATTTCATAAGCTGCATTTTTCACCAATGTCATGGGGTTTTGCAGGCAGAGATTGCCATGAGGGAGGCAGGCAACCCTGGGATGAGTGATGAGGAGGTGTGCTTTCATTTTCATCAACATAATAAATAATTTTGAAATAATTCAAAGCAAAGTTCGCATTATAGGCTGAAGCTTTTTATGGTGTTTATGTGCAGGTTAAAGATTTCGTTTCCCGTTACCTACCTGCATACAAGGCTTATCTTCCCACCCTTTATGCTGAAGGACCCAATGGTTCAGATCCGGAGAATCTCCTTGTCATCGAAATTGATGAAGGAAGAAATCCTATCCTTGGTTATTAGGCGACTTGACGATCTCCGAGTGAAGATAGCTCTGAAGTGCCGATTTTGATTTCTTCAAATGATGTAATGTAATTTTTTGCATGGGCGTCTGGTTTTTGTCTGGATCATTCAGGGGAACATTCAGGTGTGAAAAGCAAACGTAATTAAATATATTATGTAACATAACATGGTCGCTCAAATGAATGGAAAATCTTATTAAGCCTCTTGTTTGTGTGAACTTGAAATCATGGTGTATATGGGAAATTGGGAATGGCCGAAGATGCCCTGGGTAGCAGTAGCTCCCTTTAAGAATTCCAACTTGCTCAAGGCAGCAAGAAATTATTGTTCTTTTGACTGTGTTAAAAGCTGATGAGTTCGTCCCATGACGAGTTTTTTTTTTTTACTTCCCCTTTGGTGGTGAAAATTTGTATGGAAATGCCAATGTTGCTTTTTATTTTTATTTTTTCTCTTGAACTTCCTCCAACGCCAAAATTCAGTAAATCAGGATCTCATTTGAAACAATCAATTGGCAGCATAATTTTAAATAATAACCGTTACGTTATATAACGATCGTTATATAACGGTTTCAAAGCATATGATTATTGTTATTTTAGTATTATAGCAAGTCGTGACTTACGATAACAACTACAATCGTTTTTTTAATCATTTACGATTTAAAATTATAATTGGCAGTTTGGCACGTACCCCTCAATTCCTCCAGTGGTGGATTTTCTTTTAGAACAATTTTGGGTTTTGGCTACCATTTCCTGCTGCCAAAAAAAAAAAAACAAATTATGGGAGAAATTATGCAGTTTATCTCATAAAACACACATTTAATCAACAAACAAACCTAACTGTTAATCGAATACATCACACATGGATCACGAAACTAATGTTACAAAGAACTTGAAAAAAAAAAAAAGATTCAAGTTTTTATATGCTCGTGAGACAAGTGGCAAATTATGGAACAAGGAAATCGGAATTACTTTCATCTTCCTTTTACATCCATTTCTTGGACTAGCGATCATCTAAGCACAGCAGCAACACTCCACACAGCACTCGCAAGTTTCATAGCAGCAACAGCAGCAGCATAGAGCGAACAAGCTGTATCACATGTACACACATCAAAAACTCCATGGAATTAGAAAAACATACAGACAAAAAAGCAATCAAACAGTACAGCAGCTGTGAACTAGTTAAGAGAACAAAAAATACTAGAAGTGCTAAAAAGAAGACAGAAGGAGATGGATATTATAGTACAGACAAGGCATAGAGACAGCCTTTGTCCTCATGGCGTCTCTTAACGTGATCATAGTAGGACATCTCTTGCTGTGATGGCGCATCCATTTCTGCAGCACTATCTCTTATGTGTTGATTATTGGATAAAACACACAATAATACGAATTTGGGATTCAAAATATATAGACAAAAACACAGGGGGTCTAAGATAAACGCGAAAATGGCTTCCCATCTGCCACCATTGATTGTGGTAGTTAGTAGAGAGTAGCTAGGATATGGTCCCTCTTCGATATTTTTCTAAAAATAATCTTAAATAATCCAGCTATACTTGAGAAATGTAGTATGTATGTTTATAACCTGCCGCGTGATGGTGTTTAATGTCCTGTCCCGCAGGTAGTTGTACGTAAGTGTTAATGTGTTCCAATGCTTGTTAGGCCCTGTTTTCCTCACTTTCTAATGTTTTGCCGCACTTCAGAAAACCAATCAATGGATTTTTTTTTCAATTAAAGGGGGAAAAAAATAGTACATAGAGAGGAAAGTGTTTCAAATTTAAAAATAAAGGAAAACGGTATTCCCATAAAAATATTAGAAAGTGAGAAAAAATATATTAACAGATATATATTTATAAGTTTTTTTTTGCCTTCAAAGCTTTCATAAAAACATTTTAGTTTCTATTTTATAAAGTTTGTGCAATTAAATCCCTACATTTTATTATTATTAATTTTTTCTTTGAAATATATTAGTGGATATTAATAAGATAAAAAATGAATATTCATGTTATAAAACCATATATATATTCATCCTCATTCGTCTCAATATTTATTGAACATTTTTATCAAATGGGTATTTATTAGATTGCGTAAAGCGGATATACACTTTATACCCGATGTATTGTCATCTTTACACGTAACTCCTATAAAAGACATCATTTCATCATCCTTCTATAAAAACACACACACACATATATATTGATGATTTTTGAACATCAAATTATTTTCTAAATAAGTTCGTTTCAGAAAATCAAACAAAGGATCAAAATGACACTCATTTCAGAAATTCATCTCTCTTTCTGTAGTCACCATTCATTATTTTTTAAGTATACCTTGTTCTCCATAAATTAATAAACATGCAACTTGCTTCTTACTGAATATCTTTAAGTGAAAAGGATAGTTTAGGCACAAATAAAATACTGGTTTTCTTGCAAGAAATTCTTTCCCTCTATTAAATCTACGAAAATTGAGAAGCAAAAAGGGACTTGTAATAAGAACTCAGTCACAAACATTCATTTTCCCTTGATGATTCTATTCCTACTTGTTTCTTTCTTTTGGTCATTATGTTTTTTATTCTTGCTCTTCGGTAAGCTAATCTACTTTTGCTTTATTCTTTGATCTAAGCATGCACATTCTAAAAAGCAAAAACCACCCTAATTGTGTTGCACATTAATCCTCGTGGAGAAAACTACAAATTTATTCTTTTATTAATTTTATATTTGAATATCCAATTAATTTGCAATTTAACTTATTTAAGTTACTCACATTTAATTTTTTTTTTTTCCTAATGAGATGCCTTTGTCCCATTATGTCAATTAAATGGTGATGTAACTATTATATGTGCCATATGAAAAAAAAAATGGACTAGAATTAGAAAAAAGAAAACAAATATTTAGTATCCAATCTCTTAGTAAATTTATATTTGAGTGTTCTATTTCTAATTCTATCTAATTGAATACCTATAGCTTCTTCTTCTTCTTTTATGTTTCTAATTAGGAATTCTTTACGACTTATGTTAGAAACGTGATAACACGATCAATATCTCTTACCAGGTGGAAAAAAAGGGTTCTAATTGGGAAAAAAAAAAAAAAGAAGAAGAGAAAATGAAGTGAGATTGTCAAAAAAATAATAATAATAAATAAAATATTGGGGGCATTAGATGTTAGAAACCATTCCGAGGGAAAACATTGGTTGACAAAATGACGTGGGAGGTTGATAAATGGACAAATGTCAACTTGATGGAGGTGCATTACCCGCGGAAAAAGCAAGGGAGCGGATTCATGGAAGTCTATCAAACCCATTAAAGCTTCCTAGTAAGGGGAAACTGACACGTGGGGTTCACGTTTCTCAATTTTATTAGCAGTAGCTGGCTGAAAATGAACGGGTTGAATAGAAAAGATAAAAGTTGAGCATCTGCTTCTTAGTACTGTTGTGTTGTTAGTAGAAAGCAATGTTTGCAAAAGTAACGCTTGATAATTCAGCTGGCTGAAAAGATAACGCTCTTGTATTTCCAATTAGTCAAATAAACACAAATTTTCAATTTTAGTTATTTGAGTACAGTTTTGTAAAATTCATAATTCTTATATATACCTTAAAAATCAAATGATAATATAACACACATATCTATGAATGTAGATATATAAACATGCATTCTCTACTATTATCAAATTCAGTTATACAAACATTCAATTTAAAGAATAATGCTTTGCAAACAAAAAAATCAAACAAGGATCTCGTAAAAATTGATGGAGCAATCACTTTTTTTTTTTTTAATTTTATTCATCCGAAACTGCAGCGATAGCAATGACAATCCAAATATCATATCTATATATATATATATATATATACGAAAAAGTATATTAAAATATTGAAAATTGGGAGAGTCCACACCATCCATATCGTGCACTCTGCATAGGACTACAATGCAATTCATATATAGATGATTACAGATTGGTCTCTCTTATTTCTCCATTTCTAATCAAAACCTTCAACTACAAGAACCTAATGGTATACAAAAGGCCTCTGTACAGCATTTATATCATGACTCCAAAGGAAGCTTTATCAAAGCTGGTTTCATCAACTCGAGCTTGAGCATTTTGAAGCTGTCCTCGGAGCTGTAATTAACAATTATAAAAAGAAGAAGCATATGAGAAAACAGTATAGTTTACATGTTTCCGAAAACGGCAAAGCATAAGTTAAATTTCCCATCAATATTATGGAGAAAAAACGTATAATGCGTCAAACAACAAAATAACCGTATCAATCAAAATGGAATTAATGCTAATCAAAGGCATTTCTTTTCTTTTCTATTCAGAAAATTAAAAATATTTTCTCCATCCATCTATTAGGCAATGTATGAATTGATCGAGATTAATGCTTCATCCTTGTAAAGAGGTGATTAATCAAATAATGTTTTAGAAATTTATGCTAGTTCATATATATGAATAAATCATGTTCATCATCATACATATCCCTGTACGTAGTTCGAATGTCCAGAAATCATATTGAAATATACTCTCTACAGCACAAAATATATAGATGCAGCTAGACGGAAAACGGAATTTATAGATTACCTAATCCAGTTGCCTCTGAGCTTTTCATCAACCGCAATCGCTTGCATGATTCAACAAACATTCTGTAAATAATAAATAATAAACGAAGTTAAACATAAATACATGGAAATGCAAGATTTTTTTAACTAAAAAAAAAACATGAAAATGAAAGCACCAATAATTAATTAAAATTAAAAAAGATAAAAATTCTCAATTGTTATTAATTAAAGAGGTTGCTATAGGTATTTCAAGGGCATTTTCCGGAAGCTTACTTCCATGGTACATCCCCCAACATCATCCAGTCACCGTCCCTGTCCTCATAAGTGGGTACATATTCTACTCCGCTATTATTCACTTCCTGATCCGTAATTTTCCTCTCAGTCAAATAATTGCCTGCAACAACAATTCACCGATAAGTAAATGACTAAGCTGCCCTTTTAAAATACATTAAAAAAAATAATACATACTGATTTTTAATTATACATACGTATAGTGAAGCTGAAGCATGAGAACAGGTCCTCTAGGGCATTCAAGAGCTGCTGATAGCTGTTGTACATCTCAAGGTCAACCTTTCTCAGATATGGAGCTCCATCTACAGCCACCTTTACGTATTTACAGCTCTTCATTGCGTTCTTTCTATACGCCCTCACCGGTGGCCACCCCACCACTTGTGACCTAAAATTAAATTAATCAACCCATAATCAATTAAAGACTTACTCTTAATTATTTAGCATTTCTTGGAACAAGCATGAATTAGCTGTAATTTACCTATGTATTAAAGTATATATCACACACATATTTAACTTAGTTGAGAATTTAGAAATTAAAATCACATATTTTTATATGTGATACTAAAAAATGTACATAATTTTGAATCTATCACACATGGAGTAATTTTTGTATCTTACTTTGCTGCCGGAGGTTTGGCCACGCTTGACACATCAGTTTCGGACTCCCCGGAATCTTTGTTACGATCATAATCAACATTAGACGACCTTCCAAGATTTAGATCAACAGTCTCCAAAAATCCACGCTTGCCACTTGCTTTCTCTACTAATGTTAGCCCACGAGACTCACCGGGCATCCCTAAGGTCAACTCTGTCTCCTTGAAACTAACGTTGGCTGCATCGGATTCCAGCAAGTTTGAACCATTTTCCGGTGACATTTTCTTTATGGTACTATCTGGAAAGTATGGATCGATGATGATAAATTCTAGCAGTGCACTTTAATGTGTTGATATGCAAAAGCGAGGCCCAAAATTATATGACTTGACAACTATGGCAATTGTGGGTTAATATAGGAAGCTGGCCGGCAAAATCATTCAACCACTCTCGGATTGACACGTGCATTAAAAAGAAGCGGTTGCGATTTGTCCATGTAGGTAGGTGACAGAATATATTTGAGTAGGAAGCGTGTGATTTTGAGTGCTTTAAAGTTTGGCCCATTTGGTCGGTTGGTCCGACCGCGTCCTTCTCATTTGTACAGTTCAGAGTTTTCTTCTCCCTCTTTTTTTTTTTTTTTGTTTGTTTGTTTTGATTTTGTGTTGCTTGAGGTAAAGGTCTGTATCAAACATCGAAGTTGACTTGATCAAAATGTTGATTTTACGGTTCACCTCCTCCTTTGTGTTGTATTGGGAAATAATATAAATCATATAATGATATTTCATTTCAAAATTTAAGTTTTTAAATGAGATAATCCTTTAATATGATATTAGAGTTTGATTGACTTTAAAGATATCGAGTTCAAATTTCAATATTCATAATTTTTTAAATATTAAGCATAAAATAATATGGATTTGTATAAGTTTTAAACCCAAATGTTTGAGATTTCATTTAAAGAGGTGTATTAGAGAATAATATAAATCATATTTTTATATGAAATAGTCTTTTAATGTAGTATCGAGCTTGATTGCCCATGTGGTATTGAGTTTAAGCTTTTAGGTGAGATGATTCTTTAATATGGTATCGGAGCTTGATTGACTATGTAGTATCGAGTTCAAGTCTTACTATAGCCAATTTCTCAAGTATTAAGCACAAAGCAATGTGGATCTATGCAAGTTTAAAACTCAAATGTTAGGACTTTCACTTAAGCAAGTGTGTTAGAGAATAATATAAATCATGTTTTTAGGTGAGATAATCCTTTAATATGGTATCAAAGCTTAATTGACCATATGGTACCGAATTTAAGTTTTTAAATGAGATAATCCTTTAATATGGTATCGTAGTTTAGTCGACCATGTGATATTAAGTTTAAGTCTCACTATTCTTAATTTTTTAAGTATTAAGCACAAAACAATATGGATTTACGCAAGTTTCAAACTCAAATGTTAAGGCTTTCACTTAAAGATGTGTGTTAGAAAATAATATAAATCATGCTTTTAGGTGAGATGGTACTTTGTTAATGGAATCTTTTTTCCCTGAATATTGATCAATTATTTCAAGCTTAATCTCGTCAGACTTTAATCTACGATTAAACGAATCCTCCACTAATTCTTTCTGCAACAGTACTCTCATATCTTGTATTTTAAACATATAAACTCTACTTTGTTTGATTAAAAGACAAGTTTTAATCAAATCATTATGAATTCTGTGTTTTTCTTTTAATTTTGATAACCCATGCATCATTTCAATAACATTCAAGTAAATTTTTAAAGTGGAAAATGTCGGACTTCAGTTCAAATTTTTATAACATATTAAATATCCATCGGCAATGTAAATTCATTTGAAGCAACTTTTTATTTTTTCTCAAAAAAAGAACACAAAATTTCAATCCAATTTTTTTCCATAGAAAGTATTTTCTTAAAAACAAGTTAGTTTCTATTAAAAAAAAATGAAAACTTAAGTTAGTCTTCTTATTATTAATATTGTCCACGAATTTAAATATTTTATTTTTTTCTCATAACGGATGTTATTGGATTAGTTTTTTTCTATTGAAAACATTTTTTCCAATCTGCTTTTTAGTGGATGACTGTCGTATTTTATTTTTTTAACGCGATCTTAGTCTCCACCTTAATTACGAGGTAGAGTTTGGTAAAATTATGTTAATTACAGTGAAGCACAAACGAGGCAGAAGCAGGCGAGATTGAACGCAGCGAGACGCTCCTTAACACGAAAAGTGGTATTGAGTGGAAGACGTCATTAATCTGAGGATACAGAATCAAACCACCCTGAGCACTGTCGCTCGCTCGTGCGTGGAAGGTCGTTTAAAACAAGAATATGGGACCCATATGTCTGGGTTCTTAAAGTACAAGTCAACTTTTCTTCGAAAGAAGTCCATGTGCTAGTGCTCTGCCCACGGGATTAAAAAAATTTAAAAAAAACGAAAGGCGAAAAAGAAAGACACGCTAAAAAAATCAGAAATTAGGATATGGGTCCCACAAACAAACATGTGATCATGTTTTTCTTGGTCGGCCCTTGCTTCCTCATGATTTTCTTTCTTCTTTCGTTAATCAATGACGGAACCGACACGTGTCTGGTTGCGTCAATTTCACCCACTAGTTATTTCTTCAAGGAGCTTTCTCGAAAAATACAGGAACGTGAAAATTATGTTTTCGTGAGAAACGAACTAGCTAGTGGACAGCGAAAATAAAGTGCCAAAATATTATGTTATTAGAATGGAAAATGCTTGACGACACACAGAGTAAATTTAAAAAGTAAAAAATTTAAAAAGCTAAAAAGTTAAATGACATAATATTTATTGAATTTTTTTTATTCTTAAAAAAAATACTATCTTTAAAAAATTATGATGATTTTTTTTTTTACGTTATTGATATCATGTAGCATTACTTGACAATATATTAAAGTTTTTCTTTTATTTATTTTGAGAATTGCATAAACCTTATTTTTCATTGTCATTTATTTTAATATGAAGATATTTTGATCAATTTAAATGGAACCATACGAAAAAATATGATAAATTGAAAAATAATTTTATATTTAAAAATTAATTGATAGCAATTAAACTTGTACGCATTGGAGACATAAAAGTGTAACGGTAAAAAATTCAATTGATTCTCTTATTAAAAAGGACTACGGATGGCAATTTGTCCTGTCTCGATGGAGTCCCGTCCCGCCTCATGTCAATTTTCTTTTATCAATGCAAGGATTTTTCACGTTTGTTAGGTTGATCAGGGGACGATGATGGGATTTGTCTGTCTCGTCTCGTTTGTTTTTTTTTCATTAAAATTATAATTATATCCCATATAAAATCTATAATTAATAACTTTTTAAAGTTTATTTTCTATATAAATTTATCATTTTTTACTATAATTTAAAATTTAATAATAAAATTAGATAAAATGAGACGAAAAAAAAAATCCTTTTACGTCTCATTTGGGGTGAGGAATTTTTACCCTGGTCGGGGCATCGGGCAGGGAAAGGGATGGGAAAATTTGTTCAGAGGCAAGGTCGGGATGGGAAAATTTTTTTAAGGGTCGGCAGGTCCCCGCTCCGCCATTGCCATCCCTAAAAAGGACAAATTCTAAAATGTCTTTCCAAAAAAAAGTAATGCCTTTTTAAAGAATTTAGTGTCTTTTATGGTATTTTCTGCAAATTGTTCTTTGAACTTTATAAAATCAACACACCAACGTTGCAATTCGGTATCGGAAACCTGGTCGTCTAATACCCCAAAAAAATATATGCCAAATTGGTGATTTGATCACTGAATTCGATGACTAGAAGTCACCCATCGTGTCATTCGTAAACACAACGGGAAATGCAGAAGCCATGAGTACTCTACCTGAATTGTCTAAAATCAACTTGCGCAGTCAACCTAGATGTCTCACTTTATAAGCTACTTTCTTGGTTTATGTCCACATCATGGAAATCATATTTAATTTTGATGTGGAATGTTAGATTCTTTTCGCTTATCGACCAACTTATTGATTAGAAAGATGTAAATAAAAATATTTGATCATTTGAATTCTTTTCCTTACTCGGAACGCACGCCTAAACATTTTTATTTTAAAAAACTACAATCTAAATGTTTTTTTTTTCCGTTTAAATATCTAATTGGTAATTTTTTATTTAAGTGCTCAAGTTTTGATTAACTATAATTTGAGTATCTAATTTTTTATTATATTTTTTGTTTGAGTGTATAATGGTATAATGTTTGATTTTTGTTTTTTTTAATCTCTTTGAGTTCTTTCAATCAACTAAACTTATAAAATACTGATTTGATATAAATCTATTAAGACGCAACAATCTTCGATTGACATGTAACAAAAAATGAATTCTACTTGAATTTATTGAGAAAAATTATAAAACTTTTATAGAATAAAATTTGTTGCCAATAATTTAAAAAAGTCAAAATTAATTATTGTTAATCAAATTAACTCGAGAAATTTGCTGACAAATTTCTTAAACACTTACAACAGATCATCATCTTTTTTTTTAACCTAATCCAAGATTTTTAATCTTGGATCATCTAAATAATTCGAATTAATTTCACTAACACTAATTGATTTTGATTTTTTTTCTTTTTAATTCTTACCAATTATTTTTTTTATAAAAGTTATATTTTTTTCTTAATAAATTTAAATGGGATCCACCTAACCACATGTTAGTTAAAGATTATCTTGTATTAATAGATCATGCCCGTGTCAGTATTTTTAAGTTTAAAGTGACCAAGAAAACTCAAATAAAAAAAAATAATCAAACGTTGGAAACTTAAATAAATAAATAATCAAAGATTAGACATTCAAATTGTGTTTTTTTAACAATACAATGGGACCCATTTTTTGGTTATGTGTAAATAAGATATTTGATAAATTGAATTCTTATAGTTACAAGGAATTAATGCACACCTATTTGTTTTAATTTATAAAAAAGCATTGCAATTTGAATGTATAATTATTTTTTTCTATTTGAATGTCTAATCCATGAATCTTTTTATTTAAATGCTCGAGCTTTGATTATTTATTTCTTTTCTGTTTAAATGCCCACAATCATTTTAGATCAGAAAATAATGATACATTTAGGATGAAGTGCCATGTAGTTAAGAAAAAAGTCTCCATTCGATTATTCATAAGAAAAAAATTGCAATTTGAATGTCTAATCTATGATTTTTTTTTTTTTTGAGTGTCCAACGTTTTTTTGTTTGTTTTTTTTTTTTTGAGTTCCCTTGGTTACCTAAAACTAAAAAATAATGACACGGTCATAATCTATAAACACACGACAGTATTTAATTGACATGAAATAAAAAATAGATTCCTCTCGAATTTAATTAGAAAAATTATAAAACTTTTATAAAATAAAATTTGATGGCAATAATTAAAATAAATTATTGTTAACTCGAATAAACTTCACAAACTTTTCCGACCATTTTCTCAAAACACTTCTAAGATATCATTATCTAAATATTTTGTTTACCTAATCCAAGAATTTTAACATTGATTCATTTACACAATTCAAATTTATTTTGCTAACATTAATTGATTTTGATTTTTTTTTCTTTTATATATATATATGGGATCCACGTGTTAGTTAAAAACTGCCATGAGTCAATGAATTTCATATATATTAGTACTTTTTAATGTTACGTGACTAAGAAAATTCAAATAGAAAAAAAAATCAAATGTTAGACACTTAAAAAGAACAATAATAATAAGTTAGTCATTCAAATTGTATTTTTTTTAATAATCCAAATAAGATTTACTTTTTATCATATGTTAATTAAAAGCTACCATATAATGATTCATTATGGACACATCAGTAATTTTCAGCCTCATATACTTAGATAAAGTAAAATAAAATTAAAACTTATACACTTAAACATAAGGATTTATCTGTTGAACATTCAGAAAAAAAAAATCTCAAATTGCAATTTTCTATTTTAATTTATTTATGTTGAGAGATACCCTTGATGACTGTTATGCATTTGTATTTATCTATGTCAAATAATTATTTTAACTTAAAAACTTAAATTATTGGATTAATTTTTAAAAATAATTTATATTATTTTATAATACATATTTTTATGTAAAATTTCTTCAAATTTAGGACATATATATAAAAAATATGTCTAATATGAGATTTGAATCACGACAAAGAAACAACGTACTCCTTAACAATTAAGACAACCCTCTCAGATTTGCTAACAACTTCTTGAAATTAACCTCGTTAAGCGTTGGGAAAAAAAAAAAAACGTTAAAGGTACATGTCCGTAGGGACAAATAGCTTTAGCTATATTTACCTTTGGCTTCACTCAAGCTGCTGCGAAATCCAAGCAAGTGTGATCATTTTAGTTTTCTTCAATTGCAGATTTTAAATTATTTCTAGCTAGATTTTATATTCACTATGTACTTTTGCAAATTAAGCACATATCAAATTTCCTTGTAAATACTGGGATCTAATGTTTCCACACACACACTATTTTTTTAAATAAATTATAAATTAGCCCATCTCATTTCAAAAAACGAATTAATTAGTCTATCTAATTTTAAAAATCAAATTATTTATCTTTTAATTAGTATTATCATGATTAATTTAATATTTTTTTTATTTTATAAAATGTATTTTTTCATCAATATTTCAATATTTTTAATTTTTTTATTTTAAAAATTAAAATAAATTTAAAATAATAAAAAAGATTAAATAATTAATTTTTACAACCAGATTAATTAATTAATTTGTTTATGGAAGCAAGAGGGACTAATTATACTTTGCTTTTACATTCTGTATTTAATTAGTTATCTTTTTATAGGACATTAAACAGTATTTTTAAATTAGCGTGTGTTCAACTAAAATTAAAATTTTTTTATATGATTTAAATGATGCATTTTTACACCAGTTTAATACATTTACATGAATTTTTAAATTATTTTGAATGCTAAACGTAAAATTTGAATTCAAAAAAAAAAAAAAACTAAATTTTTTAATCAATAGATCAATTCCTTGAATAGTTATTAATTAAACTTGTGTAAGTATATACTTTGTCAAATTTTTATGTAATAGTGTATAAACAGGCTTTCGCCTTTTTTTTTTTTTTTCCTTGTAATTTCGAAGTGAACGTTACCCATTACCTCACGTAACCCACTTTACGAATTTGCAGGCATCGACTATTTTTTTTAATTGACTAGAAGTGACTTCATGCAAAGAATGGCACGAAAACCTTAAAAAGCTGCTTCTTGTTTCGTACTTTTCTTATATTGGGAAGCTAAATTCATTGCAAAGAGACAGTCAAAGTCCCAACAAAAACCATGACTGCGCAGTAGATTAAGGATTCAGAAGCATATGCAAAAGTATAGCTAGAGACAAATAAGGGGTATGGTAGTAGTAGTTAAATAACCCAATACCTAACCATCCTGTTCCTAATTATCATTATCATCTCCATTTACATGGTCCATATTTGACAGTATTCTGTCGGAATTGAACCATAATTAATATGTTAATTTAGTAATTAACTGTATCACGAAAATCCAATCATGCGAGAATGCAGATTAGATTCTGTACCCAGAACAAAGATCATATTATATGGTCGATGAACAAGAAAGACAATCAATCATGTGCATTAATCTTCTCGAAAACAACTAATTCATGCATGAGATCATGAGAACATGGGTCTTTGTTCTAGAAATGCTCCACTTAATTAGTTTGATTGCTTTTATATAATTAAACTAGTTCTTTTCAGTAAACATGCCATTGACCTTGAATTTTTGTCCTAGTTTATGTTGACAAGTTATTTCATCACAATAAAACAACGGGCCGAGTTCTTAACTATATCGAAACATAGTTGGTCCAATTCGAATGATGTTTGATGTATGATTGATTTCAATGTCTCGTTAAAAAAGAATGGTTGAGGGGAAGGAATAGTCAACATATCTGTGATTCCTGACTGATGATTTGAGTTCTCATTTTTCGTCTCCTATCTTTAATTAAATTCTTCCTCGCCACTTCCGTCGGCAACTCGGCATCCCTCATCTGATGGATTTGGTGCTACAGCCCACAGGAGATAGGGGCCCTGGTTGGGTTTCATTATTGATGGAGTTAGTGGAAAGTGCACATTCTGTTGTTCCTCACATGTTCTCCTTTTGTTAAAGAATCTCCAGTATTTACGTACAGATCAGACAAGCACACAGATATCAGGAATTCAGGCCTGCTGTTTTTAAGATGCGGAATTAGTTAGTCAAATACTCGGCATTATTCAAGTGATGGAAGAAAAGATTTGCTCGCATTAGAAGATGAAAAATTAGTGACACGACGACGACTCATTTTGATAGTAATTTAATGGTTTGTTCACCATGTTATGATCATTTAAGATTCTAACTCTACAAAAAAAAAAAAAAAAAAGGTTTAAGGAGGTCATTTCTATTGAATATATTAGTTAGAGTTTATATGAATTCACTTAATTAAGACTCGATTAGAAAAATATTAAATTTTAATACGTGAAATCTAATTCAAAAATATTTTAATTATTAAATAGAAAATTATATAAATATAATGTTATAATTAGTTATTGGCAACCGTTTTCCTTTTTCTGGCGCCTATCTTTTTAATAAAACATTTGTATTTATCGATCATCCATTTATTCTTCAAGAGTGAAAAGAAAAAAAAAAAAAGAACAGTGCATGATAGGCCGCAATGTTAGATATAACTTAAAACATGCTAAGGAAATAATAAGAATAAATATTCTTGATTATTTTTTTTAATTAATAAAAAGAAGAAATCAAGGAATCAAATAACTCAAGACAATCAGAAAATTATTTCAATCATTTAATTAAAATAAATGATCAATCATTTAATATAATTTATTTTATTACATTTTTTTATTTATCTACATGAATTAATTGTAATTCATTTAATTATCCCTACTAGTCTTTTCTATTTTATTTTATTTTTATTACAAAACCAGCTTCTAGAATCGAACACAGCAGTAAAAGAAAGTCTCCCTAGAAAAAATAATTAAAAGCAGTTCGTGATTTAAAAAATGTCTCAACACATATAACAGCATGAATTTATGATCATAAACAAACAAATTGTCTTTCCTAGCTAGGGTTCTATATGTCCCAATTTAAACATAAAAATAGGTCTCACAGGTATGACTTGAGGATGAGTTATCTGTTCTTAATTATGAATAATCACTAATTAAACATAAATAATTATGTTTGCGGAGAAGGCAGTTCAGTCAAATTTTCCCGAGTTCAAAATAATACTGTGGTTTCTTAGTCACGATCATCTTTTGAAATTCCCTTGAGCGAACCTCTTGGCTGCAGTCCAAAGCCTTTGGCTTCTGACCTCTTCATTATCCTTAGCCTCTTGCAAGATTCAATAAACATCCTGTAAAAACAATCATATATAGACTAGTTAGTTTTGTTTCAGGGCGTGCAAAAACATAGATTGAAATGTCATAAACAACTAGCTTTATTCCCCCACTAGAAGTTAATTTACAAAAAATAAAATTATGTCATCGTTTAACGAATAGCTTCCTTAATTTATTCCTAATTGCTATATTCTCATGGAATTACATTGGCATAAACTGACATTAATAAATAATTAAACTATACAATGGAGAAACAAATTATTGTGGAACTTTAACTAAAAATAAGTTCATAATTGAAAGAAAATGTTGCAAGAATAAGTCAATTATAATGATGGATGCCTTGACATCAAGGACGTTATCCCCATCTACCCAACACAATTATAACGAAGTTGCCTATGTCGGCAGCAAGTTGCCCATCATTTCAAAAAAAGAAAAAAGAAAAAAAAAGAATTGTTCAGTACTTTTTTCTCTTGTAAAATCATGAGATTTATGAATTATTCTTACAATAACTTTCATATTTTTGTGAAAAGGCAAAATCTAATTTTTGATCTACCTAACAATATGTCTTCAAAAAAATCGTACACGTACTTGCAAGTTGCAAGACTACTTTTTGCATGCCGAAATTTCCACTACATAACTTTCCACAAATCATGCCGATTATTTTCTCAAATTCACATTCATAGAACAAAAAGAGCAGCATTGCTTACAGTAACCATAAATAATCCACTTAAGAAATTCTTCCAAATTAAAGATTCAAATTAATCCTAGCAAGTATATATGATCGTTAGTGATGCAAACCTTCTGTAATATTATTTGCCAATCTTATGATTAATTATACGTTAGCTTCATGGAGTCAAGTTTGATGGCTTTGATTAATACAATGTTCACGCGGTGGTGCTTAGGTTCAAGCAAGTATCATTACAAACAGATCATCTGCTTTAGACGCACTGGACAAAAAGAGTAATGACTATGAATGGAGGCTCAGGTCAAGAGTAAACATCAACTTATAGGGTCAATTTGACTTGTAACTTACGCAAATGTCACCGAATTTAAGAAAAGACAATCCCTCCAACAAATATAAGGGATATTGGTAGGCAACTTTCAAAAATAAAAGCAATAAATAGACATGTGACTCTTAAGAGGATAGTTAGAACGCAAAATCAAAAGGAAAGATCAAAACAAAAGAGAGAGGTAAAAAGACTGCACACTTGGTTTTAGGCAAAGGGATAGAAGGAAAGAAGATATTGGTGACGAGCCTTTCACTTCCATGTAGGTCCTTTAATTTATATATGATTTTGTAGTTCTTATAAATCAAATACACATGTTTGAAGGGAATTGACATGGGATTTTTTACATGTGGTTTTTTCCCTTAACATTAAACATAAAGTAAAGAATCATCAATAAGAACACATGCATATCAAAAAATTACCTCACCACAGCAGTTTTTTCCCAATTCCCATAAATAGTTTATACGAAACATTGATTTTGATCCCTCGTGATTATATACATGCAGCAGATCACATATGCTCCGGCCACTAGGCAACTAGTCCTACTAATAATTGAACACTACAAATTTATTTATGAACATTAAAAGAACGCGTGATGAGGCGTAATTGAAACGATATATCGTTCTTCTCAGAGAAAAATAAAATAAAATTATTGGTTAGAGAGACTTACTCCCAAGGCACGTCTCCCACCAGCATCCAGTCTCCATCTCTGTCTTCATATATGGGGACGTATTCGCAATCTTCTGCATCCTTCAATGCTTTGCCTGCCAGTAAAATTATTTAGCAAATAATAATGGTAATTTACCTTCTTCTTTTTTTTCAGAATAAATAAAGGATCATATATGTAATAAACTTTTTGTTCTTTTATGTATTCACTTTCAAAATTTTCATGATATTCTAATTAAGCGATACGATACATACAAATAAACGAAATTTTATACAAAGTGATGGATGGGGCAATTGTACTTTACTATTTATGACTCAAATGCACCAATTTGTATAAAAATCTGATATGACTTCTTTACGTACATAGTGTATTCCTTGTTTGTATTTAGATTCTTTTTAGCAATTCGTGGGCCTGAGAGCCTTAATTAAAACAATGAAATTAATCACACAACGAACATGCCGCGCGCGTCAGGCTCCCCCTCACCAATTTACGCATGCTGGATTCCACCCGATTGCTAGGCGGGTGCCAAAAACAAGGTATAACACTGCTCAAACCAGGAGAGATGCCAAAATATTTTGTTGGTAGTGAATTATATTCAAACCTATATAGTCCTAATAGACTGAGATATTGTCAATTAAATTTAGTAAAAACAGCAGTCTTTTCCTCTGAAATGTTTTGGAAACAAGTTCACATTAATTAACACAATAGATAAAACTGTAGAAATTGTTCAATTAACTAAATGGAAAGTATATATGCATGTACGTAGTAGCACTCCAGCTAATTTTCACATTTAGTATACGACTTCTCAAGACATTATTATCTGAGTTATTTCCAGCACAGTTTTTCTACACAATCATGTATAATTACTGCATCATGCTTGGTAAAGGTCCTTATGTTTATTGAGTGGATTGTAGCGCATGACATATAAATGATGGTTTTTATCATTGTATGTATTTCTTTCTCTATATATATACACGCATACATGCATGGTTTATCGATGTAAAATTAACTCTGGCCTAGGCTGTTTATAATTAAACGTTTACTAATAATGCTAGCTAGGTATAATTAAGGAGGCTTAATATGTATACCATGCATAAAACCTAAAGAGATTAACAGTACTGTAATTAAATAGATGATAGAGGACTCACCAATGCCAAAACAGCCAAACAACTTCTCCAACGCGACAACAAGATCCGAATACTCCTTATGCTTGCCCAGATCAATTTTTCGAAGAAAAGGAGCTCCATCCATGCTAACTTTCACGTAAATTTTTGAAGTTTCGTGGCTATCTTTCTCATTGAAACTATTCTTTTTCCGATAGGAACATACTGGTGGCCACCCCACAACTTCACTCTTTGTTTGGATTTTTCGCTCATCGGTTGTGCCGTTTGCTTCGCCGGACACCTCAGAGAAAACCCTTTTCTTGTCATTTCTAGGTCCACCATTGGCCCCAGGTAGACCCAACCTTAGCTCTGTGATTTCAAGTCCCAGAGGTTGTGCCATTCTTTTTTGTCTTTTTCTTGGTGATGGGCAAGGGTTACAGCTTTCCTCTTTTGAGCTTTTGTTAGTTTTTGGCGCTACGGTTTCAATATGTTATATAGTGTTAGTTAACTCTATAATTTTCTCGTGACCAAAACGGTTTATAATCATTTAAGTACATACAAGAAGAGAGAAGAAATCAAAGGAAGGACATAGTGGGAGCAATGACAGGTCAAATAAGGCTCATTGGTCGGTCACATGAGAGGCAAAAGTGGGGACTCTATGCCTCTAAAAACACAATTAAAGGCCAGCACCATAAGTTGGATATGGGACAGATCGTATGGCTGTTAGGTATTAGGTGATTTGGTAGGATCTACCTTAGCCGTCTGATTTGGTGAAGGGAAAACAGACCATGTGATCGGCCTTATTAAGGGGGTTTGCACATTAAATTATAAAGAAAGTACTACAAATTCTCAGCATGATACAAGGGGAATTTGTTTTGCAACATTCATGTCGTCCATGTAATGTTGCTCATTGATAGTCAATTATATGAAATAGAGAAAACAATATTAATTAGAAGAGTGATTAGCCTGGCTATAGTATTATTCATTAGAGTAGTATAAGTTGTTCAATCTTTAAACTCAGAACCAATTCAGATATTTTTAGTTTAGCCAGGCATCTCTTTTATAGGTCCCATGTTGGAGTATTTGCTAAAACAAAACTGAAGTCTCAAATCGAAACGAGATGTTGTCGAATTCGGGAAATCTGATTGCATTACGCAAAAATCTTGAAATGTTCAAAAGATAATGGCTTAAGATCAACAACATCATAATCATGTTAGCATATGGACACAAATACGCTGATCAGGGGCAGTATAATTGCATTTTCCATGTGATATTTTTATTTTTCATATAAATGTAAGTCGTTTCTTATAATTAATGCTTACATGATCATAATAAACAGGCAGATTATCATTCTTGTTAGATCTTTGTCTTAATTAAGTAAGATTGCAAACACACATGCATGATTGCATGTCTATGGCATGAAGTTATTCATCATCATCATCTTCCTTCAATTTGCAACAACAACAAGTATATGTCCATGTATGCAACCTTGTATATGTTACATGTTGAGGAAATGTAAGGACTTAGGTAACAAGAATGGAATAAATTGTCTTGCAAGCAGTACCGAAATGTATGGGAACTTCCAGCAAAGTCATCCTTGCAATTTAAGGTTCCCCGTCAATTCCACAACCGCGTAAACAGTTGTTGTCGAAACTAACTGTCTTACTCCATCATGGGTACCCTGGCTGGAAAGAATGTAGTCCACATTGGCGCCAGTCTTGGAATTTTTAAGAGAAGAAAAGAAAAGATTGTAAGCCCTCTTAATTATAAGCTCTTTTTTTTTTTTTCTTATTGTATATATATTTTCATTCTATATTGAAAACATCAACGATTCTATTCGAAATAGAAACAATAAAGCTAAACTGACTTTAAAATTCAAATTTTATAAAGTAGAGATTAGAAGCTCCCTTATAAATTTCTTTTCTTTAAACAAAACCTTCCTCCTTTTCTTTTTTCCTTTTTACAACAATCTTATTGTGACTAAAATTCGCTCACGAACAACCTCAAATCTGTTATGGGTCTCAAAACGATTTGTGAAAAAAAATTTCGATCGCAAAATTCTAGTCACAAAATAAGCTTTGGGATCAATTTTGGTTACAAAAATATGTGCAACATAATTGATGTAAAGAAGAAGTTACTAAGAAAAGAAAATCACAGGGATATCATCCTCTTTCATACAAAGTAGACAAATTTATATCAATTAATCTAATGAAACAAAATTTATTATGTAAAAAGAAAAAAATCAGGGATTTATTATCAAATTAAGAAGATTAAGGACCGAGCTGTCATTTTGAGATACAATTCAATTTTTTTTTAAGTATTTTTAACTTAGAACACGTCCATATAATGTAAAATTAACGGTCAAATTCGATGACGTTTGGACCACCAATTGACATAAAGGTATAATTATGACAACACATACTACACGAGATTGATGTTAACAAAAAAAAAAAAGTTAGATATGTTAAACACAAAATAAATAGTACTAACTACAGAAGTACTAACACAGCTCTTGACCATCTAACCAATGGTGGGTCGATTGGGCTCCTTTGATTTTTGACCCTCATGATCGGTTGTATCGAAATTGCTTTCAGTCACATCGGGATTACGTGCTAACCAATCTTTAATGGCATTACTGTATTATGCTATCTTTTTATGCAAGTAAATAATTAAAATGTTTGCTATTCGAGAATAAGAATCATGAATTTCATGAAGAACCAATAAGCAACCCACCATGAATCATAAATCAACAATCTTTAGTAACATGGATAAAAATCTTCAACTGCAAAATATGTGCGATCTCATGGATCTCTATTAATTATTATTATTTTTTTATATACAACTTAATTAATACCCTAATAGCAAATGGTCCCCAGGCCATCTCTTTTTTTTTTTTTTTTTTCCTTTTGATAGTGACTAACTAATCCAATTATTAATTAATTAACTGAACTTGCCTCCTCTACAAGTAATCATAGGAAAATCCTCTCTGCCTCTCATAAATAATGCTCTCCTTTCATAATATATATGTGATAAACAACATATATGTATACACATTGATGTATAGTTTACTGATGAAAAAAAAATCATGATTGATATTGATAATTAAAAATTTTTGCACCACTTATTACATTATCTATCACATATCGTTTTACATTTTAAATTTTATATCAAGATTTGGCATTAGCTTTTAACCCATTCTTGATGGCACACATTTCGAAGTTCTAGTCCCCATCTACATAAACAAATATTTATCTTCGTTTTCTTTTTAATATTTGAGAGTGCAAAGATTCAAAACTCTTACAACTGTACTCACATACTCAAAATTTTTAATAAAATTAATATGTTAAGGTTTGAATTCATAATTCCTTATTTTAAGGGATCATTATTATTAAATTATAATTTTTTTAGTACTCTCACAAATGTAGTCTTTTCAGGGGGTGCTTGTATTAACAACGAACTGCTTGTCTTGAATTATTATTAGTTACTGTACCAATGCTGCTTTATGTGTTGATCATCAATATTTATCTACATAAAGCAATAGATCTTACTGAATACAGGAGGGGGTCCAGTGCCCATCATTATGGTTTGTGTCCAAAACTTTGTTAGCAACTACCGAGATAGTTGCCTTCAGTACGTACCACCAATTATTCTTTTCCTTTATGTACAGATGCACTATAATGAAAATTCCTTGGGAATAAATGCAAATGTTTAACTCTTAACTATGTTAAAAATATTTAGTTAGATTATATATGTTCTAATTCAGCTACCAGTGATAATGGAACATAGGCATTTCAGACGTCTCTAGTTTCATAGCAAAAATTTTGTTCCCTTGATTTGAACCCTAAAAATGATTTTTTTATTTTTCTGATAAGTCAAGTAATGAAGTAAATTGATCATTAATAAGGGGCTCCATCCATTTTTGTTTAATCAATGGTTTTCCCAAAAGAAAAAAAAATCAAAAGTTTATTTTTTTCTGCACTACCTAGTATGACGAATAGTTCTATATATCTAGTTCACCCCAACATTTGAAACTCAGACCTACAATTAATTTGAAAGTTTAGAATATGTCTATTTAGACATTCTGTTTCAAAGACCTCATGATGAATATCGTTTTCTTTCATCCTTTAAGTGGTGATTAATGCTTTTTATGACAAAAATGGAACAAACCAAACCGTTAATTAAAAAAAAAAAAAGAAGAAAAAAGTAAATAAGTATGCGTATAAAGTGAATTAAGTCCTACAATATTGCCGCAGGCATAAAAGACGCCTGTTGTTGCCCAAACAGCTAGGGAACACCTAAACTTGGGAGAAAAAGTTCATCTCAAACTGATCACTCAAGCTGGGCCCATGTAGAAACTCATGCCGAGACATATAAATACCTATTTTCTTCTTGACGGTGAAAAAATTATAGGAGTGAGACCTAATAAATTAGAAAGGAAACAAAAATAACCTGCAAATATGCAACATGTTTGTAGTAGAGCAAGCTACTCCAACTACATCTTCATATGCAACAAAAAACATATCAAAGATTTGGTTTAGTTGAAAAGCATACAAATATTCCACTTAATCAAATGTGAACAAGTCAACTAGACTTGATTGCTTACAATTTATGCATGAAAAGGAAGATTTAGCTATTTGAAGTGATGTATATAAATACTAGTAAAAAAGTACTAAAATATAAGATTTGGGTGATTGTATTTAGACTAAACCGATTTAATCTCAATTTTATGTCATTACTGTAAAACCGTAGAACGTCACAAACGAAAAGTTTTAAATTTTTTATGAAATTAATAACTATCAACACTTATTCCATTATGTCATTTTGAGGAGATAGACATACACAAATAATAGAGAAAAAATTACATCTAAACTCACTAAATCAGTAAAAATATTTCTACTTAGACTCTTTTTTTCTTTATCTTTTCTTTTCTCTTCATATATATATATTATGAAATAATATTGTTAGTTAATACCCAAATCTCTCTCTCTCTCTCTTTTCAGCAGACAATTTTGGATCTATTATTTTGCATAAAAAATGAGTCTATTTTATTTCATATATTAAATAGATCATCAAAATTTTAATAGGTGCGTTCATGAAAGACGAATATATGCAGTTTCATTTTAAATTCCAATCTCATATAATATAATATAGAGAACAAATATTTAAAGATTTTTGTGTTATAAAGAAGAGCTCTTGAGAGAGAGAAACACTGATATTAAAAAGACAAATATGAGATAGACTAGAGAGAAACACTAATATTGGAAAAAAAAAAAGAAAAAAAAACAAGTATATGTTTCCAAAAAGTTAATGTTTTTATATGCTTCCAACAAATTAATGTTTTTATACGTTATAGTAAGTAATTTATTTTTTTTTTTACTTGATTGGCCTCCTTTGATATTGAAAAACCCCTCAAATATTGAAAAAAAAAAAACAATGTGGGTGGTTTAAATTTACACTTTTGTAGACGAATTCATTAATTGCTGTATATTTCATGAAACGTTAGTTTCCTAAAAAGGAGCCAACAATATGTTTATTCTCTTAAATGCCTCAAATCCTAATAAATTATAAGAATTTACGTTTTGCATTTTCTTTTACATGTATGTGCCTGTCCTTACGTTTCTCTTTACTTATATCCAAAACCCTCTCTCATTTCACACTTCCAGCCTCCTTTTTTACAGTGGTGTTTTTAATTTTTTTTCTTTTTGGCAACTTAAGCAAATATTATTTCTTTTCTATAATATCAATCAATCAGTTTAATATATATATATATTTTTTAGAATTTAAAATCATTGAATTTTAAAATTATTTAGTATATATAGGCCCATTGAAAACAATTTATGGACACTAATATTAATGAATTGAGCTAAAATTTATTGGGGATAAATTTTTTTTTTTTGGTTATAAAAAAAAGTTTGAATTCAAAATTTTTTATGAGGAAGAAAAATACTAATACCAGTACTAGAACTACAAAACCTAATACAGAGATTAAGTAAATGTTAGAACTTACAGTACCGCATAAAAATTATACAAAATTATAATGATTACGGCTGCTGTCGTAGCACTTGATCTCCTGTGGGTGTGCATTTATAAATTATAATGCATGTATATACGGTGTAGATATATGTGTCGTAGCAGCAGGTGACTGATTTAAAGGCTATTAGTTAAAAGGGAGATGTTCCTTCACAACCGAGCATATGTTTCCTTTTTGTTGGACAAGACAATGAGATTTATGAGAGCAGGGTCCAACAACAGGGCACCCGTGACTGAGTTCCTACCGGCAAAGCACTGGATCACACTATCTTAAGGCTCGATCTAGCCTAGACAATGAAACTCAAATCATTAAAGAAATATTCAAAAATTTAGAGCAGATCGCTAGCTAGGTAGCTAGCTAGTGGGTTGTGATAATAAAATCACTTTGAATTGCTAGACCAACCACCTGAGTGATTTCGCTTAGCACCTTTTCATCTCATATCCGGTGGGCGTTGGCGATCAAGAACCGTTCATGGGGATATGAAATGGTGTGTTGACATGCAGACCTTGTATTGGGCCAACATGCATGTGAAGCACGACACATGATGAACCCAATTCATCTATATATCTGATGTTCATGCATGCATTCATCATTGTAATTAGGTAGGTGAAATACTGGCCTATGCTTTCTGTCCAGGAAGAAAGTTGAACTTGGAATCAGAACCCTCGAAAATTAAACAGATTAATGGGCCAAAACAAGGTGGGCCATTATTCTTGTGGAAGTCCTGTCGTTTTTCCAACAGGGCCTGCGAATTTACGATAGAATACACAGTCGTATTGTGGATGATCAATTGGAATATATATATATATATATGTTTCGTCGTATTTGCTGGCTAGTTGAGGACATTGGCCCACCAGACAAAAACCTCGCCGGGGATTAGGCAGTGGAATATGAAATTGTTGGAAATTTATTCCACTCGGTGTAAATTAAATTGTTCAAGAAAATAATTAAATCAAACATATATGAAAATTATGAACAGAAAATAAATCAATAATAAGAATAAAAATCACAAAAATACTAAATTTATGTGAAATTTTTTTTTATATGAAAAAATACGTGATTAAATATAAAATAATCTATATATTATAATTAAGAAAGCAACATAATCCCTCAAATTAAAAAATTTTAAAAACTCTTTTTTTTTCCTTAACGAAAAATTCTTCTTACGTTTCTTTCTTTTTATAGAATTTATCAAAAGAATAATAAAAATCTTTGCTTTTTTTTCTTTTCTTTTCTTTTCTCTCCAGTTATTCTCTTTTAACAACTATATATTAATTAAAGACTAACCTATATATATATTGGTAGAAAGGAAAATAAAATTTTCATTTCTTTTCAAGCCACACATGAACTAATATATACTTCGATACTTACTTTTTACTTCCTTTTCAATTCTAATATTTTTTTATTTAATGCTTTTCTTAATTTATTTCTTCACGGATTATGTTAAATTACTCATAGACAATATTTATAACATATAACCAGGAGAAATAAGGATGGGAAAAGGTTGAAACCGAGGGGCTGTATCAGCATTATGGTTATTAATTCTTGCAAATTAATAATGGCAGAGTTTTATGAATGCGTGCTAGTTTGTGTAGTCCGATATGCAATGTGATTGATTCAACGTTATACCAATACCACATTTCAAATTTACCACCAGGCTTAAAGATATTTGAAAGTGTTGTTTCCAAGAATCGTTGTTTCCACCGTTTTCCCTTTTCTTACACTCAAAACTAGAGTGGTCAAGCATGCTTTTGGCCCAATACCTTTTAGCACTTGTTTTACAAATTAAAAATATTTGGTGAAGAATTTGCATTTAAAAAAATTATTGAAAAAAAAAATCCATTCCTGCACCTCTCTCGTATCTGCGGTTGCATTAATCACACATTAAAACTGTGAGTTTTTTTTTTAAAAAAAGAATATCCTAAAAGAAATGGAAGAGAATTTCTGGACTAAGCATATTTCTATATATGAATGCTTGAAAATACTATAATTAACTTCTGAATAGAATTGAAAGCAAGAGACGAGTCACAAGAAGCTTAGGGCATTTATTAATAAGGTAGTTCTTAATAGTTAATGGTAGTTACATGTTGTTATAATTAAAAAAGTTTGAATTTAATTATTTTTATTAGCTCATCGTTATCTACTAAGGAATAAGGAAGCACAATTCGGACAAAAGATATGGTATTACCTGGTATTAAAAAAATTATTAATTATTTGTAACAACTCGTGCAAGTAATTACCAACTACTAAGCAATAAGTATATTTGTTTATTTTGTCATAAAATTCTTACATCCAAACTCATATCAGAGCTCAATTCTCAATGTTGATGTCATTAAACAATTCTCTATGTGTTAACGTTAAACAAGAAAACTGGTATTAGACAATCCTCCGTGTGTTGGCTCCGTTAAACAATGTTTCGTGCGTCGGCGCCACACAAGTAAACTTGTATAGCCAAATTGGTATCATGTGCTGACGCCACGCAAGTTGACGAGAATGGAAAGGTAAATTTTTATTTCTTTATTTTTTCCTGTGCTGGATAGTCCTTTTTGTGGCAAGCAATGTTCGATAGCACATATATATGTGCAATTTTTTTTTCGAGAAAAAAAATGGCATATTGTATCGATTTGTCAAAGCATGCCATGATCATCACTTCGTATGTAAATAGATTTACTTAAAAAATTGGTTAAATATTAGAGAACTTGCTTGAGAAATAGATAATCCTTCACATGTTATGATAAGACATGGCTTGCAATTGAGCCTTTGTTCTTTCTCCATTTTTTATTTTTACCTTTGCTTAAATCTTGATTTTTCTGAATTTGCAGCTTGGCTTGCATTGCTCCCTCAAGTGTCCCTTCATTTCTGATTTGCCTTCTTTGTTCATGTGCTTATAATGTATTTAGAAGCTCGGGAAGTGTGATCTCAATAAGGTCTTTTACTTCCTCTAATGTAGAGATCTTGGCCTCAAATCTTTCCGGTAATGTTACTAGTAACTTCTCAACCACCTTGCTTGTCGGGCATGTTTTCACCAATGAGCCTCGGTTTGTTAACTATTTTCAGCAAATGGTCTACATACTCCTTTGTTGTTTCGAGTCTTTCATTCTCTCGTAACTTCAAATCTCTTCCGAGATTTAAGACCCTCATGCTCCCTATTCTTGCATTGCCTTGAAACTCATTCTTGAGATATTGCAATGGTGTTTCCGGATTCATAATTTTGGTAAATAAGGTTTCGGACACGATTGAATATAAGCGGGTTTTGGCTTTGAAAAGCTTTGATGTTTTCTTCTTGTGAGTTTTTATCTGCTACAAAGTGGATTCTTCTATAACCGATGGAATAACAAACTCCTCCGATTCAACTTCCCAAAAATCCCAAGCTTGCGGATATGCTTGTCATTTTAACGAGTCCACGATTGGTAATTTTCATCGGTGAAAACATGAGATAGAACAGGAGAAAAGTTGTTTGAAGCCATATAGTATTTGAAGGATTGAAAAAAATATAACACACGGATCGCTTTAAGAAAATAAGCTCGATACCAACTCGTTTAATATATATAACACACGGATATGCGTGTTTTATCGAATATATGGACTAACCATGTTTTGATAAATTTACCATGGTTTTGTTAAAGAGTATATAATACCTCCGGTAAGAAAGAGAGAGGGAAAAAAGATACGATATTGAAAAAAAAAAAGAGAGATAAAAGATAAAATCATGCTATTTTGTTTTTTCCTTTGATATTGCTTTATGTTCTATTTATGAGCAGATTACAAATTGATCTCTTTATTTGTAAAAAAACAAATTGATTAGTTTTTTATTTATTTTAAAAATTAATTATTTATTCTTTTAATGATCATGCTTATTTAAAAAAATATTTTTCATATTTTTTACTTATTTTTTTCTTTTCTATTTCATAAAATAAAAAGAACAGAAATAATTAAGATACAAAAAAATTTAAAAATTACTATGAATGGAGTTTATTTTGATATTTTTAATGAAAACCCATAACGAGCATGTGTAAATTGGCCAAGATATTTAATAATCGATAACAATTGATGGATTGAGAGGAAAAATCGTGCAAGGTTCATTGAAAGCGTCGTAATAAACTTCAATATGCCATAAGTATAATTTTAATGGGTTAGCCTAGTGATTCATGAGGTATGCTCCATGTCTTCTTTTGAGGTTCGAACTTTAAAATCCATACTCAAAAAAATTTATTATGTTCTTTAAATGTATTTAAATAATCAGATAGATGAAGGAGTATATTTTTAAAATTATTCAAATAAAAATTTTATTATATAATTTAATCTACTAGATCAATGAGTGCGTCTTCAAAATCTTTCGGGAAAAAAAATTATATAAATTAGTCTAAAGATATATGTCCAAGGATATTCGTTACCGTCGAAAAAGAAAAAGGAAAAAAAAAAAAAGGTAATGCAAAAACGTTTCGCACTCCTAAGTCCCACCTCCATTGAAGAAGAGTAGACCGTTGACGTGAGCAAAAAGAGCTGACGCAATAATTTCTCGAGAAAACAGAAGAAGGTCGACTTTTGCAGTCCCAAACTTGTCAAATAGTGTGTTTTTGTTATGTTTGATGTATCAGAGAATTTATTTGGTTTTGTGTTAGATTACATTTCTTGTCATATCCAGGTGTTTTCATTAGTTAAGTTGACAAATTTGTGTATATGATGTAACTTCTGGTTTCTCTGATTATGCTGCTGCTTGTTTTTTCAGAAAGCAGAGTAGGGTTCATGTTTTTATTTCCGCAATATCATATGATGGTTATGTAGTGTTGAAGATTCAATTTTACGGAAAGATGAGTATACTCTTTCTGGTTTCAGGCAGCCTGTACATAGAAGAAAACAAAAATCATGAAAATCTATAAGATTTTGTGGTGCGAAATAATTCAAGGTGTTCGGCTAAGCTCATTGGACATGATAGACAAGTTCCGTATTGGTTGAAAGAGAATTTAGGGGGAAGTTTTGGAAAGCTTTTTATTACTGAACTGTGCTTTCGTGCCTTTTAAATTAATTGCTGGACTTGGATGGGTGATAGTTTTTCTGAACCGAATACTAATACCCTTTGCTAATGGAATGGATGAATAGCCATAATGATCGTGAGCATATAATTGACATAACAAGGAATGACAATGCTTCATTGGGCTCATCTCATAACCGTCAGCCTTCCGAAGTGGTCTTACCTCTTCATGAAGATGGATCGACTAGTAACTTGCAAAACCCCATTCATCAAACTTCATTTTCCTCAAATGATTAAATTCTAGTCATTCAACATTTACAAGGGTGGTGATGGCTATGGTCATCGGCGCAGGAGCCCACTGAATTCTGGGCTATGGATTTCTGTGGAGTCACTTGTCACCGCTGGTCAGATCATAGCATCTATAGCTGTTTTGTCAATATCAACAAATGAAAACCCGCAAGTCCCATTATTTGCTTGGATTGTGGGTTATGCATCTGTTTATGTTGCAACACTTCCTATTCTTTAATGGCGTTTTCATAACCGTAACCTGAATATGTCCAACAAAATTCTATTCAATCAAGTCAAGGCTCTTCTGAAAGCAATCCTCATGAATCTTACATCTTATACAGCTACCTCTGATGGTCAATCTTCAGATGAGGAGAATTTTCACTCAATAGAAGCAGCCAACAGGAACAGTCAGATTTCAGGATCCTTAAGTGCACGGTAATGTTTATTTATTTAATATCCCTGGTCAAATGAACTTTGTTCCCTTTTTGTTAATGATTGTCGTCTGCTATTCCTTAACAAAGCAACAAGAAGGGCAAGTTCTTAGTTATAGTTACCTGTTAATTTTTCAGTTTCTTTGTTCAGCTTATTGAGGATATTTTCGCTAATTCGGCTTCGTTAATATTCAATTTGTTCCAATAACCTGACCACCAAGTCCAATAATCGTATAAGTTGCTGTAATCTTCTTTTTTAGTAATTTTCATGGAACATCAGGTGCCATAAAATTAAAAGAATCAAAAGGATCATGTATTCTGCTGTCAGTTATAATATGTCGCTTGTTTATTGAGGAATAAAAATAGGATAACAAATTGAGCTCTCTTAGCAAACCCGTCAGGACCAGTTCAGTGATGGTTCTTGGCACGAACTTATTCGTTTGAATAAACAAATCAAGTGTTAACGTGAGGTAGCTATAAACTTCAGTTTGTTCAACGTGTGTACATAGTTTTGCAACTTTAAGGAAGATAGAGCTCTATGTAGAGAGCTTCCGTCTCTGAAATGAACAGAAGAGGCAGGTGGCTCTCAATAAAAGCAGCCCCACCCCTTATTTCTAGATCCGGTGATAAAATCTCTAAAAGTGGACTTGTACTTGTGTAGTGGCACCCGCCAGTTTGTGCAGGATAATGCTATAACATCGTTCTATTAACCTTCGATTTATAAAATTGCCCGAGTCGTTGCCCATAGTTGTTAAACTGAGGCTTTGTGGCTAAGGTCATTGAACAATGCTCAAGGAAAACTTGGGCTCCAACTCGTTCAATTCAAGTTGGCACCAAGCTTTATGGAAAACAGTTTTATACCGAGGAGGGCTCAAACACCTCAAAGCGTATCACGTCTCTGCTTATTTGCATCCCTAACCGAAATATATCTCTTTGAACTAATGTTTTAGAGGAAAGCCTAAATTGACAAGTTCTAAGTGATCTCTGGGATAGAATGTTTCATTATTGTCTCTTACTACTGTAGTATTTAGAATGAGTAACCTTGACATGAGTGACTTAATGGATGTTCTTGAATGGATTCTTGTGACAATGGATTATTGAATGCTTTATTGGAAGTCTTCCAAAGTAGATGAAATATTTTTAGTACATCTAAATGTTGAATGAATGATTTGTTTTGAATTTTAAGCTATGCTTTTTATAGCATATTTGGTTGCTAAAATAACAATCATGACATGTTTTAGCAACCTCCTGTGTTCTCACTCTCTCAAAACTTAGTTTAATTAAATAGTGAGCATGTAAAATAGAAACAAACTGTGGTGCTTATAATTGGTTCCGCTCTCTCTTTAAATGACAGCCATTGTTTTTATGGCAAGGTGGCTGCTTTTCAGACATTCATGACAATTGAATGTTAGTACAAAATGGGAAGATGTGAAGGATCAACACCTTTATTATAAGCTGGAAAAGCAACTTTGCAGTGCTTTATGATCACATAATAGTATTATCATGTATTTTATGATGGCCTTACTATTACTGACCTCACTGTTCAAGTAAAGAACTGTTTTTTTTCATGCTTTCTTTTATTTACTATAATCTCAGTCTTCCTTCATATCGGAAATAAAGGTTGCAGTTGCGGAAGGACGTGCTCTCCTTCTATGATTATGTTATAGCTGTGCCATTTCATTGAAATTCTGAACATGTTGAGATGGTGTAAATTTAGAATCATAATTTATTTGGTTTGAAGACTGAAGTCGGAAAAATGTAAATCCAGGTGATGTCCCCCTATTCCAATCTATCACCCCTCATACTCTTTAACTTTTTCAGAAGCATTGATTTGTTACTTCCACTATTATAACTTGTATGATACTGTGGCATTAAAAACAGATTAGAAATTGTAGCAAACTTGAGGGTGTTTCAAGTGGTACAAGTTGAATCAAGATTTATGAGCTTTTAATGTCACCAGTAGATGTTGAGCTCAAGAATTTGAGCTTTATCATTCTCACTTATATTCTAGATGTCAGAACCGAGTGAATTTGGTTCTTGATTTGCTGGATTAATTGGTTAATGGACCGTTTGAAGATGGCCCTGGATTGCTTCTTTGCCATGAGGTTTGTCGTGGGCAACGGGTGGATTTTTGGAGGTCGCCCTACTCCCTCTGATGCTCCCAAACTGTATCGGTACGAATTGCTGATACACGCTCTTTTATATGTTTCTTATTTTCCAAGTCGATGACATGTATTCTTTTATGTGTTATACTTGGATTTCTTGTTGAGTTTGTTTTATGTTTCTAGGCTTCCTTGCAGATTATGCGTAGCGTCTAACTTTAGCTGTAGTCTATTGTGCAATGCCTTTCATACTATGTGCAACAATTTGTTGTTGCTTGCCTTGTATTATCTCTCTCCTTGGCTTTCGAGAGGATTTTTCTCAAACCAGAGGAGCCACTTCAGAATCTATAAATGCTTTGCCAACCTACCAGTTCAAGTCTAAAAACAGTGGGAATGTCAATGAACATGACAACTCAAGAGCAGGTGAAGGTGGGGTCTTGGGCTCTTGGCTGCAGGGACAGGAAAGGAGCTCATGATATCAAGATGCGGTAAGTTCAGTAATAAGCTTGTAGGACCATCCATGAATGAACCAGTAACTGCCCTTACCAGAGTTATTTATTAACAATTCTTACTATTTCATAATTTTCTTGGCTCCAAGTTTCTACAGCTAACATTTCTCTCGTATTCAATAATTAATTGTTTTTGTATGGTAAATTTATACGTGTTTTAGTGTGTCGAGGCTGGAGATATGCGCTGATGTGCATATTGTCTGATAGTGGAAAGTGGAAACACCTTGTTTCTTGTTTGTTTATCTAAAAGCTTACTTTGTATTTGTTCTGGTTGGGATTGTTTAAAATGAAGGGCGTACTGTATGAACAAGTAACAAAACCTCAATTTTACTTATAGGATCCAAATGCACTTAGTATTGAAATGGAAACTAAGAGCATGGAAAGAGACTAGAAGGGCACTTAAAGTTAGAAAATGAATTAGACTATTCCTGTCAAAGAATCAACTATTGACCGTTAGGTTAGTAAAGCTACGATACTATGTCAAATGATCAACTCATTCAAAAGCTTAGTTTATTAGGTGAGGTCCATGATATGATTTATATTATTCTCTCGACAGTTCCTATCAATTTTGACTTACATACGAGATTAAAATGGTTATGGACTCATTCACCTTCCCTTCTCTTTTTTTTTTTTTTTCCTAGAAGAGAAGTTGTACCGTTGTACATATTTTCACTAGATTCTCAACTATCAAACTGTTCGGATGTAAGCTTAATAAGTGTAGTATTTTGTCATGGGAAATTGGCCCTCTAACTTGTATGCCAATTTCCCTCCCCGATTAGTACAGGTCTGCTGCATTTGCTTAAACACATATGTCGACGACGATGAGCTAAGGGAGTTACCTTGCTCCCATGTCCTCTCATGTACACTGCGTGGATAAGTGGTTGAAGACTAGTGCACCACGTCCTCTGTAAAAGTGAAGATGGAGAGGCGAGCCAGGGGTCCGACCAGCAGTAAAGTAAGTTGTAGGCGTGACTGGGGTTAAAAACTAGTTGACCATGTAAATGAGGATTAAAATGGTGACAGCAAGTTTGTTTGCTCTAGCATGACCATAAATCTATCTAAATAAAATATTAATTTAAAAGGCAACGCTCTCATTTTTTAATGTTATTGAAATTTTCTATAAGATCAAGATACACACTCCTATTTCAAAAACAAGGAACCTAGTTTGCATGTCTCCATTATAGAAGTAAAGAATTCAATATTGAAGCTTGAATTATATGTGGTGTTATTTTTTTATTGAAACATATGGAACTCTTTCACATGGTTGTATGACTATCTCCAATTGGGATTGTTGTCAGTGGTTGAACTTGTGGTTGGTATGAACGTCAATTCACAATTGGAATCACCAGGGTGTTTTTTTTTCCCCGGAGCAAAATGGTGCCAATGATCTTGCTATACCACATTATCTCAATATAATTATCTAAACTCAAACATGTAGTTATCATATCCATAGTTTTTAAAAAATGCACATTATACACAAGGTTCGAATGCTAATGATTTATGTTATATAACTTCACATTACGTAATGGAAATTTTCTGTTCCATTATGTTATGTTATGTTGGGGTCCGTTTTGTAATGGATTTTGAGAATTCATGGTCGCGACCGATGACCGTTTTACCAATGATTTACAAATGTGATTTCATTATCATTTTTGAAACGATAAAAGAAATATTGAGACCGATGGGGATGCTTTCAATATATTTTAATTACAAACCTGTGACAAACCATTATTTGATTTGATTGATATATACAGTTTTTTTTATCATTTGTATTTAAAAAAAAATGCTACATATTCTGTTTTTCACATGATTTAAGTTGTAAACGATTACTGCAGACGTTATACGTAAAGAAACAAGATAGTAGTAATTATCATTACTAATATCGAGACACTCCATCATGCTTATTTTGAAGATTAAGTGATTAATTCTTATTTGGATGATTAAGTGCTTAATTCTGATGCATTTAAAATGATTATTTATATTTTTTGATGTAGAATGTACTAATATTATATATTTATATTGAAACTCAACAATATCAATGATATGCCAAAAAGTTCTGTAAATTCAAAAAGATTTTGCAGGTTCGGTAACTGCAACAGCCTGCTACTTAAATCCATGATCATATCCCTTTTTCCTTCCAAACAAACGATTAAACAATATGGAACCTCTTAATTGCCCTTCCGCTCGTTTCCTTCCTATAGTAGTTGTAAAAAGAATATGCAAGTACTGAACCAAAAACCAAAACTAAGATCAATAATTTGCGCATTCTAAACTTGACAAGAACATAATTAGAGGGTCCGGATAAACTTTTAAAAAAGATCAAAAACCAGAAAAGGAAAAACCAATTTTGAACTTCTAAAATCAGCAAAATTGATAAAAACTATGGCTATAAATGAATCTTGCAGCAAAATTTTTAACAATATGTGGCGTTTATACATCGAATAACGGTTAACAGAAAGGGTAAAGTACAACATGCTCTAGAGATCAGCTCTACAAGAAAGCGTTCTATGCTGATCAGATGTAAAACCAGCACACTGAAAAAACTTCAGAGTGCTCCCTGACCTAGAGATAAAAATAACTCCAAAAGCTTGTGCAAACCCATAGAGCCACCACCCCTGTCTAAGATCTCACCAAGTAGTGAGTTGAATAAAAAGAAATCAACCCTAAAAATCACAATAAAAGTACGTTATACACATTTGCAAAGGAATGCATCTCAGAATAAAGCGAGGTAGAACAGGTGAAAATCAAAAAAATCCTATCTCAAAGCAACAATCGAGGATTGACAAGACTAGCCTCAAAAGAATGCTCCTCGATGAGCAGCAAACTAAAAATCCTCCGGGGTATAATTTTCTGCTGCCACCTGGTTGTGATCTACCCACTAATACATACTGCAGTTGCATGTTAACTGATATTTGGCCTCATGTTCAGATGGTAAGATCCTTAAATGCTTCGAGCTTTCCATTTGATGCAACAAAATCTGCAGTTTCACCATCTTCAGGATGGCTTGGGCCTCCATTCTCAGGGTTCTTGGCAATCCGACTGTACACTGAATTGGGTATGGCAGAGCTGCGCTTGCCTTCAAAGTAGGTTGAGTAAGGGAAGTACTGGGCACAGGATGCTTTCCACCCTGCAAGAGAAAAAAGATCAATATCGAGCAGCAAAATAAGTTTTAGTATCTATATTATGGAATACTATTGGCATGTTTCAGACATCTCCCTGGTTCCAATATTTGTAACATTCTTAGCGACAGAAGTTTCAAGAGGAGGTAAATTCCATCTTGAGTTGGTCTGACAGGCAAAAAAATAATGTCACAAAACAGTGAATGGTGAAAAGACAGACATGCATATTTGGATTCCCAAAGATTAATGAGAGCATTTTTCCCTTTAATCAAGGACAACCTCTGTATGGCAAAAGAAACTAATAAATTAGAAGGGAGCAGGATCTATAGATAGAGAATTTAGGTAGACGAGCACATAGCTATTGAGCAGACAGAAGAGAGAAGTGAAAAAGGTGACCTAGAGACCAATCCTCTCTTAATAGTTCAAAAAAAAAAAAAAACTTCCATAAAATATTACCACCACCACCAAAGATATACCAGGTGTCTATAGACTCTTAATATTGCAGAGAAGAAAACACAAACGAAATAAAATGAAAAGGAATGGCATATTCTATTTGTTGTTTTTAAATGCTTATAGACTAGATAATGCAGGTATTCAAATTTACGCTAGGCCATGAAAAATTGTACTTACTCATTGCAGCATCCGGGTCATTAAGAACAGTTCCTAGGAGCTTGTGAACAGCAATGCAGTCTTTGAGTTTCCATTCATTGACTGGTCCAAGTGCTCCACTTCTGTTGGTAAAATAAAATAAGGAAATATACATGAAGATTCAGTTTGGGTCAGCAATAAAGATGTGCAAATCCAGGTACCAAACAACAAAAGTAATGCAAACAAATCAACAATGAAAAGAAAAGAACTCAGATCACTGAGGATTACATTGGTGCAGGGTTGTTGTAAACAACAAAAGTAATGCAAACAAATCAACAATGAAAAGAAAAGAACTCGGATCACTGAGGATTACATTGGTGCAGGGTTGTTGGTTGAACCTTCAATTAATTTAATAGCCTCAAGTTTCTTGTTCGGTTCTAAAACATATAACATTTCCGCCACTGCAGCTCTATGCATTAATGAATCTGCAGGCAACAAAGATAGTCAACATGCCAATTCTATACAGGTATAGTTGCCACAAATGTACCACATAAAATGGAAGATTACCTTTATGTTTTTCAAAGAAAATCATATTTGCTTCAGTGAGAGATTTCTCATGCAATTGACTACAAGAATAGACATATCAAACCTTAATATGTAATTTAGAACTGATAGAAATAGGAGCAGAAAACATCACATTACGGAAAAAGAAAAAGGAAAAGGGAAAGGAAAATTGCAAAAGTACCTAATCCATGGACGCTCTGCTTCCAAGACACTCCAAACAAGCTTCTCAGTATCTGTCACAGGAGCAGTCATTGTGCCCACTTTATGGAAGAATCTAACCTGAAGCACGTTAAGTACACAATCAGAAGAGATAAAAACAAAGGGTCTCAGATCCTCTAAACAGCAGCACATGCATAATACTAATGGGCAATACCAGTGTCTGGACACATAAATACAGGGTTTCAAAAACAAAAATCAATGTTTATAGGACTGTTGCATTATAGAGGGTTCTATACCAAGCAGCGATGGGAATCAGGGCTTTCAGCATCCAACCTTAGCAATTGCTTTACAGCCTACAGGGGGAAAGAAAAGGAAAACAAAATTAACACATCAATTATGCAATTGAACAAAAGCCCCATCCAATAGGAAGCATCATTGAATTCATACTGTCAACCTCACTAACTGATTTAACCAAACAAACAATAGGAGTTGGGTTACATAGCACTTGCTCTCTTCAGAAAGGGAGAAATCACTGTAGCTTTAAGTAGTCTTATTAACTTGTTTATTTATTATTGATATATGATTTGCTCTAAGCCATTTGGACTCAATAACGTCAGTGTTTCCTGCCAATATTACCTCCAGTCCCCTTTAAGTAGACATTGTGAATGGTCACCAAGTAAAGTTTTCAGACAAGAAATACCTGAAGAGCGAGCAGAATTTTCTTCTTTCTCATATTTACTTCAAAAGAAAGCAAGTGTGTCTCCAAAGAGTCAGGCGAATGTTTTTGAAGGAGCTTCAAGTACTTTGTCGCTTCCAACAATGGATCTTCAACCTGAAAAAAAAAAACAAAAAACAAAAAAAAAAAAAAAATCCACATCAGACTGTTATTCATCCATGATGAACGGTGTACTTTGAAGCCTAAGAGACTTAAAGCAATCAAAAAAAAAAAACCTCTAAGAAAGAAACCAGTAGGAAATAGAAGCAACCTGCAATAATTTTTCCCCATTTGGATCTGGATCTACAGGTTTAACATGCCGCTTACCCGACTTAGAAACACCACTAGCACTTGATTCTTCATTTCTCACCTCAGCCTCCTAGAATGGAATAAAAGACTCTAGAATAAAAATCATTGTAACAGAAAGGAGCCCAGAAACCATAGAAACATATTATTAACACACTTTCTTAGCTCAGGCTTCTGCCTTTTTCTGTTTTTGCCTCATCTTCTTTCTCTGAGAAGGCGCCAACTTTGACATTTCATCATCTTCTTCAGCTGTCGACTTTGAAGGAGAATCAAACAATTTTATATAACATCTGCATTTGAAATCCATACTCGTGAATATAACAAAAAAATGTTAATTCAAAGAGCTCATGACAAGCACAAGATGGCGATCAAACAAAAGACAAAAAAACATACAAATGACATATAGTCACATCTATAAAACGAATGCATGAAGCACAGCTCCTCTGAAATGAGATGCAATCCACACTATGTGAAAACCATATAGTTGTGGTATTCCAATAAGTTAACTGCAAAACCAAGGACGTGAATATAATGACCATAGAATATCCTGCACAACGGCGGGGAGCGGGATTCTCCAACAAACTATTCGGCTAACTTACACAATGTTTCCAAACCCCAAAAGCAAGACATGAAGGATATGACTAAAAGAGGCCAACTGACACAATCAAGCTGTCATCATAACAGTCTGACCATGGCATCCAGCAGCCTAGGCAAGGTATGCTAGCAATCCAAGTTTTCGAGGGTTAACAGTGAACAACCACATGCAAACACCTTCGTTTCCTTCTATATGATAAAAACTTTGAGAGAAACAAAACACAGTAGAAAAGGCATACCTTGTCTAACTGGATATCCAGTAAAAGTCATACCATTTAACAAAATTCTCAACCCATACAAATCCAGAGTAACTTGATGATTTGAGAATTAGAAAAATGGTTAATCATTATTAATTAAATAAAGTTAAACCCTTCCCAGAGAATCCCTCCCTCCCTCCATCTTGCTAGAAGAAATCAACACAGACCATTTGAAACAATGGGAAGAGTCTGTACAGCACATGCATAAGACAAGGCAAGCATGTAAAGCTGCATTTTGACTCGGAAAAAAAAAAGAAAAAGAAATCACTTCTAGATTCCAACAAAAATATTTCACCTGATAGCTCCAGCCGCAGCTTTGTGGAAATATGCATGTGCATGCAAACGATCTTGAAATTTGAGCATTGCCACATAAGCTCGTAGTGTCATTTTCCTTAAACAATAGGAATGGAAGTCAAATTGGTCTTCAGTGATATCTGCATAGTGCTTCTCCACTGCTAAAAACTTCTTCAAAGCCCGTCCCAGATCACCTTGACGGAAGTAACTCTCACCAGAAGCAAGTTCATACCTTACCAAATTATTATACAACAATCAGGATACAACCAAAATATCCCAGTTAAAGCAAAATTTAGCAACATCAATAAAACATAGACTAACCACATGCACTGCATGTCATGAAGGTTGTTGTGCTGATCCCCATCTTTTGTAAACAAAACAGCCGTTTTTTCTGCCAAAGCCACCTTCAAGAAAAGATTTCCATGTAAAGCACAACAGGCAGAAACAAGTTGAGAAAGCACCATAAACCAACAATAACCTAGAAATAAGACCAAAATGCAGCTTCCACACCTGATCAGCCTGCAGCATACGTTTGACACATTCACTGTTGATATATCTATCTGCAAGATCCATACATCTAGCTTCATCTGCCAAAGTAGCAGCAGCTGCCAAATCACCAGCATGCTTCAAAATGCGGCTCTGTGATTGAGAGATGCAAAAACAGAGTGAGGACATCAAAAAGCCCAACAGGTTTTACTTTCTAAAAATATTTACCACTGGGATTGGAAAAAACTACTGAAATTTTACACATCCATGACTTTCTTTCTTTAAGTACTATTGTACGCTAAAGACAACAATATATGGTGACAGCCGAATCAATCCAAGAGAGGAAGGAAAAGACACATCTAGGTGCTTATCCACACCCATAAGAAAAACGAGGGCAAATCATACACCTCAACTGACAAAAACAAATGGAAAACAAAAGGCACAAGCATATGCTACCTGTTCAGGCTATATTGAATGCAAATTCAAGACTTAATCAGAAGCAAAGAATATTCAAATAAAATAACTATCAAAGAATTAACACTTTGTTTCCAAATAGGAAATCAAGAGAGCTTTCAAAACTATAATATAGAGGTGGCAAAATGAGACTGATCAATGGAACATTGGACATAAAAGTTTACAGAAGGAAGGTGTAAATCAACCTTGACAGAATATAAATCAATCACAGTTGGAGTGTGCTCAATAGCCTCGTCAATTTTACTAAGAGCAACATCATACTGTCCCCGTCTATCGTAATGCTGCAGTATAACAAACACTAAACAAATTATTAGAAAGCATCAAGAGATATAATAACAACAGCTAACTATTTGATGGTACTCGACCTGAGCCAAGAAAAACAAGGTCCACATAAGTGTTGAAGGAGGCTCTTTTTCTGCCCTGCATATATGAAAGAAATAAAAAAGGATGTTAAAAAAGCAAACAAAACAAAACAAAACAAAATGAAACTTGCTATAGAAAAATAAGAAAGGAAGAACACTAAATTATCAGCGAGTATCACACATGTTCTTTACTGAGATATAAATCTGTAATTTTTATCACATTAATAGCTAGCTCCATGCTCCCCTAAATGTACCGAAGGCAGTTACCAGGCAACAAAACAAGCATGGAGAAATTCAAAACGTATTTTTCCATTATGGTCTTCACACAATGAATTACTGGTCCAAAATCTGCAATATTATAAAACTTGATTAAACTTGTTTGATGCGGAGAACAGCTTTTGTACACCAGAAATGACAAAAACATGGCCTGTCAAATCAGTTTCATGTTAGTGCCTCTATGTCTTCTCGATTTCCATTTATGAAAAAAAAATCAAATTATGTTTTAGTTTTTGTCTGGACAACAAATCAGGTTATTAAAATCAAAAATTGTTCGGAACAGTTAATAAGCATAGAGCATAGATATAATCAAAAGAACTAGAAGTTACTAAACGATATCCTGAGGGAATTTCTGTTTCCAATAATCTATTTCAAGTTTGCGCATCAGATTTATTAACAGAACTTGCAAAATGATAAAAGGGTACAAAGCATAAAATACCTCCTAGGGTATCCCCCACTTATCCTAAGTGAATGCTCAAATTCAAGAATGAGTTTCTCCAATATGTCTGCCTGCATAAGAGTAACCACAGAAAATTGCTTTTAACCAAACAACAAAATAATAGTACGAGTATACAACCTCCAAAAAGGTACAGAAATATCATACAAGAAATCAAACTCACCTTTCCAGGTTGATCGTATAGTGGTGAGAGATCTGAGAATAATGAAGGAACTCCCTAAAAACAAGAAGAAGATTGTACATAATCCGATCTAAAAAAATAAAAAGAAAAACCAGTAAGAATTGCTTGAACAGTAACTACAAATACCTTGGTCAGGAGGGGCCTAATATAATTATCTGCAGCTTCACAAAACTTGTCGCCTTGGAGAAAATCAAGTGGTATCCTCTGAAGTAAAAAAATAAGAGTGGTAGTCAAAATGTAACCCAGTTAAATATATCACATTGCATTCATAAGTGTATATATTGAGAAAAAAAAAATCAATGATGACCACAAGGAAGAAAATAACGACGACAATGATAATAGAAGATAATAATAAAAGTGTACTATCACCGAAAAGTCCCACCAAAAGCAATCCATGATAAAGCATTTCTCAGATATACGATACAGCAGATTGATTTCCCTTGGATTTTTGCTCAGGCAGTTCAGTGGTTGGATGGGGTCAGGGTATTCATTCTCATGGTTTTAATTTGAAGCATGCTGTACAAAGGAGATGAGGTTGGAAGAAAGCGAGCGATGCTTTAACAGTTACAGAGACTAGCATAAATGACATCGTTTCAGCTCGTGGGTGTTGACCACCTCAGAAGACACTCCATGTCGTTTTCCTGATAGTAGATAGCCTTTAAAGAATTCCAGTGGCCTTTAGTTCAAGTGGTAAAGAACAGGGTGGGTTAGGGGGTAGAACCCATGATTCAAACTAGAAGGGAAAGAGGAGGTTTTACAACATAACAAGCTGGACATAAAATTTCCACTTCAGATGAAAGTAGAGCAGTAAATATCTACAGATCCAAAAAAGGACAGGCCCCCACCTTAACAGCAGATGACCAAGTGTATTGCTGCCCAAGTGATTTGTATAAGGCATCCAATTGATCGATATCAGAAGAAGAAAGGTCATTTTTCAAACACAGCCCCACACATTTTTGTAGGCCTTCATAATACCTGAACGAGCAAAAAAAGATAGTGACAACATTAGGTTCCTTACTAAAACTTCAAATGCAAACCAAGATTCACACGAACAGCAGAGAGAGACTGAGAAACAGGCAACACGCTTGCATTCATTTAACCATATTATTTCCAGCGTATGTAGATTAGATTTTCTACAGCAGTATTCTGTCTATTCAGAATCTGATGTTCACAGCAACGACTACCAGAAAGACAGGAAAAAGGCAGACAAAACTGTAGACAATCAACCATTTAAGGATCATGTGACAAATATGCACAGGTCTGGCAAACTCTTCCAAGTCGGGAGAAAATCAAGCAGAATCACAAAGAATACGATTATATAGAGCAACTTATTAAGTTTGTACAAGTGGGGTTTCACAAGAAAGCAATTAAAGAAGATCAATAGAAAGAACAATGGCATCTTACAAGTAATGTGTGTCGAATAAAATGGAGAGTTTTGGTGAAGCTACAGAGCAATGTGGTAAAGAAATGAAAATGTTGCCTACAACAATGACAGAAACAAAACTAAATAAAAGGACCAGAAAAATTTAGTGATCTGTCTCAAGGTAAAAGTGTCCTGAGGTTATTTCAATGCTAAATAGCTAAAAAAAAATACAAATAGAAAACATTAAATAGTACCTTATTTTTGGCACTTTCTCCTATTGTAAACAAAAACTGTTCAAATAAAAGGCCATATGGAATTACAAAAACGAAAAATTGTTAATCACGCATGCAAAGAATGCCTACACTGACACAACAGAGCTATAATTACTTATGTTGGCACTAGAACACAATCAATGATGATGATGACAATTAGACGGCACCAAAGAGATGGATAAAACATCAAACAGATTTCTATCCTAATTGTCCACTCTGGTGGATAACTATTTCAGTCATTTTAAAAAAAAATGGATTCATTAGAACTTCAAGACAAAGGAAATTGATCTAATGACACCAAACAATAGAACTCATCAAAAAGCTGTTGTAGCCAAATATACAGGGAAGACATTTAAAATGAAGCCTATCAATGTCAGGTTACCAGATTCCATTTAGGGAAAAAAAAAAGAAGATAGATGCAAGAGACAACAGTGCCTGAGTTCATAGATGGAATCACAAAAACACAAACTGCTATGTTTACTAGCAAGCCTGCCATTTTTTATTAGATTGATAGTCTCTTAACTTTCTTCTCAGAAATGTAAAGCATGTTAAATCACCTGTAGTTGTCAGGATTAACAGAAAGTAATGCCTTGTACAATTCAGCACCTTCTTCAAGACGACCAAGCTTCACTAATAGAGAAACCTCTTGTTCTTTTAGAGTCAATTTATCAACCTGAAGATCAACTTGCACTAAGTAAATATTTAACTGAGACTCAAGAAGACCCACCAAGCAGTTACCCTAGCAACAAATAAATAGTACACTTACAATTTTTGACTCTTTCTTATGCAGCTCCTCAAGAGCTCTCTCAAGAGAACCACATTCCTCTAATAAAGAGATCTGGAAGGACAATAAATAACCGGCATATAACCATCAAAACTGCTGAGAGATATACCAATATTACTCTTTGGAAAACAAGTTCTAAAAAAGTTTCAAGAAAATAACATGAAACAATAGCCAATGCAGTCACTTCTAACAAAATAAAGGCAGCAGAAGAAAAAAAAATCTATACCACTATGCCATTGGAGAGGAAAAGCAATAGCTCATGAAGCTTGTATGAGCATCTATTTAAGGCATAGCAGCTCAGAAGTAACATGTGACACATAATCTCTAAATAACAAAAGTTTAATGTTTCAATCTGTAAAGAATTAAAGCTAGTTGCAAATATGCAGGCTTTTTCCAACCGAAACCTCCATTTCCACAAAAGAAATTTCTTGCACTGTTTTTCCAACAAGTATAGGCACAACCTCAAGATTTATTATTGTCGACCTAAACTATTAATTGGGTTATTGCATATCCAGTTTTGCACATAAAAGACACAGGGAGAGGAAACACAGAGAAAAAAGCAGAACGTTAAGAGACTAACAATTGAAAAGATCTAAGACGAAGTAGAGCTGTAAGTACAAAGTCAATAATGTTACCTTATACAAAAGCATTTCCCCATGCTCACATCGTTCATTATCTGGGGGATAATCATCTTCCAGTGTCCCTTCATATGCTTCAAGAATTTCAACTGCTTTTGAACCACTGGTAAAGAACAAAATAAAACACAAGGGGAAGACTTAAAGTAAAAGGGCAGATCATACAAGATTACTCTAATGCACTACTTTCAAATTCAAAGACAATTTCATGTGATTTAAACATTAGACTGTCAAAATTTTATTTGTACTATTCCACATTCATAAAGATCCCTAATGACCTCTTATAATGAACAAACAAACTTTGAGTTCAAAGCAAAGTGTCACGACCAAGTCATACTTTGAGTTCAAATGGTGGGCAACGGCAAAGCCAATCCAATTCATGCGATGATTTGGTTTCAGGGATAGAAGTTGCTGTCTAGTCTCAACGAAACCTGTCAGGTCTCGCATTTGAGCCTGCAACATGAAAGGAAAATGTCAACCTTTTTATCGAACAGTTTTTATATTAGCAAAAATTCACGGTTGAAAAGAGCAGGGAAATGGCATGACTTATAAGCAAGGCATACAGGACTGAACTGAGGTAAATACCATGACACCTAGTTAGAACCTTAGAACAACTTATCAGGGTATTTGTTTAGTAGGAGCACCTACATTGGCTTTCTTGGATGTAAAACAGTATTGTGAAATATGTTGTTCTATGTGAAGGTGTAGAGACGACCAAAAGATTAATTATCTTATATTTTACAAATTATGGAAAACAGTTGCATAGGTAAAACAAGTTTCGATTTTCTGTGGCATACAAGCATGTCATGTAGGTAAAAAGGTTTCCAAAGACTTGAAATAGACCGTATGTAAGTTATTAAGCACAAGAACATTATCTCAACCTCAGAAAATCAACTTCAGTGCCAAGAATGGTTTATTAAACATCAGCAGCAGTTATAGGAAATGAAAAGAAAGCATGGCAACATTTTGATATCATAACCAAACCTGGGAACAAAAGAAATGTGTAGGAAGGGAAACAACACATCTATAGAACCATTTGAATTATAGCTTGTCTACAAAGGGCATCCATCAATATAATAAAGGCAGTAGAATCTAGGCAAGTTTCAAAAGCTCTCGATTATATGGTCCCAAAAATTCTAATCGTGCAAAGACTACATAAAGAGAGAGAACTCATAGTGAAGGGGTGAACAAGGTCAAGTTCTACCTGCAAGAGTGACAAGTCCCTCAGTATTTCAATATTGTCTGGATCTATTCTCAATGCATTTCGATAGCATTTGATGGCCTCCCTATATTCTCGGTCCGATCGGTAAAGGAGGCCATAAACATGCCAGCAAACATGGCTTTTAAGGTCATTCTGCATTAAAGAAACAAACAGAAACACCTTATTGCATCACAAAGACGAGATGGAAAAGGAAAGAAATGTAAATTTAAATGTTATACTAATAGGCAGAGCAAGTAAACCTTTAAGCCAAGTCGGACAAGTTCATATGCTTCAGATTTACGATCCATGCAATTTAATGTCAAACCCTTCATTGATAAAGTTTCTGGAAAGCAAGAGGAACCAAATTCAAAAAAAAAAAAAAAAAGGGTTAAAATGAAAGAATGCACTGAAATCTGATAAGCGATTAATTAAAAAGTTGTAGTAGTAGAAAAATTCAGAGGGCAAAGTTTCTAATGGGATAAAAATTATATGCACGTGATCACATAAAAAGAAGGAAACAACCATATTTTCAGTTCCAATATAGACAATAACTACAGCTTTACCACTTCAATATCCTCTTTTGTAATTAGGACGTCTTATATTATGAATTTGAAGTCCCAGATTTGTCTTGAAGCATCTCATAGTGAGAGGCTTAACAGCAACCCAACCATAAATGTTATTATCTAATAAAACAAGTGAGAACCAAGTCTTTGCTGGTTGCAAAGCCAGCAGATCCCCCATTTTTGCTCACAACAAAAAAATTAGGTAATTTATTCTTAGTAACTGGCTCACTGCATGATGAAATGAATATTAACTGAGATTCCTAGGAATCAGAACCCTACAGGCAGGAACCTAATAACCTCTATGTTCTATTTCAGTTGTTTCTCTTCACAATTAGTCCGAATTTCAGAACCCTAGAATCTCATCTCTGTTGTTCTAGTCATTTTAACTTGACGAAATGCTCCTAAGCAGCCAGCGCCGGACTTCCAACACTACTACAGATAAGAAATTCATCATCGCACAACAAAAATAAAAAAAAAATCTTTGCACTGCCTAAAACTTTTTATTTCCTACTTTGATCCGCAACATCGTCAGTGTTTTTTATCCTTCAATGACCATCACATTCTTTTTCATACAGAAGAGATTTGTTCATCGAAGGATATGCTAGAGAAATCTGACTTTCAAAAGCATAAATTTTTAGACATAACAAGTGAACGCTACCTCCATGCTCTGGAAACTTCTTCAAGATAGCATCTGCTGCCTTCAGTCCCTTCTTATACTGTTTACTTTCATATGATTTCTGCAATGATCGAAAGAAATTCATTATTTTTTTCAAATAAAAGAAACCATCAAATGGCCCTCATATAGATAAATTTGGTCATCTAAATAATCTAGCAATAATAAGAAGTTACAGAAGGCCGTTGCAATTTATGGAACCATGACACCACAGATGCATGATTGTAGTTCAGCCAAAAGCTTAATAAAGTCAGAACAACAGACGGCACCTAATAGGCAAATAAGTGGCACTTGACGAAAAGAAAATTGTTGAATTTGGACTCAAATAAATAACACTTTTTGACAGAACAGATTCCACCATAAAAACGGCAATGCCAACAAAGTTAAATCTTCAACCCAGACTATGAATTAGCATAGAATCAGAGTTTCAATCTATTGAAGTATCGCATTAACAATCAATATGTGTGTTACATCCACATTCAGTCACTTGTTTCGTGGATAAAAAGAACTGGCATTAGCAAACTGAAGCACAAGAGGTTAAAAAAAAATCAAAATTTCAAGCATTGAAATACGGAACAAGCCATCAAAAATCATAAAACAAGAAACTTGAAATCATTCAAGCTCGTTAACACAACAAATACCCTAACTTGAAACTCAACTTCAATCGGCCCAGATTAGTTTAACGGCACTGTTTCCTTATTCATTAAAACAAACACACACAAAAAAAATAAAAAAATAAAATAAAGTCCTCAATTTCTCTGATTCCAGAATAATCCATGATCAGTCTGGAGTAAGAAATGAATGCATCATTATTGTAATTCAATTACGATCGTACAGTTATTTGTACTAATTGAAACAATAAAGTAAACCTATAGATACACAAATAGATATAGTAAGAGAGAAAGCGAGAGAATCGGCGGCTTACGACGATGAGCTTGAAGAGGTTAGCCTCTTTGGGAGGCAGAGACGCTCCCATTTTTTGTTAATGAGAGAGGAAGAGGTAGGGTTTTACAGAGAGACGATAGACTTGAGAGAGAGATTGGGCGGTTAGGGTTTGGTGTCGTTTTGCTTATGTTTTTTGTTATTATTATTAGTATTGGAGTGGAGAGAGCTGCGAAGTGGAGACGGAGAGAAAGCGAGACGGGAGTGGTGGCTTTTATCTGCTGCAAGGCAAGTGAAGAGGCAAAAGGCAACCCTACTGTGAGAAAGAAGCATAAAATTAGAAAATTAGAAACGACAAAAAAACGAGTGAACAAATCTTGCTACTGGCGAAAGGGAGAGGAATAATTGCACCATAAGTATACTAGTAGTTAATATTTTTTAACTGGTGTTCATACATTTTAGTTTTTTATTTAAATATATCAATTTTTTTAAAAAACGGTTAATTAAGTATTTTTTTCGTCTTGTTTCCATCAATTGGTCAACTATTTGATAACTGGTTATTGGCTCCACACTATTAAATTACAATTTCTATCTTTTCATTATTGAAGAGAACTTTCTCTCTTAAATTATTTTGCCCCTTCTATTTTTAGGATATATAGATAATTTGAAAAAATTATAATGTAATAAAAATTAGAAAATAGCAAAAAGGATATTCGCTATATAAAAGTAGTAGAAAATAGCAAAAAATTCAAGTGGAAAAGTTTTGACTAAAAATGAAAGGGTAAAATTATAATTTAGTAGTTTAAAAAAATAATATGACATCAAATAGTTGAACAATTGACGAAATCGATCAAAAATATTTGATTGATAGTTTTAAAAATAATTAATATACTCGGATAAAAAATATTAATGTTCATGTGGTCATTAAAAAAAAACATTAAAAGTTTATATATTTATAATGTAATTATCACGAAAGGAAAAGGATTAGATTATTGTGTCTATGTAAATTGGAGGGGTATTTTGTAATCTAACAAATAAACATTTATCACATGATTGATTTACCATGAAATTGCATTCCTTTTTCTAGTTTAATTATTAAATTAAAAAAAAGTAGAAAAGAAAGAAATACTTTTTCTAGGTGGGATTTTCCACAAAATTGGATGTGTTTTTTTTAATTATTATTATTATTATTTTGCGGACCCTTTTTAAATTTGGATGGGAATTCACAATTGAGTAATAGAGTTTTTTCTTTTATGTTTTCAATTATCGGTAGATATCATTTTCACATTTTATCTCGGAATTAAGCACTACTAACTTATTTTTAGATATTAGATTTTCTTCTTTCTTTCTTTTTTTTTTTTTTTGAAAAATTATAAAATTAGATTGAATTTTCTTTGAATATGTCTTTTTAGATGTTTTAGCATGTATTAATAGTTAGTTTTGTATCGTATGGATAAGATTGTGTTCTAATTAAAAGATTATTTGTAAAGATATGCCGGTTTGAGTGTATTGGTAACTTATGTTCTAACTTGCTTTATTTTAAACCAAAAAAAAAATATTATTTTGGTAAAATGTTTTTTCATATATGTTTCTTGTGCAATTAGGGCAAATACTACTTTGAGTGTAAGGAACAAAAATTGTGATGATTTGAATTCAAATTTAAGAGAATTTATGAGACATTTATGTCTAATTATGTCTTGCGGTACTAGTTTTATCTAAAAAAAAAAAAAAAGGGTTTTTGTAGTGCCGGTGAGTGGATCAAAATATTGACACGGTAGCATCCGGACTAGGGGTGTACAAACGGTTCGATTAACCGAAAACCGAACCGTATCAAGGTATTTGGTTTGGTTTTGAATTTAAAATTTACTATTTATAATCGAACCAAAAAACCAAAATTTATTTCGGTTCGGTTCGATTTTTTTAAAAAATTTCGGTTCAAACCAAAAACCAAAATTTATTCCTTATTTTTATTTCGAATTTTGATTTCAATGTTTTACTATTTCTCTTCTCATTTCCAATTCCAAATAACCAAAATCGGCAAATCCCTAACCACTAAGTCCCTCGCTACCAATTGCTGCATGCCAGTTACCTCGTTGCGCTCGCATAGGCCCTAAGTCCCTCGCCGTCGTTGCCTCGCCGCCACTCGCCTCGGCCGTCCGGGCGTTCTCTCTCGGCTCTCTCACTCTCGGATTTGGCGAGTACTATTATATTCGGTTGTTTGAAGTTGGAAAGACTAAAGAGTTCTCTGTTGTAATGTTGTGGGCATATTCTCTATACTTGTTTCTATTGTAAACTTGTAATGTTGTAATGTTTGGAGTTGAAAGAAGTTATGGTCAACCACTTTCCCGTGGCTACTGGCTAGTGAATTGAATAATTCAAGGACTTATGTAAAGTTGTATAACTTGTATTTGTTAGAATATATACAAGTGAGTCGAAGTGAGCACTAAGCGGTGGCGATAGGCCTACTACCGGCGACCGGTAGGCAATAGGCCTACTGCCACTACTCACTCGTATATATTCTAGCAAATACAAGTTATACAACTTTACATAAGTCCTTGAAATTATTGAAATGAATTCAAATGGAAGAAAAAAATCTGTAGATATATGAATTCTAATTTGTTGACCATTACTTACCAAATCTTGCTCTATAATTTGATTTGCTCTTGTAGTCCAAATAATCTTATACCATGTTGTATCTGGAATAATAGTAATTAGTAAAACTTCATTCTCAATTCTATGAGAATTTTTTTGAAAGCTTACTACCTACGACCGGTAGGCTTACTGGCAATGAGCGATAGAGCCTCCCGCCTAGCTAGATTTTTTTTTTTTTTGGCTTAAGCTTAAGGACTAAGGAGTATGAACTATGAAGCTTAATACTTTTTTTTCTTATATTTTTATGTAGATATCGCAATCTCAATCTATAGAGATGAATTATGAAACTGTGGATTCAAGCAATCCTAATCCACAATCAAGTGCAACTCCAAGTAACACTCGAGACGATGGCAAAGGAAAGAAGAGGAAATCAATGAAGCCAAGATCGATGGTGTGGGATCATTTTACAAAGTTTGAAGATGACAAGAAAAACATGAAGGTTAAATGTAACTATTGTGATAAGGTATTTGCTTGTGATCCTTCAAAAAATGGGACAACTTCACTTAGGTCTCATGTTTTGACTTGCGAAAAAAACCCTTTTAGTTGTATTGACTCTACCCAAACTCGGTTAGACCTAAGAAAGCTTGAAGTGGGAGAAAACAATCTTACCACATGGAAGTTTGATCAAAACGTCAATAGAAAAGATTTAGCTGAAATGATCATTCTAGATGAGCTTCCATTTAAGCATATAGAGGGCGGGGGATTCAAAAAGTTTTTATCTAATTTGCAACCTAGATTCAAGCTTCCATCTCCTTTTACAATATCAAGAGATTGCTATGAAATTTATTTAGATGAAAAAATAAAGTTGAAGCAATTTTTGAAACAAAATAGTTAAAGAATTAGTCTTACTACGGACACATGGACATCTATTCAAAGAATCAATTACATATGTTTAACGACTCATTTTATTGATAATGATTGAAAGTTGCATAAAAATATCTTGAATTTTTGTCCGATTGATAGTCATAAGGGAGTAGATTTAGGTATTGTCATTGAGAAATGCTTGATTGATTAGGAAATTGAGAAGGTTTTTAGTATTACGGTTGATAATACGAGTTCAAATGATGTGGCAATTAGGCACTTAAAAGATGTGATTAAGAATTGAGGTTATAGCATCTTAGATGGTGAATTCATCCATATAAGGTGTATGACACATACTTTGAATCTAGTTATTGTTGATGGGTTAAAACATTTTAATCTTTCAATCGTTCGTATTCGATTGACCGTTAGGTTTGTGAGGCAATCTCCAACTAGGTTGAAAAGATTTAAGGAATGCATTCAAATTGAGAAAATTGATTCTATGAGTTTGTTACAACTAGATGTTGCTACTAGGTGGAATTCAACATACTTAATGTTATAGTTAGCTCTAAAGTTTGAGAGAGCTTTTAAGAGATATGAGCAAATTGATCCTTTATATAGGAGTGAATTTGATGTAGATCATGATGATAATGTTGTTGGGCCACCTAATGTTGATGTTTGGAAGTCTTGTAAGAAGTTGGTGAGCATGTTGAAAATTTTTTACAATCTCACTTTGCGTATTTCGGAGTTCTTTGTATGTGACTTCAAGTATTTATTTTGAAGAGATTTATGCTCTTGAACATGTTTTGAAAAAATAAAAACGAAGTGGGGATTTAGATGATTTTACGTTGACCAATAAAATGAAAGAAAAGTTTGAGAAATATTGGGGGATATTAAGAAAATGAATAAGTTGATTTATATTACGACAATACTTGATCCTAGGCATAAACTTGTATTTATTGAATTTTTAATCAATGAATTATATGGTGATTTAGAGGGTCAAAGAATGTCAAATATTGTCAAGGAATCTATGTATGCTATGTATGATTTCTATTATCGTTCGTCAACATCTCAATGTGAAATTGGCCATGGTAATGGGAGTCGCGAAATAGTTATGGGTTGTGCAAATGAAGAAATGATTGATGAAGAAGAAATTAGAATAAAAAGGGAGATAATAATGCGTTTTGAAAAATACAAGTGTGATATTGGAGGTGGAGGAAATAAAACAGAGTTGGATAAATATCTTAGTGAAGGTGCTAAAAATAACGGTGATGGTTTTAATATTTTAAATGGTGGAAAACCAATTCTTCTCGTTTTCCCATCCTTTCACAAATGGCTAGGGATATATTGGCGAGTTCATGTTTCTACTTGTTTCCTCATAATCGACATTTAGCACTTGGAGGAAGGGTTCTTGACTACTTTACGAGTTCTTTGACTCCTAGCTTAGTGAAATCTCTTATATGTGCTCGAGACTCGGATTAAAAATTCATCGACACTAATTATTATTGAAGAAAATTTGCAAGATGTTGAGAAAATGCAAGATGGTAATTTCTATAACTCTTACCTTTTCATTTGTTATTTCTTTCCTTTATATTAATATTAAAAGTTTAATTTTTGTATCTTATAGTTTTCGAGTTACCACTTGCCACTACCTCTATTACAAATGGTTAAATCTTGATGGGTTGATGACTTGATGGTGTTTTGGCGTGATGAATGGTATGCGTAAGTTACTAAGTTTCTACTTTTTAAGTTTGATTTTTTATTTCGTTATTTGTGCAAGTTTAGTCGGTAAGTGAGAATTGTAAATTTTTATTTTCATTGAACTAGAGAAGAGAACTATAGTAGGTACTAACCTATTGCCTCGGTGCCTCGTGTCCACCGGCGTAGGCCTACCGCTCACCGCCGTAGCCTACTACCTTGGTGTCTCCTACCTACCGACAAGTGGGCGGTAGGCCTATTGCCTTTGATTTTCGTAACGGAGTTAAATTGTTAATATCCTCTTTTAAGAGCATTGAGTGTTTGTTGGGATTTCATTCTATTGCGGATCTCGAAGGAGGTATTGCAAATGCACAAAAATCATTTGTTTTAGGACGGGAAGAGAGCTCGTGTCTCGTACTCTTTGTTGAGAAATGAGAATGGACATTCTACCATGTTTTTGTTGTTTAATATCAATTGCATTGTATCCGAATCTTTGTTTCATCAATAATTATTTTGCATGACTTATTTCCTTTTCGATATATGAATGTTAAACATGTTGGGTGTTTAAATTTGACTTTAATTGTGAATTTTTTTAGGTGTTGAATCCTTTTTAGAAAAGAAAGTTGTTACTTGTTAGCTCGGCATTGTTAATTACTCGAGCTTAGGCAAAGAAAAAATAAATGAAAGTTATGGGAGAAGCTGTCTAAAGTCTAAAATGGAGAAGTAATGAAAAAATTTGGTTAAACCGAATAATTTGATTACAAAGCTGAATTAATTTTGGTTCGGTTTCGGTTTTTATTTTTCCTACTTTGGTTAATTGAAAACCGAACCGAATTATACTTAACCGAACCATTTAACCGAATGCTCACCCCTACCACTTGCCACTACCTCTATTACAAATGGTTGAATCTTGATGGGTTGATGACTTGATGGTGTTTTGGCGTGATGAATGGTATGTGTAAGTTATTAAGTTTATATTTTCTAAGTTTAATTTTTTATTTCGTTGTTTGTGCAAGTTTAGTCAATAAGTGAGAATTGTAAATTTTCATTTTCATTGAACTAGAGAAGGGAATCATAATAGGTACTAGCCTCATCGCCTCGGTGCCTCGTGCCCATCGCCGGTAGCCTGCACCGCCTATCGCTATAGGCTTACTAAGTAGGCCTGCTCGCTAGTAGGCCTACGGCGATAGAGCGGTAGGCTTATTGCCTTGGTGTCTCTTGCCTACCGACGAGTGGGTAGTAAGCCTACTCGCCTTTGATTTTCGTAGCATGTTAAATTGTTAATATCCTTTTTCAAGAGCATTGAGTATTTGTTGGGATTTCATTCTATTGCGGATCCTGAAGGAGTGAAGGTATTGCAAATGCACGAAATCATTTGTTTTAAGACAAGAAGAAAGCTCGTGTCTCGTCCTTTTTGTTGAGAAATGAGAACGGACATTCTACCATGCTTTTGTTGTTTAATATCGATTGCATTGTATCCGAATCTTTGTTTCATCAACAATTATTTTGCATGACTTATTTTCTTTTCGATATATGAATGTTAAACATGTTGGGCGTTTAAATTTGACTTTAATTATGAATTTTTTTTAGGTGTTGAATCCTTTTTAGAAAAGAAAGTTGTTACTTGTTAGCTCGGCATTGCTAATTACTCGGCTTAGGCAAAGAAAAAATAAATGAAAGTTTTGGGAGAACTGTCTAAAGTATAAAATGGAGAAGTAATGAAAAAATTTGGTTAAACCGAATTATTTCAAAACCGAACCAAAATAATTTGGTTACAAACCGAATTAACCGAATTAATTTTGGTTCGGTTTCGATTTTTATTTTTCCTACTTTGGTTAATCGAAAACCGAACTGAATTATGCTTAATCGAACCCTTTAACCGAATGCTCACCCCTTATATGGACAACTAAAATATTTGAGAATACGTATCAATCTATCCTTACAATAGTAGATTATAAATTACTCGTTTTAATTTTATGAAATAAATTAATTAATCCTTTTTATTTCAAATTATGTAATTATTTAATTAACATTAATCATGATTAATTTAATATTATTTTATTTCAAAAAATATCTTTTTTCTAATTAATATATATATATATATATATAAATTAAAAAACATAAAATGGACAAAAAAAAATTAGTTTTTGAAACATAGAGATTAATTTATTTCTCAAAACTAGAAGAACTAATTTATGATTTATTCATCCTTATGAGAATAAATTGCGGATTTTTCCCAATCATAATTATTGCAAAAAAAATATCAATTCGGAATTGAGTTTTTCTATAATATCTAAAATATCACTACCGTTAAGATCAATTGTCACACAATAGTTGCTTTCGTAGACGAAAATGCATGAAAATTGGCATATAATTAAAAAAAAAACTAAATTAGGTGATGGTTTTCCTATTTACACATACCCATTGATACCGTCGACTCGAGTCGTTATTCGATGTTATGCTTCGTTCTCACCCTTTCGGTCATCCATCACCTATTGTTTTTCCTTTGCTCTCTCTCTCTCTCTCTCTCTCTCGTTTCCCCTCCTTTCACCTTCTATTATTTCTTTATGCTTACTTTCGTGCCTTACTTTCATTTTTTATTAATTAATTATGTTTCCACCAAGTCTTCTTTGTGTTGCTTATTTGTGCCCTTTAGTTGTTTGTTAAATTGTTTCTTTGCATGAACATCTAGAATGTTTCTAAGGAATTATGATATCAAGCAATAAACAAAATTGTATTTGTATTATCTAAGGAACCCTTCGAGTAGTTCTCGCTTAATCTTTCTATTTTGGTTCATTTCCTTTATGTGATTCTCAAATTCAGTCGACAATTTGAGATTTTAAATTCTATAATATCAATTGTGTCAAGCACATATATATATTCTCTTTGGAAACCGAAAGCATTTTTATGTTAGTGACACGCAAAAACAACAAATTTCATTATGCAATTAAGGAAAACAAATATTTCGCTATGAATCCAAATAAAAAGAAGCATTGGATATTATCCAATATCCTTTTTTCGGACCTTTTACCTTTAAAATCATAAAAAGGTCCTTTTTTTTTCAAAACGAGTATAGCGTTTGTCATAAAATTTAATGATGAGTTAATGAATCGAATAATGTTTGATAGGTAGGGAAATCTAATTAAGAATTTGTTTTATATACAGATTTAGTTAAGAATCGGATGATATTTGGAGGATGAAGAAAGTCATTCGTCTAGGGGAAAAAACAAAAATTACTTAATAACGACAACAAAATTCGGTATTGTTATTGAGTTATAACTTAGTCGGCATCGGTCTCCGCCCCTCATCTCCCGAAAGATCTACAATTCAAACCTCTCCTTTTATTTATTTTTTATTTTTTTAAATCAACATTTTATAGCTCCTTAATTAAGTACCGAAAAAACAAATAGTTGCAAGTCACTCTTATTTTACGATTTCAATTATAAAAAAAAATGATGCTTACCTTTAGAGTCTCCACACACACACACACACACATATACAAAGGCTCGAGAAACAAAATTATAAACCAAATTAATGGAATCTTTTTACATAATTAAATTTAGAATGTGAATCTTTTTACATTCAATGGCACCTACACGAGAAATTAATACACGGTCATGATCTACCATCAAATATCATGAACCAAAACAAATAAAACTATTACAAATAATTAAAAATTTTTTTATCTATTTAGTAAATCACATTTATAATGCCAATCTTTTCACATTTAATAACTCATTTATGGTTATTGAATAAAATAATTAATAAAACATAAAAAAATGTAAATATTCAAATATTAATTAACAATGGTTGCTCCATACATGGATCCATATAGAATGATAAGAATATTTCCATACGAGCACAATTATTATTTATTTATTTCAATTTTTTTCTTTTTTTCTTTTTCTCTTTATGCCTATCTTTTTCTTATTGCCCAAGCATTATTAGTTATCCCTAGAGTAACACAAAATTTCTCCATCCTTTACAAAATAACGTGGACAAATTAATGACATGTAAAAACTTTATTAGTCTCATTCATGATCTTAGATGTTAGAACAAATTCATATAATAATTTCCTCGCATTTATAATCATAAAATAAAATAATTAATAATACATAAAATATGATATATTTGTATAATAATTTCTCTAAATTTATAATTATGAAATAAAATAATTAATAATACATTCATCATAAAATATGATATATTCTTATAATAATTTCTCTAAATTTATAATTAAGAAATAAAATAATTAAGAATACATTTATCATAAAATGCAAACAAATTTAATAACGTATGAAAATTCTATTAATTTTATACATAATTTTAAGCGATTAACCAAATCCGTATAATAATTTCTCCCTTGTCGGTAGATGAAAGTGATTGTGGATTAGAAATTTTCTTTTCTTTTTGTCAAGACTGGTTTCGCTCTCAAAATCTTTCTTTCAAACGGTGTTGGATAATATCCTCAGCACTATTGTCTTAGGCTACCATAAAAAATGTACATAGGCCTCATTTCACCTTCTTTAGCTCTATGTGTCTATTTTTTTTTCTTTCACGATCACAGCAATCCCCGCTCTAACTTAGCCAACCCAACACCTAGCAGGTCTATAAACAGAAGACGCTTTTGGTCTGTTCACCGAACACCAATTTCTCTGAATTTCGTTAATCTCTATGAAGGAGCATCAAAACATTCATTTTAAGATCAGGATAACAAATGCCTTCAGAAACAATTAGATTCACTTATCATGTAAAAATTTAGAGGCAACAGTATTGTACGCAGTGTCAATTTCCTCCTCTGTCATTTCAATTGTTTCATCACTGTCACACTCGGCCGCATCGCCAGTGACGGCGTTGGTCCTACAATTACCATTCCTCCCACTTTCATCAGCTTTCGAACTTTGTTCCTTACTCTTTGAATCAACTATACTGCTAAGTTCTTCTCCATACATTTCTTTACATGCCTTGGCCTGCCTGCAAAGATCTTCCTTTGAAAGAGAAGCTGAAGAATTTCCGGCATCTACAAGCTTTACAATCTCCTCAACTGCGTGAGGGACAACATTCCACTGCTCTATTATTTTCCGGACATCCTAAGCAGACAATAGTGACAAATTTCAGAGCAGGATTCATAGATGTTAGCCAAGCTAGAATACATAGTTCATCTATGCTGGTAACACTAAACAAGCTTCATTCAGAACTGGTACTAGGATTGAACTTCTGATGAATTTCTGAAGGGAAATCCAATATCAGTTCTGGAAGGCGCAGGTGTACTGAAGTAGGAGTAATTGACTTCAAGAAATCACGGTCCTGATGTGCAAAGCTGGACAAATGACCTGCCCACCTCCCTCGGCTCCAGAATGAAAGTTCAATATAACCAAATCTACAGTGGGTAACAGTGACTAGCAATGCAATGCAAGCATTCAACATAACTGAAAAAGTATTAAGAATTAAGAAAACATTTCTATGTAAATCATCTGTAAAGGTTTAGGAAGGGTAATGATCTGCAAAAGCAAGGTGGTTTAAGCAAACTGTCTTTGGGAAAAATTACAAATATTTATAGGACCGTGCATAAAAATCATGATGAACTGAAAAGCTAAATGCATTTTTCTATGAGCAAAAAGCAGTAAAAATCAGCATTACTAATTAATCAATTGATAGGATCTGCTTTACAACCTCTCCACTCACCATGAAAGCGGTAAGTATTTTCAATGGAAGGAGATGCGAATAAAATCAGATGAGAAGTTCCTCTGATTTGAACTTTGAAGAGTGGTATTCTATGAGAAGATTATACCTGATTTTGTTCAAGGAAATCTATGGCATCTTGTAAACAAATTAAGATCCCTTCAGCAGCTATTTGTTTTATCTCGCTTGCCTCTGGCTGTTGAAAAGGAAAACTATAATCAGGTTCATGCAATATATTCGGCACAACTTGCACACAAATAAGCAAGATAGGCAGCAGGATAAGGCATGTTTTGACCAGCTTAAAGTAAAGATGAGTGAAAAATAATGTCATCATATTCATATGTGACATATCTGCTTTAAACAGATTTCACTGTTTCCCACATTCAAGAAAACTTTTGCCCAATCAAGAAAAGCTTTTGCAAGATAAAGTTGTCACATGTCACTTACCTTTTCCTCTTGACTCTCTAGCCATGAGATGGTTCTATTCAAATCGTCAATAACCCAATCCTTCACTTTAGAAGGAAAGAAGAACTCTTTAGTGGGATTAGAGGCTCTACCCTGAGAAACATGTATCACAACAATCGACTGAATATTTGTGGCAGATGTAAGATTTGTTGGAAAGGAGTTAAAATGTCTCATATATACAAAATTTTGCTGCCATACTGGAATGGTTCTACAGTAAGGAAAGCCTATTGCAATTCCCTCATTAGAACACCAGTAACTACAATAACCTTGTAGGATGTAGAGGCAGTTGGCTTTGAATGCAATCCACCTTTGACCTGTTTCTGAGATTTTCTAGGTGGGGATGCCTTTGCATCTGCATTGGAAGCAATCTCTTGGTTCAGTCAAAAAGATGGGGAAGGGGGAGGACTTCCAAAGCATAATATGGAGAAAAAATATCAAACACATAACGAATTAAAGCACCTCTTATATCAATTTTTAGTAACAAAATAAATCATCTGATGCATTATTCTTTGTCAGAATCATGACAAGAATACATAAAGAAGCTATTTGCTCAACATGCTAAAAACATTCTACTGCTAAATAATACTTAAAGAGTGTTTATCTCTTGACAAAAAATGTGGTAATAGGATAGAGATTACATTACCACTGCCTATTTCGTGAGAAATATTGGATTTCCGCCAAGGTTTCCCAGCATGCAGAAGATAACTATCAATTTCAACTAGCTTCTTCTGGCTGTAACACTCTAATATCCATTCCTGACGCAAACATACAACAAATTAAGCATCACATCGAATTATTACTAAGAACGAATAACTGAGGGTGAAATGGAATATAAAAACAAAAAGGCTGCTGATTTAACGCAGTCGATTCAGTAATAACCTTCTTAACAATGGTTCCACAATCCGCCTCGACTTGTCGAAACTTTGGAGTATTTGAATAAGCACAGACCAAGAGAGTGCAATCTGGGGTCCAGTCTGGTCGATACTCAGCTCCCATTTCTAAAGCCTGGGACCGCAATGTAGCCCGCTCTGGATTAACAAAACCGGACAATACAAACACCACACCTTCCTGCCAAATCAAAACAGAAGTAAAATGAAACACAGAAGTCGTAACATTAAATCCAACAACGAAGCCGTAAACAATACCAGAAGTTTAGATTCGTCCTTTTCTGCAGATTTATTCTCATTGTCTTTTGAACTCATCCATGAAGGAAGATTTCGCTTTTTAGCACTCCCTCCTTCACCACTTATCTTTGAATCAGACATGCTTCAAATTTATATACAAGTTAAGCTAATGATTATCTCTCCCGTCTCTTTCCACTGCACAAAAATCTTCAATTTCTCAAAAAATACTATTGTCAATTTGGGCGGAAAAAAGCAGCTAATAGCACAAATTAAAGCAAATTACAAACTATAGTAATTAAAACTCCTTAGAAACTAATGGGCAGAAAAAGAAGAAAACTAGGGGTTTTGAAGACTTAAAAGGAAAAAAAGAAGGAAGGAATAATTGAACTCACAAGGCAGGAGAAGGGACAATCTTTTCTTCCTTTTCCTATTTACTCTTTGCCTAGCCTAGGTCAGCCAGCCTCCGTACAGAATTGAAGGGTTTTAAGTGTTTTCTTTTAGTTCCTATTACTATGTCATATTCAAAAGAAAAACAATTCGACACAGTACAGTGGACGTGCCGGAGTGGTTATCGGGCATGACTAGAAATCATGTGGGCTTTGCCCGCGCAGGTTCGAATCCTGCCGTTCACGATAATTTTTACTTTTGCTACACCAATATATTCTCGAGACACGTGTTCTTTTTAATTTAATTTTGCAAAAAGTGCCACTGCATTGGCCTAAACACCCAATCCATCCCGCTCGCTGTGTCTTTTCGAATCTAACTACTAAAACTAGCCCGCTGTCACTTCTCTTCCTCTATCTTCACTGCCATTTCAATTTAAAAAAAAAAAAAATTAAAATGACGAACTTGGTGGATCCGCTGCAGGGATACAGTGGATTGTCTCTCTTCCACAGGACTTTAGGTTCTCTTCCCCAGCCTCTCAATGATCCCGATTCCCATCACGATGATCTTCTCTCCGCGCACAATTTGCTTAAATCCCTGGTACTCCTCTCTCTTTCCTTTTTTTTTGGGGATTATTCTTCACTTTCCTCTGAATATTCGCTTCAATTTTGATTGTTTCACATTCATTTTTTATACATTTTTTTCTTTATTTTTATAATTCGTTCTTCTTTGTTCACTCGTTTGAGTTTGAAGTGAAAGCGCCTGGTTACAATTTTTCTTCATTTTAGCCTAAAGAAATGCGGCGTCGTTATTTATTTTAAAATTTTGCAGCATGCTTTCCTTCTTTCTTCTCTTCAGATTTTTTTTTTTCAGAAAAGGATTTCTAGCCTCTGGTTCTAGGGTTTTATTCAGTTTTTTTTTCTGTGAAATTTGAGTGTTTTGCTGCTGATTTACTTTTATTTCGATATTTTCCTGAAAAATTGTAGCATTTGTTCCCGTCTGTTGTAATTTTGTGAAATTTATGCTCAGTTTGGGCTTCTACTAAAGTTGAAGTTCTAATTTAATTACCTTCTTTATTTAATGTTTGTTATTTATAAGCTTGAATTTTTGCATTCACTAACTTAATGAACGATATGTTTAACTTTACAGCCTGTCCAAAATTCTGATAAACTTATAGAGCAGGCGAAAAGCATTTTAGATGCTACTTCAGAACCTGGGAATGCGGACTTGCCAAATGATGTAATGCCTGAAGATAAAAGTGAAGTTGTTGTTCGAAAGGCTGCAGAAAGTCCCCGGGCACGAAGACCGGGTTTAGGGCGTAAGCGTGCTCGGTTTTCTTTGATTCCTAATTCAAGGTAAAGCCTGTTTACATCTCTAAGAATATAGATAGAAAAGTAAATGGAGGTTATATTGGAGGTGGTTTTGTTGAGTACTAAATATAATTATTTTTTTTGATTTGACAGTCAACCTACTGTGAATTTGGAACCAACTTTGGATATTGATAACCTGAAAGACCCAGAGCAATTCTTCTTGGCTTTTGAAAGGCTTGAAGGTTCTTGCACATTGTTATTGTTGTTGTTGAGCCTTTTGTATTGTGAGAGTTGCTTATGACGCGATGATTGTTGTTCAGATGCTAAAAAAGAAATGGCAAAACAGACAGGTCATGCTTCGATTGGCTCCAATCAATCCAGTATGTCAATGGCTCCACGGCCTCGTCGACCTGGAATGCCTGGGTAACATTAATGTTTATTTCTTGATTATATAAATTGCATTATATTGCCTAGCCATTTCTGTGTGTATTTCATCTTTATTTTTAGCTTGGCCATATCACACAAATTTTTTCTACATTTCAGGAGATCTAGGACCGTTAAATATCAACATCTCTATCCAACCATGTCCTCCCAGGAAACCTTTATGGAAGAAATTCTTAATCCATCTAGTCCTGCCTCACAACAAGAAACAGTCAGTCAAGATGTTGCATCACAACTAAGGGAATCGACGAAGGTTGCCTCAGAAGCATCAGAACTAGCTGGTGAGTGACTTCTTGTTTGGGAACAAGGTTGATCAACTCTAAATTGATTCTCTCTCCTCTTTGAAGCTATGATCTACCATAGAAAATCCTGCATTATTTTTCCAGAATAAATGTCTGATAACATTTGTAATTATTCCTATGTAGCTTCAATGACCAAGGCTGAGAAAAGCGTAGGTAAACTTCTAGATGAGTTGCTTGCTTGTGATTCTAAAGAGCTGGATGGGGATGGAGCAGTCACTTTGTTACAGGACCGCTTGCTGGTCAAGCCACTTGACATGGAGAAGTTGAACCTCCCTGAGCTGCTTTATGTACAAAGGAGCAATTTGAATGCGTTGGGAGGAAATTTGCCAAAGCCAAGGAATGTGTTATCAGACATACGTAATTTACCAAGAAGGACTATAACTCCTATGAAGCAGCAAATTGCAGGAAATTCTGCTCCCAGTTTTGGTTCGCCCACTCTGTCGAAAAGTCCATTGGCTTCGCTAGCATTATTGAGGAAACGCATGCTGCAGTCAAATCCACCAACTGATCCATTTTCAGTTTTGGATATTGATCAGCCACCAGACACAAATACTTCTTCATTTGAAAACATCAAAAATTCCGCTGATCCAGTTAACACTGAAAATGACTTGAGCATGCTGAAGTCTCTAATAATTGAAGAAGATGACACAACAGCTGGTAATATTAGTCCAACTGAGGTGGCTATTGGAGATTCTGGAACTTCTTTGAATAAATCTCTGAATGACAATTTGACTAGTCTTGGTTCTGGTAGTGATGTTCGTCCTAGCAAATCTAGTGCTGAGGTGGAGAATAGCAATGCCAGTGTGGATAATGGGGTCATAAATGAGAATTTACGCCAGCTTGGTGATGATGCAGAGATTCAAACAAACAGTCTAAATGAACTGGAGGACATGGTGAGTTTCCTCTTCACTAGCTTATGCCTTTCCATTTTCATTGTCTTGAATCTCTCAATAAAGATCTTACCCCTTGAGGTTCTGCAATGTAGGTGGAAGATATTCAGCAGAAAACTGTAGATAAATCTCTGAATGACAATTTGAGTAGTCTTGGTTCTGGTAGTAATGTTTGTTCTAGCAAATCTAGTGCTGAGGTGGAGAATAGCAACATTGGTGTGGATGAGAATTTGAGTCTGCTTGGTGGTGATGTGGATATTCAAACAAACGGGCCAAATGAACTGGAGGTCTTGGTGAGTTTCCTTTTCACTACCTTATGCTTTGCCATTTGCATTGTCTTGAAACTCTTGATAGGATCTTACCTCCTGAGGTTCCGCAATATAGGTGGAAGATATTCAGCAGAAAGCTGTGGATTCTGCACAGCCTGATGACACAGCCATGGAGTTTTTGAACACACGGGATCAGTTTGGTATGGCAATCTCTCTCTTTTTCTACATGAAACATACTGGTCAGATGCAACTTGCAAAATGATAATTGCCTAAAGTGTAGTTGGTGTTAGTTTTTGGCTAAAGCCATAAGATTATTACCTGTTTATGGGGTCTTTACAGTGGACTTTGAGAGAGATTTGGAGATAGCCTTTCCTTCAACATTTTGCATGAAGCGCCTGTTCTCAAAAGTAAACCTGAACTTAATGGTTACAAACGGCAAAAACATTCAGATGTGTTTAAAAATCTGAGGGCATATTTTGCAATTGTATTCTTCTATGAGGCCCCTAAGTGACTCCTTTAATGTCATTTGTGTCATATTGTCAATTGCTAGTTTATTCAATAACAATCATGCATGAATTTTTTATCATACCTGATACTCCAACACCTGTGCTTTTTTTTTTTTTTTTTTTTTTTTTTTGTCTTTTGTGTGTGTTTTATGTACTTGTAGAGAGTGAGGACTAAATTCGCCATATCTTTGAACAATTAAACGATTCATTGTGTGCTAAAATATGGAGGTGCGAAGTTGTACAAGTTATCTATGACTCCATTTTAATTAAAGCAAGGCAAATGATTTGCATGTCTGATTACCTGGAATAGAAGGAAGTTTAAATGATTAACGTATTTTGCACTTGTGAAGGAAAATGAGAATGTTCACCAAACAGATCATGTTGACTTCAGTTCTCAATTGACTACAAAACTGTACCTTAAGGAGTTTAAAATCGTAGATATTTACCAAGATTCCTCAGGTGTCAATGCTAGTAGAGAATTCTAGTTTTAGATTGTGGTAGCACCAAAAAGCTCTTCTATGCATTAATAGCTTAATTTCTCTCTCATTTCCATTTACATGATTGATCGTTGTAGTGTTATTGTGTCCATTCCGTTTCCCTATTTCTGTGGCAGAACAATTAAGCCCTGCATTTGTTGAAGACCATGCAATGGATAGTTGCCCTGAAACCACAGACAGTGGTCCAGAACAAACCAAAGACGATGCTCCAGAGCATCATAGTGAGGTTTATATTTCTTCTTGTTCACTCTTTCATTTAATTCTGTGCTTTTGCTTACTTGTTTAAGATTTTTGGTTTCTTCAAGTGGTATTTTAATGATTAGAGAAGGGATCATGTTCTTCTGTTGGAAGTTTCTCTCAAAATTTGTTTTTAAATCTTGTAACAGAGTGTTGAGGAACCTCCTGTGGTATTAACAAATAAACAAACCAAAGCAAAATCGCATGCAGCCAAAGGACGCAAGAATGGATCACTCTCTAGGAGGCAAAGCCTTGCAGGTGCTCTCTGTTGCGTCGAACTTTCCATCCTTCAGCTCTCTTTTTTTTTTCTTTTTTATTTCACCTTTTCCTCTCTCTATGTTGTTGTGTTGATAACTTGTTATATGTTGTTTCCATAGCTTCTGGTACATCATGGGAAACAGGAGTGAGGCGAAGCACCAGGATTAGATCAAGACCTTTGGAGTATTGGAAAGGGGAAAGATTTTTATATGGCCGCATTCATAGTAGTGAGTACCATACCTTCTTCTATGCATTTCGATGTATAAGGAATTTGTTTTGTCATGATAGTGTGTCGCATTAGTTGGACCGTATTGAATTTTTTTCGTTCTAATATGTTTAAAAAATTGGTTCTCTGGTTTTTCCCAAGTTTCTTTGATTGAATGCCTTTTGTGTTGTCCCTTCTTTTTGAACGACTTTCTAATGTTCAAAGAGATGTCCCCTGTCTTTGATAGAGAATTTCAAGGGAAGCACTTCAGCCAAGCTCTCTATGCAACAATAAATTGATAATTCAATTATTTTCTTTAATTTTACAGTTTATCATTAGAAATCATGTTCTGCAACGTTTTCTCAAGGGATAATAAACATATTGGTTATGATTATGCAATTTTCTTTTAGTATGGCAGAATAACTGATGTATATACTTGTAATTATATTTGAAGGCTTTTTGCTTCTTGAAATAGAAAGTTGCAGCTACATGGGTTGTTAAATAAAAAATGGACAACAAAACTTTCATTTGATTTCTTCAGAATCTTTTCACGCAAAACCACTGTGGTGCCTCTTCATTGTATGATTAAAATCATAATTTATTGATCAATTAAATTTTATCTATATTGCAGGTTTGGCTACTGTAATTGGGATGAAGTACGAGTCTCCAGGAAATGATAAAGGAAAACCTGCTCTCAAGGTGAAATCGTTTGTCTCTGATCAATACAAGGATTTGGTTGAACTAGCTGCTCTGCATTGATACTTTGATTAGGTATTACGGATTGTAAGGATAGCTTTTGTCGGGAAAATCATAGTCAAGGCCGTTTTACTATGTAATTTGTCTGTGGAGTTATCGTTTCTTTTTCGTCACTTCCCAATTACATTGCTTACTTGGATGTTCATGATTGTGGGTTTTAAAGGATATATCATACACATCTTGTGTACCTTTTGTTTTTATCAGTGAATCGCATTTCCTGTTTTAAAGATGCACAGTAGTTCTAGGCATCAACTCTAGTGATATGAACTCCCACATGATTATATCATGTTCATTTTTTAAGTCAGCCGTCTGTTCAGATGTTCTTTCAGCTTTTCACATGGTAGTTTTGCAAGAGGTACAACTGTCTCACATTTGAAGAGTCCTGCCAAGCAGATACTATCCTGTTGCAACTCTGCAATATGGATTGAGTGCGAGAGGTGTGTTTGTCCTTGGGCAGTCTCATGCACCCACATTCCAGAGTCATGGTAGGTGTGAGTGGAGAAATTTTATAATACACAATAAGTAACTAGTGGCATGTACAATAGTTATGTCATGAATCTATTTTGAGGAGAGATATAGACACGTTGAATTACATCCGGACCTATCAAATGTAATAAGAAGATTTTTACGTTCATTTAATTTTTTTTAATTCTCTCTCTAATTTTTTGTGTCTATCTCTTTGCTCAAAATGGATCTATGGAATAACTACTTTACATGCTATTAGTTATTTCTTGTGTATTATAAAATTTCTCGATGTGAGATTGATGCGTCTCCTATGTAACTATGATCGCATGAACCAGTTGTCTGCATGTTAGCCATACCATTTTGTATGAAATTGCTGCTTACGGCTACTGTAATGTGTCTAGAGTCTAGGCCAAAATAAAATGTCATGGATTCAGAGCAACCTGCAATCTGAACGAACTCAATTGTCACCATCCTCTTGCTTGTACAACGTAATGATGTTTCTCTTGAGACTTATCTGGTAGGCAAGGCAAATTTTGCTAAGAATATGCTGCACCAGAAAATTTGTGGAACGTAATGTTTTACATTTATGGGTGACAAAAACTGACTTTTATTTGTGTTATTTCACCAAGTAGTAGATGTTCTTGTCTCCTCGTACTGGTGTCCCCTTTGGACCCTGATCTGACCGCAGTATTACCTTCTTCACACTATCTGAGTCTTTGGCGATAGATTCTGTCTTGTAAGTTGGAACAAACACTGCAAATGGCACCATTACTGCATTCCTTATTTGAATTATATGCAAGTTTAGGTGCTAGTTACTTAGCCAGTAAAATCACCCTGATGTTTGTTCAATTGGTTCGGCCAAAAAGGTTAGTTAAAAGGAAAAATCTCTCACATGGCAACAGCAAGCTTAGAGTGGTTGTTTCAGCCATTTCCCTTAATATTACAATAAAACTAAACTAAAATTATTAGTTACTATTCACTACAATATTTGAAATACTATTCATTCATACTTATTTTACTATTCATTTAAATTCAGATGCATTGTTTTTTTCATCATGCGATGGTATTTTTATAATTTTCAAATATTTTAAAAACATTTATTTTAAAAGTTTTCGTAAAATTACATTTTGATCCCTTTTTTAAATATTATTTTTTTAGTCTGTAAATATTTTTTATTTAATTTTGGTCCAACTTTTTTTTCTTTGGTTTTTTAATTAAAAATTTTAAGGTAAAAAATATTTTTTAAAAAATAATTTATAAAATAAGGTTTTAGCTAAAAATGTGGATAAAGATAAATAAAAAAAATTTAATAAAAAATTTATGAAAATATATAAAATAATTAATCAAATACAAAATTTTAATTAAAAAATAATAAAATTAAATAAATTTTTATTTAATTTTGATTTGATACATTTTAATAAATATATGATTTAACACAAAATACTAAAACAAAATAATTTTTTAAAAATAATTTTATATATTTTGTTGGATTTGAAAAAGCTTTCAGGCCAAATGGAGGAGAGGGATACATGGAATAGAAACAGGATGCTTTAGTTTGTTTAAAAAAAAGAGAGAGGACTCTGAGCACTTGGTATCGTGATGCTTTTCCTAGATTGAGCCTACAATTATGATGTTTTCCTAAATGATGGGACTCCGGGTGGGAAACTAGGTCAAATTCAGCACAATAATTCTAGGGATATTGTTTTCGTTTAAGATGATCCAAAGCGGCATGTATCTTCATTTTCTCAGAGTTCTATTTTATCTTATTCTTCTGCCGTAGTTCTTACTTTCTTTAATTGTTTTTTTTTTAATGGTTATTTTTTACAATGACTGTGCGGTTTATTTTATTACTAGGATTCGTTTTCATTCACAACAAAAGCCACTGACTTGGTAAGAGATGGATGTATTAGTCTGAAATGTCATTTTCCTTTTAAGATTTGGAAAGCTGTGCTTATGTACTACCATTTGTTGTGACTTGACCCAATTCACATAAAACTTGGATTGCTAGAACCAAGTTTCCAAATTGGCAACTAGTCCATTATTGAAGTCATTTATCCTTCTTAGTCTTTATTGAGAATTTTGATTCAACGGACGTTTTATTCACCCACGCACATATACACAAACTCACGCAAGCATATTTCATTTTTACTGTTTAGTTACTAGTATTTTTTTCAAGTGATAGAAATAGCTCGGATGCAATTACCGTACATCCATATTTGATTGCAAAACTTGGTTAACAATTAGGGAAAGGTTCCAAAAGATGGTTCTCTCTAATTGGAAATCTCAAACTGGCAATACTGGGATTGGGGGATTGTAAGCATACAGTCCCCCTACGTACATTATATGGTCAAAAATTCATTAGACCTTGTAAAACAATGATTAGAAAAAAGAAAAGTACTGTCTTGGAGGAGGATATGATGTAAGAAAGTGTTAAAGAAAAGGGAAAACAACAACAACAACAATAATAATTCTGCAGTTGCTGATTCTATTAGATTCACAGACCATGGGTAAAACTGGTGCCTATTTAGCCCAAAATAGGCTATCAAGACCCTTTTTTTTTTTTTTTTTTCCTTTCTTTTGGGAGGGGAAGGTACACAACCAACTGCCAGTTGGTGTGTATGCATCATCTATTTTAAGAAAACTAAATTAAGTACCCAACCTGGTGAGAATAAAATAAATTTCATAGTTAAGTTGGAAGATGAAATAGGTGAAATATTTTTGGTTATTTACTGAAATCTCCTTTTGAAGGAGAAGGTTGGATTGTCAGCGTGGAAGATTTGGAAGAATAGCCTTTTGGTCTAACGTTCCACAAAAGTAAGGTTGAAAGTTCTTCCCTTTTTTTTGGCAGATGACAAGTTCCATATTCTAATATGTATACATTATACACGGCCTTCCCATTAGGAAACATCTTGACTTGGATTTATGACTTGATTTTCTTCTTCCTCTTAAATTACGGTTGTGGCTCGACCATGACCACAAGAAAATTGGAGAGTATTGATTATCAATCTTCTACGTACAATTACTTCCATTAATTTGAAAGGTTCAAAAGTCATTTTACTTGCACTTTTTTACTTCTTCATTCTGAAGAGGTCTCGACATTCCTTGTCAAGAAAATCATTGACCATTGCTAAATTTCTGAATCGAATCTCTCTTATTGAACCAAGTCCAGATATGCCACTTTCATTAAGAAAGTTGTCGAAAACTGCAGTTTTCTTGCCTCTTATTATTTTTTTGATGCCTAAGCAGTGTCTTGACCATGGTCGCAATCAAGATTTTTTGTGGTTCTACAAGTTTCCACTTCGGCAACTCGCACTCATTATTTTAAAGCATTATTGAGATAAATAAATAAATAAAAACGAAAAACGCACACCCTTGTGCTGGTTGTTATCACGAGGAGTCATGCTGGTTGAATGGACGTTAGATCGGTGATTTATTTTATGCTTCGTTATCACGCCACTAATTTCTTGAGTAATGAATTTGTTTTCTCAAAATTGTTTTTCGAAAAAAGTTCAATCAACGAAGGAATGTTCCATCATAACATCCAAGCCCATCGTGGATTCCTTGCTGACACTAAATCAAACCTTTTGAAATTAATGTGCAATGGTGGAGGAAAAATACTTTCACTCCATTTTTCCATCCTTAGCTGAAAACTCATTTTATTTTATTATACCTTTAATTTTTTATTTTGATTTTAAATGCTTTTCAGGCAAAAAGGGGAAGGGCTGGGTAAGGTCTAACTAAGATGAGGCCAGACTAGCAACGCACGACAGGATCACGTTTTGAGTTGGAAGTCGATTATGCGTCAAGTCGAGACCATGTCTTTATCTCTATTTTGATATTTTTTTTAATTCACAACAAATCCATGAATGAAATAAAAAGGTTGTTATTTTTAAAAACATTTTTTCGTTAACTGAAAATAATTTCGTTTGTTTAATTTTTGGTGCTTCTCTTTTAAATTCAGGACAGATACACAATAAAATAAGAAAATAATTACTCTTAAAAACATTTCATTGCTAATTGAAAATTAGTTTACTATTTATAATCATTAATTTCTTATGAAGCTTTTTAATGTTTTTTTGGTGTCAAGAACTATGGGGTGTGTCGGCTTTGATCCTTGCCCTGGGCTATCAGCAATGAAAGGTTTAATCTGATTAAAAAAAATTAAATTAAAATGATCTTTTACTGTTAATTTACTATTTCAAACATTGTTTATTGTGACTAAAAAAACTATAAATATAGATTCAACGACACTGTTTCTTTTACTGTTTGGGCTGAGTTGTTGCATCTTTTTCTTTGTTTTTTTCTTAGATTCTAATGTCTTCTTCTCGTCATATCCAAAATATCTGAAACATAATTTTTAGTTGATGTTTCTGACATCTGTAACATAGAAAAAAAAAGAATTTATATATTGATTTACGTGAAACAATAACATCTTTAATGTATGTGCAATTTTCTCAGTTGATGTTTTGGATTGCCTACAAGAAAAGGGGTAAAATTCAAACATTATTATTATTGGATTGCCTCGCTCTTCAATCAGAACAACCCTCCTCTTTATTAACTTTTCAGAAAGCATTTTCATATCTTCTAGGCTTCTAATTGTACGTAGATATATAAAGAAAAAACCCAACTCTCTAAAGTAAATACCGCAAGGAAGAAGCAGACAGCTCAAATTGATATAATCCTCATCAGGACTCCTAAAAAGATAATAGAACCTTTATCGTTTTCATCACTATTTTATTTTGTAAAAAATTAATAATAAGAAAGCAAAAGTGTGCGTGTTTGGAGGAGTGAAGTGAGAAATCAACAAGACAACATTGAAGTGATCTTAGGGTTGTCAATAAAAGTAATCATAATGGCAAATCCACTACGACGCCTGAGATAAAACAACTAATCATCATGAAACCGTAATTTATGGTTCATGCCTTAATGAGTGCTGAGAGAATAAAAGTTAATGATGATTGTCAATATTTCTTCTTCAACCTTGGATATTTCGAGGTCTTCCTTTATTGACATAACACCTCCATTCATAACTCCAATATCTATTAAATAATAGAAGAGAATTAATCATAGATATGATAATACTATGCAAACTTTTTATACGTACTCTGTATATAAAACTATAGTTTAAAAGCAAACTCACTATAGCCAAGTAAGAAAGGGTCGTGGAGGCTATGACGCAAGGAAGAGAAAACCCTTTTTATCTTTCATTGTTGTAGATGATCCGCATGTATTATCTTTAGGTAGTCATGATCTGCATTCCTCTCGATATTTGGATCAACCATCTCTGTTAGTTGTACAATGAAAAAGTTTAAGCCATGTCAATATTAGTAAGTCTAGCGTTGGATAAATTGATTTTTGCAAAACAATAGATTGATTCCTTACTCTTTACAGTAATTAAATTATAATTTTTTATCAAATAATCATTTCAATAAAAAAATTTAAGTCATTAAATGAGGTTTCAATAGTGGTTTTATATTATTCTCTAACATATATTCTTAAATAAAAACTCTTTAAATTTAAAATTTATACAAACTCGCATAATCTTGTGCTATTATATTTTAATTAAAATGATAGTTGCTTATCTATTGTTTATAAGATATGTTTACTAGCAGTCTTAGCTTTTTTTGAATTTTGTTAAGTAATTTGGATAGTTGGATATTAAGATTTTTGATGGATCGTGTTAAGCTTTTTTTATGAAGTTCCGATACGATATTAAAAAATCATGTCACCTCAAAAACATAAATTATTAGATAAATATTTAAAAATAGTTTTATATTTTTTTTAATAGTCACCCTCCTTAGGCCTTATGATGAAAAAAAAAACCCAAAGTAATTAACCATTTTTAGCATATTAATTTAATATTGAATTATTCTCTGTTTGCCTTTGGTAGAAAAAAACGTTGCGTAATGCTAAATTTACTAATATCTAGAGTGGTTGATGCGTTATCTACATTTTGAAGTTGAAGAAGAGAAACTACGGTTGAATGTTTCAATAGAAGGAAATAAGTGTGGAGAAATGTTCGAAGAAAAGTCTTCAAGCTTGTGCCTCGAATAAGAGGAAAAAAGCTTCCAGAGAAGGAATTATTGATCTTTTGTTAATGAAAAGTGATCTTATTGATACTTTTTTTCTTTTTTTTTTTGTAAAATGTATTATTTGTTTTGTCAATGAAATGAAAACATAATCATTAGTAATTTCCTTATATTTTATTTATTAATATTGTAACTATGCATTATTAGAAACACATCGCTTTTTTTGAAGTTACAGTCCAGTGATATATCAAACAAAGTCCAAAATGGGACGTATCAAACGATTTGAGAGATGGATTACATTATTACGTACGGAAGGGGAGGGCTATCACTTTTTGTATTCTACAAAGTCCAAAATGGGATGCTTAACGAATCAAAAAGGAATAAAAAAGCTAAAGAATAGAAAATTAAGAAGCATTGTTATGGACTGGAAACTTAAGAAATAAAAAAAAAAAATCTGCAGCTTAGCTTTAATTACCAGGATGAAAACAAAATAGATGCCCACTAGTTGATCTTTGATTATGTTTTGGTGATACTTCCGAACAATATTCCATTCGTTTCTAGTTATGCCAATTTGTGAATGCCTGATGGATGTGGGAATTGGACGTGGACGACAATTTGGTCCTCTAAATCAACTTATTCTACTTGCGAAGTCTCGCATGCCTTTACATATAACTCTTAATTGGAAGTTTGAACTTTGCAATTCTCGTTTATATAATAAACAATTTTATGAATTAAGCTTTACTAAATTAATATTAGTGCTTGGAAGTTAGAATGTGTGACCATAAAATGCATGCAGTACCTGAAATGATCAAACATTGACATTTGGCGATATATGGAGTAGCATGTAGGAAGAGTAAACTAGACAATCAATATCGTCTGAGTTTGTTCCCATTATCCCTAACCATGTGCTTGTCACTCTTCAAATGGCATGCCCCTTCATCATTATCAAGTGATTATGAATGGTCGATTTCCATGCACATCCTTTTCAACTTGAAGCTTACTTTTACTTGCCCCTTTTGTTTACATTGTATTTAGGAGTATATCAAAGCCAAAAAAATTGAATATCTTTGGAAACTAGTTAGAGAGAAGAGGGTTGAACGAAACCATATTTGAAATCAAGAGTCAAGACACATGCAATTAGCTTCGAAACCATGTTTCATTATTTCCGATATTGATTTTGGTTGCACACATGAAGACCAGCAAAACACGTGGTGGAAAATTGGACCCAAAAAGTCTAGCTCACCTTGGTTCCTATAATAATTGAGCAGCTTGTGGCCAATAAAACGACACTTAAATGCATAACGATGCCCATCCCTCGTCACAGTCTCCTGAATATTTATTTGGCCCAACAAAGCAAGCCAATAGCGCATGATGTGCTAGCTTTTATAAAATTGCTGTTTGCTCCTTGTTAGGAACTTTTTAAGGGCAAATTGGGTAGTCTAGCTAGTCTGTTTATCCTAGTAGTTTATTTGAAGTGGTTGCAAGAAAAATTCACACAGCTCACGGCAAAAAATGCTTATTAACAAATAACACTAAAACCGAATAAACTTTTACTGTAACAGCATTGTTCATTCCGATTCAATGTCCTGTAGACTGGAACTCAATTTTCCAAGCTATTTTCAGTTATTTGATATGCAAATTTTTACTTATGTTGCACTTTATTCTTAATTTTTTTTCAGATAATTTTGTTTTGATTCTTAATTTTGTTTTGCACTTTACTTATATTGTAGATTCTAAACCCAATCGCTGCAATTATGTTATATATAAAAAAAATTGAATAGTTAGTTTTATTGAAAATTAACTATGCACATGCACAAAAAATACCAACCATTTACTATTTATTTATTTTTTCAGATATTCTAAAATCAATTTCCTTAAAATAATTGAAATATATGATTCAAATACAGTTTATATATATGTGTGTGTTGAAAAATTAATATTCTCATCCAAATTAAATAAGAATAAAATTTAATTTTTTATGTAATTTTTATATTAATTGTTACTTTATTTTTTATACAATATTATGCAAAAAAATATTAAGCCTTTTTTTGTTATTGAATTTTTTTATTTAGATTATTATAAGTTTTTTTTTGTTAAGAATTCATGGATAAAGAAGAACAAATTATGTTTTTAGTATAGCATTTATGAAAAACATGAGAAAAAATAGTTAAATATAAAATTTTGATTAAAAACTTAAAATTTTAGATATATTTTTGTTTATATTTGATGTGATATATTTTAATAGATGACTGATAGTATAATGCGATAATGCGATCTATCAAATTGAAATAATTTTACTTATTTGATCCAATTTGTACAATAAACTAATTCTCACTAATTAGCATGGATGGTCATATGTGCATTAGTTTTCTCCGCCGAGAAGAATGCATTTTGCAGCGAAAAAAAAAAAAAATGACAATTCCTTATTTATCTCGCCACGGGGTTTGTTCGTATTTAGAAGGACAAGCTAGCCGTGAAACAGCCGAAGATTAAGAAAAACTAGTACATCTGGTATTAAAAATCCAAATCTAAAGAAGGGAGGTTTTTTCTTTTTTGGCCATTTTGAATCTCTTTCCGAGACTTGACAAATTTACAATTCAGAATTGTTTAAAATTCAGATTTTGGAACCGTCAAATATATTCTCCTGTCTGTTAGGCTTAGCTGGATTCTGAAAACGTTGACCCCAAAATATTTCCCTAGACTTCCAATTTCCTTACGAAAAACAAAGATTAGGCCTTTTATTAATGAAGTCAACTTCATAATGCATGTGATTTGCAGGTTAATTAGTCAAGCGAACACCTCATGACTTAGAAAAAGATCAATCAATAGCCATCTCACACACAGCACACATCAATCAAGTCTTCAATTCAACATATAATTTTTGTGACCGAAACGAAGTATTGAGACCTGAAAACATAAGACTGCAATTCACTTGCTCATGAATTTACATGTATTCCTTTGAAAGGACAAAAAAAGAAAAAGGGTATTAAATCTCCAAGTAACAACCCGACTGAACATGGCCGGAGTATTGTTGAGGTCTCTCGATTTCTTTCCACTTGTAATTCTTCAGATCAAGCACATAAGCCATGTGGGGCTCACCGAATCCTGCCGTACCAATCACCACCAATTTGTCCTGCCACGCTGTTACATAAGCGATATTGGACACATCAGCCGGAAGCTTCGCAACAGCTTGCCACGTGTCTTCCCTAAGTGCCACCACGTCACCTCCCCGACACATGTAGAACATCCCATCACTCCCACACACGCACGTCTTAGGACACATGGCAACTTTCAATAGGTCATCTAGCAGATCGTCCCATTGCCAAGAGGCAAGGTCGAAGACTTCAGCAGTTCTCTCGAATCGCCCTTGCATCTCAGTACAGTATCCTCCAATGACGTGGAGCTTGCCATGTTGGAAAATCGCCTTGCACTCGTCTCGCTCTCTCGCCATGTCAGGCAAACAAACCCACTTATCTTTTGCCACGTCATATGCCATTGCGGATCTCAATGCGTTCTTGTCGCCATCGTGTCCTCCCACAACATACACCATCCGATCGAAATCAGAAGCAAGTCCAAAAAAGACCTCCGTACACCTGGCATATCAGCCCCACGCCGCCACGTGGCCGAAACTAAATTAAAGGCAAAGACAGAATTGGAAACCTCCCAGGTCACCGGATCCAACCCACCCAGCACCAAAAGATCCGACCCAACACTCGCCACTTGGCAAAACAATGGCAACCCATTGGAGAACCCAGGAACCGGAGGCAACTCACACCAATCACGCATATCCGGTTCAACAAGAGTGAGCCGGAAAACAGGGCTTACCCCATACTTCACAACATTAGAAGTTTGATTGGGGTCAACTCTTGCCTGTACCATTACAATAAGCTTTTGACTAGTACCGGCAGCTTTTCTAAGACGGCGAAATTCCGGTGACTCGGTCTCGCTTTTCCAAGACTTGCAGATGGATACAACTGTTGCCAATTGCTTGTACCTCACCCGAATCAAACAATCACGAGCTATATCATAAGGAAGGCCCGGAATTAGCTCCATGACCATTAAAAGAAGACCAAAAAAAATGATATCAAAAAGTACAAAAGTGTCACTAGCTAATGGTTTAAGAAGCCCAAAAAGAGGTAGAGAGAGAATAAAGCTTGTTTGGCTGTGATCGGTCGAGAGAAATGGCTTTGTAATTTATAGGACTAGCTTGTTGCGTTGGCATGGGGTTAAAGGCCACAGTTATCATTGTTATGTTCTAGAAAGGTGGAAGTAATGGAAATTGGAAGAGACCAGGGCAAGATGACCATTGGAAGCAGCCCGTTGTTAATTTTTTTATTTATTTTCTACTACCTGCTTTGTCTTTTTGCATGAATTTTTTACTAGTATAATTTTTAATAAAATAATTAATGGTGTAACTATCGGATAATGTCATTGCTGTAATCAACTTAAGATACTACTAGTGGGGTCAAGGATTTGGGTTTCAGAAACGATGTTTTAGGACGTAGTTTGCAACTTCTAAAATAATAACATTAATGTAAAACTATAATATTTGCATCTTGCAGAACTGGATGAGCATGTGCCAAGATGCAATAGAAGACTTATTAGCATTTCTTTAATTGGTTTATTTGTTTGTTTATTAGTATTAAATAAGTTAGACGTTCGCTTGCTAAAGTCATCTTACTTTGCGAACACAGAAAGTTAATTTGACATAAACAATGTCCTTTATACCTGTGTTTTATTCAAAATATTAAAAAAAAAAAAAAAGGTTAAAAGAAAATGTAAAAGAAGTGTATCAATTATTATGGATTACCTGTTCAAAAATCTTGTTTTTCTCTTGCTGCATTTTTTTCATCGATTCTTTTTTTTTTTTTCTGACACTTCTCTTTTGTCTTTTTAGTGAATTTTATTTTTATTCTAGTTCCTGTTTCGTAACTTTTTTTTTATTTTGATTATTAAAATTTTATTATATTTGATTTTGTTCCTATAATAAATATTTTTTCTTGACTTTTAGTAAAAATTTATATTCTTTTTTTCCTATTTTGTGATATGTTTTTATTTTAATCATTAAAGTTTTATCATATTTGATTTTTATCTTTATTATACAAAAACTAAATAAAGTTTCACTATCCTAAGTTTTTTTTTTTTTTAGTAAAATTTTTCTTTCTATTATAATTCCTGTTTTGTGATTTTTTCTTTGTTTTGGCCATTAAATTTAGTAGAATTTTATTTTTATTTTACTCCTTATTTTGTAATTATTTTTTATTTTGATCATTAAATTTTTATTATATTTGATTTTTTTCCCTACAAGGAACTACTTTTTACTTTTAGTAAAACTTCTTGTTATGTTTTGGTTTTTATTTTGTGATCTTTCTTTTATTTTGACCATTAAAGTTTTATTATATTTAATTATTATTCTTTCTACACTAAAATTAAATACAATTTCACTATTCTAAGTTTTTTTTTTTTTTGCGCTTTTAGTAAAAAAAAAATTTTCTGTTTTGGTTCTTATTTTGTGATTTTTTTTTTTTTTGGTCATTAAAATTCTATTATGTTTTATTTTTGTTCCTACCTTATGCATAATGAATTTTTTTAGTCTTATTGTTTATAAGTTTTTTTTTTTTGGCTTTTAGCAAAAGTTTTATTTATTTATTTTGATCCTTCTTTTATGATCTTTACTTTATTTTGATCCTTTAAATTTTATCATGCGTAATTTTATCTCTTTTTTTTTTTTTTTTTGCCAAATTCTCAAATTGCCAAAGTTATTATTTTTTTTGTCTTTTTTTTTAGATGGTCTCTTTATCTCATTAATAAATTATAGATTAAGAATATATGATAAAAATTAATCATCCGAAATTCAAAAAACTACCACGTCATTATTTTAATTACCGACTATTATACATATTTCTAATAGAATACAAGTTTATATCAAACAATATCTAATTAACAATATTATATTACTCAACTTTGCGAGACTTTTCGTTTAGCTAACCCTGCAGACAAAATATGAGATATATATTTTATTTTTATTTTTTAAATTTTTCATGTAATCCTTTTAAATAATTATTTTTAAATTTTGTATTTTGTATGAATGAAAATATAAGAATGTTGTATAGCTCACTCTGCAACAACGTGAGGGATATATGCTAGTATCTTACTATATATTTTAGGGGTGAATGAAATTTCGATCTATCATCTATACTCCCAAACATTGTCAAATGATAATAGTATATTAGGCTGATTTCTTTATATTTATTTCTTATTTTCTTCTTTTTCTTTATGGAGAGAATGATGATTGGTGGCAATGAACATTGTTTTTTATTAAGAAGGAAAATTAACGTCTAAACTTACAAATATATTACCTTTGGACAGATACGTGACTTCTTTCTACATTTTACCATTCAACTATTTTGGCTATCCAATAAGCTCACGGTTAATAATCCTGTGTGTTTTTTTACTGTTTTTATTTATTTTAATTTTGTCTATTTATTAATTTTTTAAATAATCGTATTTCTTTATTCTTAACTTGTGTCTTAATATCGTCCCTCCGATCAACTTTTTTGATAATTGCATTAATTTTCAACAACAAACTCATAAGATGTTGACACATGGCATTTAAAAAAAAAATTCTGAAAATCGTAAAAAAAATTAAAAAAAAATCCAAAATGTCCTTCTTTTTCTCTACCTTTAGGCATGGGCATAAATAAGTAACTTCATCTGTTGATTTTTTTTTTTTTTTTTTGCTGTCTCTCAAATTCTATAAAAAAAATTAAAAAGTCCTAAGATGTCATTTTTTTAATCTGATTTTTGCTTTTATTCTTAAGTTATGAACAAAATTTCATAAGTTTTTTTTTTTTTTTTTAGTTTGGATTTGAAATGAATTTTCATAAAAAAATTTTGAAATAAATAAATAAATAAATAAAATTTTGCTTATGTTCTTTCCCATACATAAAAATAATTACAAAATCCTAAAATATCTTTCTTTTTATCTCGTGTTTTGCTTTTGTTCTTATGTTATGAAAAAAAATTATAATTTTTTTTTTGGGTTTGGATTTAAAATAAATTTTCATAATAAATTTATGAAATAAATAAAAAAAATTTTGCTTTTATTCTTTCCTATACATACATACATACATATATATATATATATTGGTTTGAATTTGAGAGGAAGCAAAAAAAAAAAAATTAAAGGATTAAATTAATTATATATTTCTATACATAAAAGTAGAGAAAAAAAGAGGAGTGTTTTGGTATTTTTTATTTGTTAAGATTTTTTTAGGATTTTTAATTTTTTTTCAGAATATTGTTTTTTTTAAAAAAAAATACCACATGCCAACATCTTGTAGTTATGTCATCCAAAATTAATATAGTTATTAAAAAATTTGGTCGGAATGATAAAATTAAGATACAAATTAAGAATATAGGGACATGATTATTGAAAAAATTAGTAGATGGACACAATAAAGATATATAAAACAGTAAAAAGACATTTTGGATCTTTAACCTCATATGGAAATGGGTTTATGGTCTCTTAATATTTTTAGTAATATTGCTCATCACATTATAGATTGCCGTCTGGTATTTTTAGCTAACTCAGAAGAAGAGTTGCATCGGACACCCTTATTTCTTGGATAGATTTTGGTAATTTTGAGATTTTTAGAGTTTGTTGAGAGAGAGAGAGAGAAAACAGGTTTTGGCGCCGGCCCCGGGCGCGGGGGGGGGGGGCGGCAATAAGAGGAGTGGAGACGATTTGATTTTTCCTTTATTTTTTTAAATTTGGATAGAAATATTATTTTTTGAAACCCACAATATTATATGTCAATAATTGATTGATGGTTTTAAACAATAATGTATCACATTAGATGAATGAATAATAGACGATGTTATAATAGAAAAATTTGAATTCAAAAATCTCAAAAAATAAAAAATCTTAATTAACAAAATCAAAATAAAAAATTTCAAAGAATAGAGTCAATATATATATATATATAAACCGAATTTATCTCAATAGGATTGAGTTTGGAAAATAAATATCACTAGATTGTTCAAACTCTTTTATCTTCCATATTAATATATAATAAACATAATAGATACCCATTTGCGATTGGCATGGAGTTTTGTCCTTTCAGTGTGCGTACAAGGTAAAAGCCTTAACAAGGCATAGGAAAACTAGAGGTCATCTAAGCCAACTTTTGCAAATTGGTTTACATAGACGTAAACCATCATCTTAGATGTCAATCTCCAAATCATGACACTAATTTGTCCATGTAAGCATATTCATTCACTACTGTTACTAAAAATGGGCAACTTGCTTATAGTTGTAAGAAATCGGTTTAAGCCAAATTTCGTATTTTGAAGGATGCTATTACTAATGATTACTGAAAACGGTCAACCTGGTGATATTTTGTGAAATTGGTGTGATTTAGTATTTTAAAATTGCTTAGAGATTTTAAAATAATCATGAATTATTCCTCTTTGAAGACTTGGTGACTTTCCAGGGATATACAGCAATCGGCAATTAGGACTGCACATCATATTACAACAAATCATTAATGTTTCATTTCATGATTGAAATCTGAATATGTATTTGGTGGGTTGCCGCAATGCCTATAGCTTCAATGTATGTCAGCAGCGAAACCACATTACCAGTCCAAGCGCAATGAAAAATAAAAAGGGCCTGCCTCGTCGCAGTTTTAGGCTTTTAGCTACATTGTTTTCTCCTAAAAGAGCATTATATATATATCCAGACCAAAACGCAGCGAATACTCGTAGTGACATTGGCAAAACCCCACCGGCAACGAGAAATTCAACCAAATGCGACTTGGCCCGGTCTGTTCAAGCGCATATGTATATATATACATCTTTGATTAATGAAAGTTACCATAAAAACAAAAATAGAAAGAAGAGGGAGGGAACTTCCATTTCAAACTCACAGGTGAATGTTCAAAGTATTTGGTTATTGAATTTGTAAAACAAATACTCAATCAAGGACTAAAAAGCTAGCAACGTCTTTTTAAATATATTTCTATCAGTTCAGCTGTATTTTGGTTCGTTGTTTTTAATATACAATAGATTGTTCAAACTCTTTTATGTTCAAACTCACAGGTAAATGTTCAAAGTATTTGTTTATTGAATTTGTAAAACAAATACACAATCAAGGACTAAAAGCTAGCAACATCTTTTTAAATATATTTCTATCAGTTCAGCTGTATTTCGGTTCCTTGTTTTCAAAGAAGAATGTAATCAACAAGCAAAAGGAACTCGGAGAAGAGGAAAACGAATATCCCCTAGTAAGTTAAATAGCATCTTCATAATCATAAAGCAAATTTCCGAACATGCAATGTTGTCTTTGTTTGAAAAACGAAAATTTCGAAACTTTCTATCTCAAAACTCAAAGTCTGCTTCTTCTTTTTTAATTCATCTTTTTGAAGAATTAAATGTTCAATACAAAAAAAAAAAAAAAACAAGGGGGGGGGGGGGGGATTATAGCAGCTACAAACTGAACGGATAAAAAAATTATAAAGTAAATATAAACAGCAAGAATGGTAATTTAAAGGGATGAATCTCCCTTACACGAATGTTTATTAATGACAATTTAATGAATACATAAAACATTCGTGGATTAATGACCAAAAGTTCAACTAAATTTACGGTCAATGCCTTTGTTTTAATTCACGAAGACTTCGTAGTAAAACTCAATTTAAAGTATTGGCAGGGCACACAAAATGATCACCAGCAGCACAAAACTAAACTGCCATGTCACTCAAAAAAATTATTTTCTCAATAGAAGGATTTTATTGGGCTGAACAACAAAATGGAAATATCTCTCCCCTCCTATTATGATGTGAGTGAGATTTGATTTCATTTTTCTTAATTAGCCAGACTTAGCTAGTTAATTAACTACACGACCGACAAGATGACTCTTAAAATAAAAATTTCTCATCAGGCAAGGAGTCACAGTTACATTAACTACTTGGTTTGCCCAGATAGAGCGGAGAAAAGCCATTGGTAATTTTGATTAATTTAACGTAAGTTACACGTATACTATCAAGTGCCTGTAGCTCAGTGGATAGAGCGTCTGTTTCCTAAGCAGAAAGTCGTAGGTTCGACCCCTACCTGGCGCGGTTAAATATTTTCATAACTCAGGGGGCTTTTTTGTCTTTTTAGAGTACAAGAGCCACATCTTTTCAGGATGTCGAGGAACGAGGACTTTGAGGTTGGGGGCGCCTTCCAGGTCAGGAGAGACAAGGCTGCTTTCTATCTTTTGTTTTGTCAGCTCTGATTTTGGTTTCAGTTTCAAATTGTTTTGTTGTAGTTAGCTTTCTAACTGGGATGGGCAACTCATCAGTTTTGCTTTGCTAAAATGAAATTCGATCTGTTCACAAGGAAAATACACACACGTGTGCGTGCAGACCACCACATTATCGGCAGGCCATGCGAACCATCGAATATTACGAGCAAGTAACAGTTACACTGTTCTAAATTTTGTAATAAACAAGGATGCACTGCACCTATCTCTTCCCAGGCTGAATACAGGTATTGCCGGAGGCCCAGACCATTGTGGGTAGATGGGCTTCAATACAGGGTGCTAACTGCTACCATTCTCGGCTAATGCACCAGGGACAATTCTAAAGGACGTCTTGGACATATAAATCCATCGAAAAGATTGGTTCCTATTTTATTTATTTATTTATTTTAACTGGGAGTGTCACCCTGATTCATTTGGATTGAATTAAAACTAAAATAAATAAAATAAAATAAATAAACACTACGGACAATAATCTAAGGGTTATACAAATATATGAGTTATATAATTATATTTAAAATTTTTTAAATATTTTTTAACTAAACGTGTTAATAAAAAAGTTTTAAGTTAATTAATTAAGTAAATTTTGATTTAATTTAAATTTTAAATATAAGATTATTTAAATTATCAAATAAAATTTTTAAATTAAGTATTATAATTTAATTTTTTAACTAGTTAAATAAGTTATCAAATCCCTACTTATGCAATTCTACATTTCGTAATAAACAAGGATGCATTACGGCTATCTTAGGTACAGGGTGCTAACTGCTACAAGTTCGTGTAATGCACCAGGGACAACTCTAAAGGATGTCTTGGACATGTAAATCCATCCTTTGGCCTACTCGCAATTTGATAGAAATAAAGTTTTGCAGTTTGAGGATATTTTAGTTTGCCTAGAGATGAAAATTCTTAAAAATGTGTTTATATTAATCACATGAAATTTAAATTAGGACATTACGTGCATTCATACCCTACTAATACCAATCAATTATACCCCAAGGGACCAAGAGTGGTGGAAGATCAATGTTGATGGAAGCTCTTTTGGCAACACCGAAAAAGTTAAGGAGCAGACATACTCATTAGGGATGCCGGGGTTTAAGGAACATTGGATTTCTCTTGTTATGTTGAGATCGCCACCAATACAGTGTCTGAGCTTTGGACTGTGCATCAAGGACTACAATTGACTTGGCATATGGGATGTTGAAATGTCATTTTGAATCAGATTTCCTTAAAGCTATTCGATTTTTGACGATGCTAGTCAAGTATTATGTTTTAATCATTTTCATGTGTCTCTAATTCAAAAATTTATAAGATACGTCGAATTGGAACTGGACTCTAGTTTTGAATCATGTTCTTCGGAAAGACAACTCGCGTGTGAATCTCCTAGCTAAAAAGAAAGGCTCACTTGATGCCCCTCTTGTCATCTCAGATTCTCCTCTATGGATTTGCACTTGTCTCTCTTGTTTGATATTTGTTGATGTTACTCGTCTAAAAGTCTACTCTTGCTTGTTTTCCGTCTGTGCTGAAAAAAAAAAAAAGTAATGAACTATATGGATCATATGGTTAAACATGAACTAGCAAGTAGTAAGTTTTCAAATTATGAATGGATTTATTTGATATAAGAGCTCGAAAATTAATTTCATTATTTTTAGAAAAAATTAATATATATATATATATATATATATATATATTTGTTACCTCTGAAGTACTCCGATTGAAAAAAGAATTTTAACCTATAATTTTTCCTTCTTGCAATAAAGCAAGTGAATTATTCTATCCGAAACAGTTTTTTTTTTTTTTTTTTAAAGTATAAATAAGCCTTACAGTTTATATTCATATTATCATCATATACTTGAATGTTATATGAAAATAAATAGAAATTGTTTACAAAAAATTATTAATTCCGATCTATCAAATTCAGAATGAGAACTCATCAAATATCGAGAATTATTCCAATTCACTTGCTATATATATATATATATATATATCGTTGAATTTTTCAAATTTCTAAACATAAAAATACTTTTTTAATTTCGTATTCCATCGAATCGACCCATTTTATTACCGTTTCTTTTTTAAATCGTGGGATTTTATTGGACAGAACTATGAAATGGAAATGCCTCTTCCCCCTCTTATTATGGAGTGAGTGATATTTAATTTCATGTCTCTTGATTAACCAGACTCAACGTTAGTTGATTAACCACACGACCCACGGATAACTCTTGAAAAGTACAATTCTCATCTGCTTTCGGGACTCCCAACACTGAGATATCTGACTGACAAATTCGAATGCCTCAGAACATGGGTCCATTTACTTCTACGAAGAGAGAACCAGCGAAGACAGATCCTTCAATTTTCAAGGTAACTATCTAACATCAAATAATTTACATTAGTGCTAACAGGCGCCTGTAGCTCAGTGGATAGAGCGTCTGTTTCCTAAGCAGAAAGTCGTAGGTTCGACCCCTACCTGGCGCGAGTAAATGTTCATATTTTAGAATTCGGAAGGAAAAATACTCTCTAGTGTACGAGTGTGCAGGCCATCACATTGAAGGCCACGCCTTGCATGCCAGCCGCCGAATATTACGAGCATTGTGGCTAGATGGGCTTAGAGGCAGCTCGCTCCAATTATCAGGTATAACTTGAAAGGATGTCTTGGACAAAATCTTCTAAAAAATATATATTATTGGGATTACGTTTCAATAACGGTAATTCGTTTTGGGCCACTCGTAATGTGGTAGTCAATATGGATGGAAGCTCTCTCGATAATCCTGGAAAAGCTAGAGCATGGGGACGCATTTGGAATGCTGTCAACGGTGAGTTTTGGACAGTGTCAAGGTTTATAACAGATTTGGGATGTAGGGTGTCAAACTTGATCGCTTTTAAGACGTTCGGTGTGCTGATGATGCTAATAAAGTAGATCCTACTCAGCCTCGCCGCACCTCACGTGTCTTTAATTAATATGAATTTGGTTGGTTTGAAGAACCGTGAGATTTAGAATATACAATTAGAGTAATCATATTTCATTACATAATAATTAAATAAATTAAAACTTTTAGGATTCAAATATGCTTCATTAGAAAATTGGACTAGGGGAAGGACTTTATGATCCATAACATAACACAACCATTTGATTTGTTTACATTATTTTAAAGAAATTTGAGGAAAAAATGAAAAAAACAAGGGATAATTACTAGAAAAACCTTATAAAAAAAATCTTCTATTTAAAAAATCCATAAATTTATTTTTAAATCTCTCAAACCCAAAATAATATTTTTCTTACCAAAAACACCTAATAGTTAACACTAGTGTTAACTATTAGGTGTTTTTGGTAAGAAAAATATTATTTTGGGTTTGAGAGATTTAAAAATAAATTTATGGATTTATTATTTAGTATAATACAAAAAATAGTCGAATGTTAGTGTTTAAAAGTCAAGGAACTTCAAAAACTTTTTTTTCTTTTGAATACAATAAAAACGAATTTGACTTGATCATGAAAAAAAATATCAAACTCATTAAAAACTATGAAATGAGTTTATTGTTAGATAAAAACTATATATAAAAAAAAGCTCTAGAAAAATGTCTATCCGAAAAATTCATCAATTTATTTTTTAAATCTCTCAAACCTAAAAGTAAAAAAAATTTTTACCGAAAGACCCAATAATTAACTAGTGTTAAGTTAGAAGTTAACTATTGAGTGTTTTGGTAAAAAAAATATTATTTTGGGTTTGAGAGATTTAAAAATAAGTTGATGTGATTCTTGGACATAAGATTTTTTTAAAGGGTTTTTTTTTTAATTATCCCAAAAAACAATTCCATTTTAACCAAAAAAAACCAAATCCAAAAACCAAAATTTCAATTTAAAAAACCAAATGGTGTTGTGAAAAATAAAAGATATATGAGAATTTAAAGGAAGGATGGCAAGAAGAAGAATTCACTATAAAGTGAATACCAAGTGAGAAAACTTCAAGTTGTTCTCTTAATCTCTCTACAAACTTGTACATCAACAAATGAACAATCAAGCCTATTTATAGGCCTCAAAATTGAGATGAGAATTGGAAGGGACTATGAATAATTAAAAGTACATCAATTGCATCACCCTTTCAATTTCTCAAATTGAATGGTGAATTGAATCACATTAAGGATCATGAGTAGTGGGGATATGAAAAATAGATGGACATTCATTATTTTATAACACTCCCCTCGAATGTCCATTGTACAAGGAATATGCCTCGTTAAAACCTTACTAAGAAAAAACCCGAGTGGGAAAAAAATCCTAGTGAAGGAAAAAGAGTACATTATTCTTTGCACACATTAATACCTATTTTGGTCTCCCCTGTTGAAGACATTATTTAAGATCTCTAAGACGACGCATTCTAATCTTGTGAATCATCTTCTCAAAAGTTATGGTAGGTAATGCCTTAGTGAACAAATCTGCTAGATTGTCACTTGAACGAATTTGTTGAACATTAATATCACCATTTCGTTGAAGATCATGTGTGAAAAATAATTTTGGTGATATATGTTTCATTCTGTCACCTTTGATGTATCCTTCCTTTAATTGAGCTATGCGAGCGGTATTGTCTTCATACAAGACTCGTTGGAACTTCCTTGCTGGTGGATAAACCGTATGTCTCTTGAATATGATGGGTCATTGATCTTAACCAAATACATTCTCGACTTGCCTCATGAATTGCTAGTATTTACGCATGGTTTGAAGATGTGGCGGCTATAGTTTGCTTCATAGAACGCCATGATATAGTTGTATCTCCATATGTAAATACATAACCGAGTTTGAGATCGAGCTTTGTGTGGATCGGATAAATAACTCGCATCCGCATAACCAATTAATCCATTCGTTGATTTGTTAGAGTAATATAAGCTCATATCACTTATTCCTCGAAGATAACGTAATATATGTTTAATTCCATTCTAATGTCTCCGTGTTGGAGCGGAACTATATCTTGCTAATAAATTTACGAGAAAATGCTATATCGGGTCGGGTATTATTAGCAAGATACATTAATGCACCAATTGCACTAAGGTATGGTACTTCGGGACCAAGAAGTTCTTCGTTATCTTCTCGAGGTCGAAAAGGGTCCTTTTGAACATCAAGTGAACGAACTACCATTGGGCTAGTTAATGGATGAGCCTTATCCATATAGAATCTTTGTAGTACTTTTTCTATATATGTTGACTGATGAATAAAAATTCCATCTTTTAAGTGTTCGAACTGCCGTCCGAGAAAAAATTTTGTTTTTCCAAGATCTTTCATATCAAATTCTCCTTTTAAATAATTTATGGCACTTAAAATCTCTTCGGGAGTTCCAATTATATTTAAATCGTCAACATATACAGCAATTATCACAAACCCCTTTTCGAATTTCTTTATAAAGACACATGGACAAATTGGGTTATTTTTATAACCTTCTTTTAATAAATAATCACTAAGACGATTATACCACATGCGTCCAGATTGTTTCAATCCATATAGAGATCTTTGTAATTTAATTGAATACATCTCTCGAGAATGTATTTTACATGCTTCGGGCATTTTAAGTCCTTTTGGGACTTTTATATAGATATCATTATCAAGTGACCCATATAAATAGGTCGTTATTACATCCATTAAATGCATATGAAGTTTTTCACATGCTTGTCAAGCTAATAAGATAGCGAAATGTAATTGCATCCATTACGAGAGAATATGTCTCTTCATAGTCAATGCCGAGTCTTTGTGAAAACCCTTGCGCTACAAGTCTTGCTTTATATCTCACAATTTCATCTTTTTCATTTCGTTTTCGCACAAATACCCATTTGTATCCTATTGGCTTAACATCTTCGGGTGTTTTAACTATGGGTCCAAAACTCGCTCGTTTTGTGAGAGATTTTAATTCTTCCCGAATTGCATCTTTCCATTTAGGCCAATCATCTCTATGTCGACATTCTTCAATGGATTTAGGCTCGGGATTCTTATTCAAGATATCAATTGCCACGTTATATGCAAAGATGTTATCAATGAATGTTTCTTTTCGGTCCCATACTCTCCCTGTGTTAACATAATTTATCGAAATTTCTTGATTTTTCTCAAGCATTTGGGCTTCTTACGGAAGCTTGTTATCAAAAACATATTGGACCATTTTATCTCGTCTCCTTTATATTTTCATCTTGATTATTTTCCCTTTTTTTCTTTCGAGGATTTTTATCTTTAGAACCGATCGGTCTTCCACGCTTCAAGCGTGTTTTAGATTCATTTGTTATAACATTAATAGGTTGTCCTACTGGGACATCAATTTTAATAGGAGCATTCTCGGCGGGAACATGTGATTTAGTTACTCTCTTTGGATCGAGAGAATGCATCCGACGGTTGGTTTGCAAGACTTTGTAAATGAATTATCCTTTGAACTTCAAGTTCACATTGTTTTGTACGGGGATCAAGATGATATAAAGATGAAGTATTTCATGTAATTTCTTTTTTCAACATTTCTAATCGCTTATTCCGTTTATTTTCTCCCCTAATGTTGGAAAAATTGTTTCATCAAAATGACAATCAAGCAAAACGAGCCGTAAAAACATCCTCTCGTTAATGGTTCAAGATATTTAATTATAGAAGGAGATTCATATCCAACATATATTCCCAATCTCCTCCGAGGACCCATTTTAGTTCTTTGTGGAGGAGTAATTGGGACATATATCGCACATTCAAAAATCCTTAAATGAGAAATATTAGGCTCATGACCGAAACCAATTGAAGGGGAGATAATTTTTGATAACTTGTAGGCTCGATGCGAATAAGTGTTGCTTTGCATGTAAAATTGCATGTCCCCAAACATAAACAGGAAGTTTTGTTTTCATAAGTAATGGTCTAGCTATCAATTGGAGGCTTTTGATAAATGATTCCGCTAGACCATTTTGAGTATGAACATAAGCAATAGGTCGTTCAACTCTTATTCCAATAGACATGCAATAATCATTAAAAGCTTGAGATGTAAATTCATCGGCATTATCAAGGCGAATTGTTTTAATGGTATAATCTGGAAATTGTGCTCGTAATCGAATTATTTGAGCAAGTAACCTCGAAAGCGCCGGGTTTCGAGTTGATAATAAACATACATGTGACCATCTTGTAGATGCATCTATTAAAACCATAAAATATCTAAATGGTCCACATGGTGGATGAATTGGTCCACATATATCACCTTGTATACGTTCTAAAAATGCTTGGAGAGTCAATCTCAATTTTATTTGGTGAAGGCTTAATAATAAGTTTGCCTTGAGAACATACGGAACATGAAAACTCATTAGATTGAAGAATCTTCCGGTTCTTCGAGTGGATGTCCATACGAATTTTCAATAATTTTTCGCATCATAATGAATCCAAGATGGCCTAATCGATCATGCCACAAAATAAAAGGATTAGTAAACTTCGGTTTACTATGGCATTTGTTTCAATCCTTTGAATATTTGTATAATAAATGCCGAAGAGAAAGCGAGTAATTTCTCCAATACATATTTTCTACTCGATTTAATTTTTGTAATATATAAGTACTCAATATTCTCAATATTTGTTGTCTCAATATGATATCCATTTAAACGAATATCTTTAAAACTTAATAAATTTACGTAGGACTTAGGAGAGAATAATGCATCATCTATAATCAAATTTGTCCCTCCAAGTAGTAATATATTTGCTCTTCCGGAGCCATTAATTAAATCAACACTACCGGATATAGTGTTAACATTAGCCTTGCCCATCGTTAAATTGGAGAAATACCTTTTATTTTTAAGTATAGTATGTGTGGTTGCAGTATCCACGAGGTATAGATTCTCCTCCATGACGTTTAAACCAATTGCAAACTTGGTAATATCAATATATTCTTCATAAACACAAAAACAAACAAATAAATAAAAATGAAAACTAATATGATGAAATAAAAATAAAACATAAAACTTCTTTATTTATCAAAAGGTAACAAAATTTCAAACAATTATCATTAACTTAATAATTTTTTCTTTCGGAATCTTCAAAGAAATCAGCAACATCTAAATGTGTTAAGTTACCGAAATCTTTAAGAGGAACATTGTCACAAACATTATTTTGATATATAAAATTTTCTTCTATATCATTTTCTTTCTTTTTCAACAAGGCTTGATAAAGCTCAACTAGGTGTTTTGGCGTACGACGAGTACGCGACCAATGTCCCTTCATACCACATCTATAACATTCATTTTCGGAGTGCTTGACTTGATCCACCTTTATTCTTTTCTTGTTTCTTTTCATAATTTATCCACTTCGGGGATGAGGTATATTATTATTACCACCACGATTATAACGATAATTATTCCGACCACGACTAATGCCACGACCACGTCCACGTCCATGGTTACGGCCACGACCACGTCCACGCCCAAAATTATTATAAGATGTCACATTCACTTCGGGGAATGGAGTAGATCCGATTGGGCGGGATTCATGATTTTTCATTAGTAGCTCGTTATTTTGTTCGGCCACAAGTAGGCATGAAATCAATTCGAGTATTTCTTAAAACCTTTTTCTCGATATCTGTCGTTGCGAGAGCATATTCGAGGCATGAAAAGTAGAGAATGTTTTCTCTAACATATCGGAATCGGTAATATTTTCTCCACATAATTTTAGTTGGGAACCGATTCTAAATACTGTAGAATTATACTCACTTATGGTTTTAAAATCTTGTAACCTTAAGTGCATCCAATCATAACGAGCTTTTGGAAGAATTACCGTCTTTTGGTGGTTGTATCTTTCCTCTAAATTTTTCCACAGTTCAAGTGGATCTTTCACTCGTTAAATATTCGGTTTTCAAATCTTCATGGAGATGATGACGAAAGAAGATCATTGCCTTAGCACGATTTTGCAAGGATTCTTGATTATCATCCATGATTGTTTGTCCAAGGCCATTAGCATTTAAATGTATCTCGAGCATCAAGCACCCATGATAAATAATTCTTGCCCGAAATGTCAAGGGCCACAAAATCAAGCTTTGTGAGGTTTGACATGATAAAAATTCTATAATACAAGATATAATAATGATGTTAGAAAATGAAAACAAACATAATAATAATATTCAAACTTCTCAAAACAACATGCATTGGATTATTAGAATATATATTAGATTATTCAAGTTTTCAAATATACATTATATGTACTATTAGATTTAAAATAAAAGATAGATTAGGTACATACCTCTTAATAGGCTAGATGATTTGCGTCGTTTGGTAGAACAATCGTGCTAATAACGTGTTGTGAAAAATAAAAGATATATGAGAATTTAAAGGAAGGATGGCAAGAAGAAGAATTCATTATAAAGTGAATACAAGTGAGAAAACTTCAAGTTGTTCTCTTAATCTCTCTACAAACTTGTACATCAACAAATGAACAATCAAGCCTATTTATAGGCCTCAAAATTGAGATGAGAATTGAAAGGGATCGTGAATAATTAAAAGTACATCAATTGCATCACCCTTTCAATTTCTCAAATTGAATGGTGAATTGAATCACATTAAGGATCATGAGTAGTGTGGATATGAAAAATAGATGTACATTCATTATTTTATAACAAATGGTAATTTTATGTAGTTTTTTTTAGCCAAAAACTAACAGCTAGTCATATCAACCGTTGTGTCCTTTGAAATTTTAAATTTCTAAATATAGAAAACACTTTTAATTTCTTATTCCATTGAATCGATCTTTTTTCTCACCGTTTCTACTTTCTGCATGATTGACAATTGAGCTTTAAAATTGGATACGAAACGCGTCTGTCATATCCCACCGTTTCCGCCTCTCTAACTGAATTTTTTAAAACGTTATAAATTGAGGGGGCGAACTGAAACACTCACGTCTACATCATCCCCTTCTAATCTTCCTCCAGTAACTTTGTCTCTGCGTTTTTCTTCACATTCCAACTCTTTTGCTTCGCCAAAATGGCACAGCTAATCCCAAGCCTCCCTAATGACATTGCTACCGAATGCTTAATACGCTTACCTCTTCAGCAATTTCCTGCGGCAACATTGGTATGCGAAGATTGGAAACATGAAATTGAGTCACCAGAATTTTTTCGAAGTAGAAAGGCGACTGGTCATGGCCAACCCGTTCTTGTTATGGTACAAGCAAAGGTTGATGAAGAAACAGAATGTAGCCATGAGAAAAATCTAAGCACTCCAATTTACAGGCTTGCATTTTGTGATCTTAAAACAGGAACATGGGGTGAGTTGCAGCCCATTCCAGAATTCTCAAAAGGGCTGCCAATGTTTTGCCGATTGGCAGTGGTTGGTTTAAATTTGATGGTGATTGGCGGGTGGGATCCCGAAACTTGCAAGGTATCTAATGCTGTGTTTATATACAGTTTCGTCTCGGCCACGTGGCGTCGTGGGGCTGATATGCCAGGTGTGAAGAGGTCATTTTTTGGGTGTGCATCAGATTTTAATGGCAAAAAGGCGTATGTTGCAGGTGGACATGACGAGGAGAAGAATGCATTGACATCTGTTTTGGAATATGACGTGGCAAAGGATGAGTGGGTCAAATTGCCTGACATGGCAAGGGAGCGTGACGAGTGCAACGCTGCTTTCCACTCTGGCAAACTCCACGTCATTGGTGGTTACTCCACGGAAGCACAAGGTGTATTTGAAGGAAGTTTTGAGACCTTTGATTTTGTCGAGTGGATTCAAGTGCAAGAGAGCTTTTTAGGACCAAACATGAGTCCGAAAACTTGCGTGGCTGATGGTAATGGAAGGTTTTACACGTGTCAAGGTGGTGAGATGGCTGCATATGAGGATGACAGTTGGCGGAAAATTGTTGAATTGCCTGCAGATATGGGCGCCGCTGACGGTGTGGTGATGACGGGGCAGAATAAATTACTTGTGATTGGGTCTGGGAATGATGACCCACGTACGTATCATGAGTTGGATCTGGAGAGATGCATATGGAGAAAGTTGGAGGCCCCAAAACAGTACTTGGGTCATGTTCAATCGATTTGTTTTGTGGAGGTCTGAGTTTTGCTCATATTGTGGCACAAGATTTTAACTGATGGAAGAGATATTAACTCATTATTGTATTTGTTTATGTATTATTATTGTCATTTTTTATTCTATTATTTTTTTATGAATGTATATCATCATGTTTGTTGAATGAAAAAGTGGAGCTATTAAAGAGAGTGGTTTAAATAGGCATAATTACACCATAAGTACACAAATGTTTATTTATTTATTTTTTATAATTGAATATATAAATTTTAAATTTTTTTTTGTTTGAGTATTTTTTTTTTCAAAATTGATAATCAAATATTTTTATCAATTTTTCCGTTAAGTGATGGTGTCTTCGTTACTTCTAGAATATCAAATTATAAATTTGTCCTTTTTTCAATTTGGTATGAGTATTTTAATTTTTTTAGTTTGATTATATTATTTTTTTAAAAAACTATCAATCGAGTATTTTTACCTTGAATAACAATTCATAATTTTTTTTCTTTTTGAAACTTTTCTCCTAAATGCTCACAAACAATGAATATTTTTTTAATGAAAAAACACATTTGTGTTTTCTTTTAATTTTCACACCTAAACCTACATGCGTTTAGTTTGAATTTTTATAGTTAAAAAATATATTTTTTTTTTAATTCTTTGTCAAATTTTAGAATGATTGAATAATTTAAGAGGGAAGTTCCCTCTAACAAAAAGAGGACAAGTTTAGTATTTGATATTATGAGGATAATTGATATTTTATCAGTTAATAGAGAAATTTGCATAAGTATTTGATTGATAATTTAAAAAAAAAATGAAAAAATTCATGCAACAAGTTGCATGTCGAGGGGCTCCTTTCCTTCGAGGCGGCCGTTTAGCCTCAAGGCGTCGAAGTAAGGAGGCCGCTATAAGTCCTACCGCCATGAGTTCTTCTATTGCTTCGGGACCAAGGTATTTTCCTCGCTCCTCGCTAAAAGAGTTTCTCCTAAGAAAGGATCTTTTTAGAAGTAACTCCATTTTGTGGATTAGGGAAAGAGAAGAGGTTATCCGTCGACTCGAGCAAGTTTCTTTGCTTCTCGCGTACATGTAGAATTTTGAAGGTCATTCTTTGGCCAACGACACAAGGAGGGCTATGGAACTTACTTTGTTTGAAAGTACTCTCTCTTGTTATTATTATCATTATTATTTTTAATTTTACTCCTATGATGTTGACATAGTGATGCGCGCGAGCCTTCCAAGCGCAAGCCTATAGACTTCGTAGGTGAGAGGTAAATGAGAAAGAGAAATCCGTGGTTGCCAATCTAATTGGCGAGTATAGGACAACCATCTAGTCAAAAGGACATGAAGATGTTATTCTTTCGTATGGAGATGGAAGTCAAATTAAAGGAGGTGAACGACTTCCTAGCCAAGTGTCACGGATTTGGCCTTTCCCAAGCTCACGTGCGGCACTCGGCTCTCTTCTTCTCTAAGACAAACCAAGTCGACCTTCCTCACACAAAGTTGCTAAGCAAGAAAGACACACACAAAAGATATAAATACTCTTTGTATTGCTTTCTAAAAGCTTACAACTCTAAAGACACACTCTCTTAAGTTTATGAATGTCTAGGTGTCTTGGCCAAGTGAGGGCCTCACCTATTTATAGCCTTCCACCTCCTCAATGGATGGCTAGGATCTATTTAATCTAATGGTTATAATTGGTTCTCTAGAAATATCCTATCTAGATATTTACAAGGAACTATCTAGATATACACATGCTAGATTAGTGAAGGACTCTCTAGAATTCTCTAGATCATCTTAGAGACTTCTCCAATGCTCCATATTCTGCTGAAGTTTCCAGCTTTATCTGGAGGCTTCTCCTTTGCTCCATGCTCTTCTGAAGCTTCCGGACTTATCTAGAGGCTTCTTCATTATTCCATACTCTTCTGAAGCTTCTAGACTTATCTAGTGTTCTTTAGAATCTCTAGAAAAATCCTTCTTTTAGGCGGAGCGTAACACTCTCCCCCACCTAATTCGGCGACGTCCTCGGCGCGCCTTCATTATACTCTTCGACCTTCCGTGCGAACCGCCACAAGGCTTCGGCGGGTTCCCAACTAGCCTCGCTATCAAGTAGTCCCTTCCATTTTACGTAGTACTCCTTCCTCGGTGGCACTCCACGATGTCTAACTATGCGATCATCAAGTATGACATCAACTTCTTTATCATAAGAGTCAACCACCGCCGTAGGCGCCCTATAAGAAACTCCTCGGCTTGGATCCTCCTCGTCCACATGGTATGGTTTTAGCATACTAACATGGAATATCGGATGGATCTTCGCCTTCGATGGCAACTCTAGGCGATAGGACACCTTCCCACCTTACGCACTACCTCAAATGGTCCTTCATATCGTTGTATGAGGCCTTTGTGCACCTTTTGAAATGCTTTATGTTGCTTCTGGTAGCAACTTCAGCATCACCTTGTCACCGAGTTGGAAGGTGACATCTCTTCGTCTCTTGTTAGCCCACTTTTTCATCTTCTTGGCAGCCTTGTTTAAATACATTCGCGTCAAGTCTACCTCGCTCCCGCCATTCTTTGGCCAACGAATATGTATTTGGTCGCTTTCTTGGTACTTGTCACCAAGCACCATCGTATGTGGAGTGAGTGGTTGCTGGCCCATCACAATCTCAAATGGACTCTTGCCGGTAGACTCACTCTTTTGCAAGTTATAGGAGAATTGGGCAACATCTAGCAACTTAGCCCAATCTCGCCGGTTGGCACTCACAAAGTGCCTCAAGTATGTCTCCAGTAAGGCGTTAACCCTCTCGGTCCGTCCATCCGTTCGAGGATGAAAACTTGTGGAGTAATGGAGCTTCGAGCCTAGTAACTCAAATAACTCCGTCCATAGCTTCCCAGTGAATCGAGGATCTCGATCACCGATTATATGTCACGAGCACACCCCAATACTTCACCACATATTTAAATAGTAGCTTAGCGGTGTTCTCGGCCGTCACATCTCGCTGGGGCCGGTATGAAAGTGGCATACTTGGAGAACTTATCCACGACTACGATAATGCTCCTAAAGTTCTCCGATTTCGGCAAAGCCACTATGTAGTCCATGGTGATTGTCTCCCATGGTCTCTCCGCGATAGGCAAAGGTTGCAATAGACCTTCGGGCGTTCGATTTTTAACTTTATCTTGCTGGCACACCGGACATGTTCTCACATAGGACTCCACATCATCACACAACCGTGGCTAAAAGTATGCTCCCTCCAAGAAGGCTCTAGTGCGTTGTTGTACTCGGATGACCGACCCACATCGAGTCATGGCATTCCTTTATCAAATCTCGTCGGAGGTTTCCCCACCTAGGTACATAAATCCTCCTCCCTTTTGTGTAGAGAATGCCATCCTCCTCCCAAAATTTTCAAGTTTTGCCCTCCTTTGCAAGGCTCAACAAACTCTTGACGATGGGATCATGCTTCGCTCCTTCCTTGATTCCGGCCACAATCTCCCCATCCACCTTCGTCATGTGATGCAACTCGGCCTTTCTACTAAGTGCATCGGCCACCACATTGGTCTTGCTCGGCTCGTACTCAAAGATAAAATCAAATTCGACAAGAAAGTCTTGCCATCGAGCTTGCTTCGGCGTCAACTTCTTTTGAGTTTGAAAGTAGCTTGTGGCTACGTTGTCCGTCTTCATCACAAATCGGGACCCTAGCAAGTAGTGTCTCCAAGTGCGAAAGCAATGCACCACTCGCGGTCATCTCCTTCTCTTGCACCGAATATCATCGTTCGGTGTCATTTAGCTTTCGGCTCTCGTAAGCTATAGGATGTTGTTCCCGCATCAACACACCACCTATAGCAAAATCGAAGCATCGGTGTGTACCTCATAAGGCTTGGTTGGGTCGGCCAAGCTCAACACCGGCTCCTCGATGACGAACTTGCTTTAACTCTCCAAAAGCCTTTTGGCATTGGTCACTCTACTCAAATCGCTTGTTCTTCTTCAACAAGTCGGTGAGAGGGGTCGCCTTCTTCGAGTAGTCACGGATGAAGCGTCGATAGTAATTGACTAATCCAAGAAAAGAACGAAGCTCGAGTACCTTGGTTGGCTATTCCCATTCCGAGATAGCTTTGACTTTGGCTTCATCCATCATCAACCTTCCCCCTTAATCTTATGTCCTAGGAAGAGTACTTCCTCTTTTGCAAAGAAGCACTTCTCCCTTTTGACATACAACTCATTTTCCCTTAGTACCTTGAATACGGTACGTAGGTGGTCTAGATGCTTCTCTAATATAGTAGCTATAAACCACGATATCATCAAGATATACCACTACGAACCGATCAAAGTATGGTTGAAATACCTTATTCATTAAGGTGCGGAAGGTAGCAGGGCGTTAATCAAGCCAAATGGCATAACAAGGAATTCATAGGAACCATACCTTGTCACGTATGCTGTCTTTGGCACATCTTCGGTGGCAATTCGAACTTGATAATACCCCGATCTCAAATCAAGCTTGGTGTAGAACCGAGCTTTTCCCAACCGATCAAACAAGTCCGCTATCAATGGGATTGGATACTTGTTTTTCACCGTGACCTTGTTTAATGCCCGATAGTCCACGTACATTCTCAACGACCCATCGTGCTTCTTTTGGAACAACACGGGCGAGCCATAAGGTGACTTGGAGGGTTGTATTTGTCCGGCCTCCAACATGGTCTTTAACTCGCTTCCTCAATTCCTCCAACTCGGACGGGGCCATTCGATAAGGTGTCATGGATGGCGGTTTGGCACCCGACACCAATTCTATTTGGTGATCGATTTCTCTTTTAGGTGGCAACTTTTTGGATAACTCTAGTGGCATCACATCATCAAATTCGGCCAATACATTGGCAATCTCCTCGGGTATCTCCGTGCTCTCATCTTTCACCATCCCATATTCTCTTAAAGTTACCAAGTATGTGACTTCCCTCTCTTGAAGCCTTTCTTTACTTGCATAGCCGATAGATGCTTCAAGCCCGATCTAGCGTGCACCTTGGCCGGCACCATGCATGACATTTCTTTTTTCATGATCACCATTTGCTCCAAGTGAGGTGTAGGCACGGCTTTCGCTTGTTTAAAGAACTCCATGCCTAGCACAACCTTGAAGTCATCCATTGTGATAATGGTGAAATATAGCATCCCTTTCCATGCACCTATGCCAAGTTTTACCCCATACGCTACGCCATAAGTAGGCTTAGGAGAAGCATTCACGGTCTTCATGCTACTTGATGACTTGGTCACCACCAAGCCAAGTCTTTTGGCCTCCTCCTCGACCATGAAATTATGTGTGGCTCCGGTGTCCAGCATGGCAAGCGCGGCCTTGCCATTCACGTCCACCTCCACATACATAAGCCCATCCTTTGATGGCACCTTAGGTGAGGGCTTGACATTCAAGGTATTGAGAAGCCGCAACGATCCTATATGATTCTCGTGCTCGGAGGCACATTCCTTCTCCTCCATCAAGGCATCGAGGGCTTGTCGCTTCGGGCAATCTCTCCACCGATGTGACCCATTGCAAAAGTAGCAACCTTTAGGCTTGAATTCTCTCCTATCATGTTCTTTGACAAAGCTCTTGGACTTATGTGTTTTGTCTTGCCCATCTCTATACCCCTTCCTTTCATAGGCTCCCCCACCTTTGCCCTTGCAGTCTTTCTTAGGCTTGGAGGGTTCCGCCCTTTTATTATATTCAATTAGGGATTCGGCTATGGTCACGGCTTCGACGAAGGTCTTAGGCCGTCGACCTCGCACCTCTTGTTGTGCCCATGATTGAAGTCCCTTAATAAAATCATACATATGATCATAGTCGGGTTTACCACGTACCCGAAGCTTAAGAAAAAGATATTCTCGGACATACTCATGAATAGTTCTCGTATGCTTCAATGTTCGTAGCTTGTCCCGTGCTTCCCAATCAGCTTCCTTGGGGTAGAATTGAGCATACATGGCTTCTTTGAATTCATCCCAACTAGGCAACTCTAGATTCTCCTCTTTGAGCTCTTGGTGCTTCATACGCCACCATAAAGCGAGCATCCTCCGAAAGATAGAGGGTAGCGGTCTCGACACGACTTCTATCCTCGATCAAGCCCATTGCCTCGAAATATTGCTCTACTTGCCAAAAGAAGTCGTCCACCTCCTCGGCATCTCGCTTGCACGATATAGTGCCTTGGTCGTGGCACTTCAACTTTTGGTGTGTCCCTTAAGACCACACCATTCGAGATAGCCTCTCGACAATTTGCCCAATCTTTTCTAAGTTGTTCAAGAGTTTGCTCATACTCGGTCATATACTCTTGATGTTGCTTAAAGCTCTCCTTCGTCCATTCCATGAAGGCATCCTTTTCGGCGGCGCTCTCCTTGGCACACCTCTTAACCGTTTCCACTCGAGCTTGAAGATTGGAGAGCACCTCACGTAGGCCTACCATGCCTAATGTCTCCCCCTCATCATCTCCTTCTATCTCCTCGAGTCTCTCTTTGAAATCGACAAGGTGTTCCTCCGCCCTCACGAGTCGCTCCTCCAAGGAGACTAATACGTCACGAGACTTCCCCTTCCTTTCTTAGATCGAGGAGGTAGAGTCTCATTCCTAGCATCCATAAGCAACATCCTTCATGCCCAAGCTAGACATTCTTACTCTCTTGAATACTTTAGCTAGCGGCAAGCTTACTCCCACTTTAATAAAACTCGGCTCGATACCACTTGTCACGGACTTGGCCTTTCCTAAGCTCACGTGCGGCACTTGGCTCTCTTCTTCTCTAAGACAAACCAAGTCGACCTTCCTTACACAAAGTTGCTTAAGCAAGAAAGACACACACAAAAGATATAAATACTCTTTGTATTGCTTTCTAAAAGCTTACAACTCTAAAGACACACTCTCTTAAGTTTATGAATGTCTAGGTGTCTTGGCCAAGTGAGGGCCTCACCTATTTATAGCCTTCCACCTCCTCAATGGATGGCTAGGATCTATTTAATCTAATGGTTACAATTGGTTCTCTAGAAATATCCTATCTAGATATTTATAAGGAACTATCTAGATATACACATGCTAGATTAGTGAGGGACTCTCTAGAATTCTCTAGATCATCTTAGAGACTTCTCCAATGCTCCATATTCTTCTGAAGCTTCCGGCTTTATCTAAAGGCTTCTTCTTTGCTCCATGTTCTTCTGAAGCTTCCGGACTTATCTAGAGGCTTCTCCATTGTTCCATACTCTTCTAGAAGCTTCTAGACTTATCTAGTGTTCTTTAGAATCTCTAGAAAAATCCCTCTTTTAGGCGAAGCGTAACACAAGGCTCTTATCGATGGAGGGGGCTTTTGTGGCTCAAAAGTTGGCGGTGGCAAGAAAGTTGGAGGAGACAGATAGGGTCAAAACCGATTAGAAGTATGACTCCGATTAGATGAAACTTAGTTCCCTTCCTTGGCTAAAACCACATCTAACTTTTTAAGGTGTCTCGCCTGAATATTATCATTCCCATTGTTTACAACTACCAAACTATCAAGAAATCTCGACATGCATTCTGTTCAGCGTCTGAAAGTCCATTTCTGGATTTATCTCCAAACCCAAACTCCTCGTTATTCTCATGAGCCCATCTGACTGCAAATAAAACCCAAGGTAGGTCCATGAATTGGTTTGAAACCATTTTAAACGGCCTCCTCTACCTCTACCCTCTCTTCAAGGAGTTCGACTTAAATCTAAGGTAGGTCCATAAATCTGTTTAAATCCTAGATGATCATCTCCCAGACAACGTGGGCTTAACGCTGCCAACTTGCCTTGAAGGTGAATACCTAACTACATTAACATGTAAATCTCCTCTGCTCTTGCCGTCCTCCATCAGTCTTTCAACTACACACAAAACCAAAAATATTATCCACACCGTTTGCTACAGAATTACCTGAAAAATCAGCACAACTATAGAGACTTGCACTGGTCTAAATGTCTAATGCTGCTCTTAAAAGTTCACCTGAAACAACACAAATAGAAAAAAGAAAGAAAGAAAAGAAAAATATAGTGATTGCTTTCTGATGAAACATCAGTTTTTTTTTTTTTTTTTTTCACTTTCTGTGTATCTTTACATTTTTTTCGACAGCCAAGCAGTTGCCTAAGAGAAAGAGAACTAGTGCATCGAATAAGACAAAAAAGAAAAGCCTACTAAAATTAAAGTCATGATAAAAAAGTTAAAAATTAAGATTCTCTTTTCTTTTCCACAGAGTACAAGAAAGCTTAATTTACTGATGCAGCCAAAGCTAAATTGATGGAATAAATATAACAACAGATATCATTTTTTCCCGTTTTCTACACTTCATCGGCAACCAAACAGAGACCAATGACAACGAATGATCATAAAGTGATACAACTGTAGATTTTACTAAGCATTAATCAGAATCTTCCAGAACTGTATTGGAGCTACAATACAAAGTAACTTAGTTTTGTTTTGTCTTATTTTCCTACATTACTTTCTCAGCAGCCAAACAGAACTTATAGTAATTAAAACACATCAACAAAAAGTATCTTAACAGTCTGTAACTTATCATACAATGAAGCCAAAGTGAGAAAGAGAGGAAAGAAATTACTTCCGATTTTTTGACAGAAACAGAAGATCTTCAATGCTGTTTATTTTTCTACACATTTTTTCAGTCAGAATCTAAATAGCTTTCAGGGTGCCAAGTATGTGCTCGGCACAATTGACACATTCTGATGCATGAAGCCCTAGGACATGCAAAACGTTGAATGAGAAATCCCAGCTCAAGCTGAGATTAGACCCTATCCTAGCTTGAAATTCAAGATAAGACTATTCTAAGCAATTTTGGAATATGGCGAAACATGTGTGTTTGTGCAAGAATAGGAAATGAATTTTTCCATGAAAGGATCACAAGAGTTATAAATATAATAAGGATCTACCACCGAGCCTGCATACATCAAATAAAGAGAAAAAGACCAATGGAATTTTGCGATTTTAATTTGATAGAATGTGGCGGAAGGCTGCATGTAGCACAAGATGAGAGTGTAAATTTTGCATTAGATATAATGCAAATATATTTCAGGAAATGCACAACATGACTATAACTATTAAATACATCAACACATTTTCACCAAGGACATCACCATACCAAAACATTTCTCCTTCTAGTCAGTTGTAGGCAGGAAGCATACACATTTCAAGCTATTGCAACTCCCAAGAACAACCTTATGAGGAGCCAAATTACATCCATATCAATGCTTCAAGAGTTCGTTTAGATAAGTGTCACCAGTTCATAGTGGAACAGAGAATGAAAGAACTAGAAGATCACATGAATTGCCAGGAACTGTAATTTGTAGGAAAGATCATTTATATCCTACACAAGCACCAGCAATATCTCCCAGTATAATGCCACATGTAACACATTTTTCTTGATTGCCTCCATATGTTTGTGTAGCTCCTTAAAGTAAAGCTGGAAAGCAATAGCATGATGGATTCTTCAAGGTGCCTCTTGGTTTTCAGTTTCACACAGAAAATGGCAACAAGCACTGGTCACAATAGCCAACCACATACAATTTCAATTTGCAATTTTGTAGACTAATAGAGCTTGCATTTGTTTGTTCCAACACAGACAGCACATTCATTAGCATCTCCTGCTACATGGCTTAAACAGTAGTTGATCCTATCATTCACAACATCCTGCAGTATGAATCACTTCACTTTAGAATAACAGGCAATCAGCTTCCATACAAAAGTAATTATTTATGCGGGTAGGGCGAGACGTGGTCACAGCTGCTGGGGAAAAGTTAAAAGCTCGAGCAAAAGGGAGGCCAACATCAGAAAGATGCTTAAGGATATCCACAAAAATGTTCTCGATGAAAAAATTAAATTGTCAATGTGGATGTGGAAAGAGCAAATTGTTATCAGAAGGGAAAGTGGAAGAGCGTATGATTATATTGCATCCATTGGCAGTAGCTAAATACTTGATCAAAAATAGATAACATAAGCAAACCATAAATTTCACTAACAGTTTGGAAATATGGCAACACTATACAGACTTATGTAGAGATTATGGTAGACAAGATACATACCACAAGTAGCTTGTGCAAGCCAAGAGGTGCAGTTATGATATATGAGACACCCGGATGCTCCTTAGCAGCTTCAGCAGTCAATGAAGGAATATCCTTTCGAATAAGATAGAGCAGAACATTCGTTAGTACCACGTGTAAAGCTGTAAGAAGAACAGTTAAATGTATAACCAGTCGAGGAAGAAAATTAAAATGAGGAACCTGGTGCCAATGTCTTCCGGGAAAGAGAAAGAATGGGCTCAAAATCACACGATCCGCCCCTTGTTGAACACATAAACCAAAAGCATCTCTTATCGAGGGCTCAGCCAGCTCCTGATTGTAGTAAAATGTTAAGAAAAACATTATCTTTCACTTCATGGATGTAAATAGTGGAAGAAGAATTCGGCAGATTTTAAACATGAAAATATAACTCACAAAAATGAAAGGCGCATGCTGATCATAAAGATTTGCTACAACACAATATTACATATGCAAAACCTCTAAGGGGATGAAGAAGCAAATTACCATATGAGCAGGCTCTACAATTGGGTACCGAGTTTTTTCTCTAAACATGGCCACAAACTCATCTGAAATTCACCCACACAATAGTAATTGTAAAGACCACTATATATATATATATATATATATATATATATATATATATATATATATATTTATCAAATAAACTTCAGAAGTTAACAAAAAAAAAAAAAAAAAGCTTACTGAGCATGAGATTTGATTCTTTACGACGTGAGCCATGGTCAACAATGATGAGGCCGTCTTTGTCGCCCACAAAGACCCCATTCCCTCGAGGGTTCTTCTTCGTAATTCCACCATTCCCACTGTTGTTCAAACACAAGCTTCTTCTTGATGAATACTTGTCGTTTTGCAAACTCGAGAATTTGGGGATGAATGCCCATCTCAGATTTCTTCTTGCAGTCGTTTCACTTGCTGAACCACAACTACTTTAATTGCCAAACAAAAGCAGAACCCAGATGAGCTACTGCTTATTTCAAAGAAAAGATATTCAAATTTCAAGCAATAAACTCAACAAAAACATGAATCAGAAGAAGAGACAATAAGTAAGTTAATTTAATTAATTACCTTTTAACGAGATTGAGAGGAGAGACAGATGAGAGAGGAGACGACTCTGACCGCATTTTTTTTCCCCTTTTAGCTGGTTTTGTGATTCTAGTTTACTGAAACGAGTTCGCAGAATTTTTTTTTAAAAAAATAAAAGTTAAAAAGATAAATACGAAGTTGTTGAGACGTGAGAGAGGTGAAACAGTAAAAGGCGAAGGAGGCTTGCGCTTGCCTCTTACAGCTTAACTAGTTTTGGTATTTAATTAATGTCACCGTATAAAAACATAGTGAAATTAGTTTTTATATCAAATATATACACAGTTATAGCCTTATTGGCTTTCTGGCTTGTTAAGCCTTCATGGATTGTCAATTTGTCATAATAGCCTTGATGGTTCATTTCAGATGCTTTAAAACTTCATTACAGCATATTTATGCTATGATTGCTATATGAATCTTGTATTGTTGTTGTTCTTAGATGCTACCAGGTCGTATTTTTCTGTTTTGTGATTATGTTGCTCAAATCATGCATTCACAACGCAAGTAGCATAACACAAACGAATAAACACATAACAAGTTCTCCGTTACAGGTATCCATGCCTGTATAAAACAGTAAAACAATTTGGAAAGCTAAGAAACCCAAAAGCACTCACTGTTCTTAATGCCAATATGGTGCTTTTCACACTTGGCGACTTTGAATTTATCCCTTGAACATATGCAAGTTTTTCACCTCATTCTTCGCCTCACCATTTGTTCCAAAATCTTTGTTCTCGCACCACCAATAAATCTTCTATCATCACAACAATAAAACAATAATTAGGATTGTTTGTAGTCTCCGAAATCCTCAATTTAGCTTTCTACCCACATGTCATGTTCGGTTGACATGTCTTGGATAATCATCGTTTGCCCGACTTGCTGCGCAAAACTTCCCGAGGATTTGAAGGGGTGTATTGAGGAGGAAGATATCTCAATGAACAATTTTTTATATTTGAAAAAAAGGAGGATTTCAATTGTAAAATAGAAGATACTAATGGTTCGTCACTCTTTCTCTTCCTCTCTCGTCTCTCTTTTTTTGTCTTTCTTCTTCTTATTCCCTCTCTCAGCTTCATCTCTTTCTTGTTCTCTTCTTCGCCCAATCCATGGAAGAAACGAATCAAAGATTTCTAGTTCGTTCTCTACTCCTTTCGCTTTCAATCCTTCTTTTCCTCTCACTCTACTAATCCCCCTCTTCCAATTAGATCAAAATTCCAAATTGAAAGTTTTCCTCAATTTGATCGAACCCTAAGTTTTTTATTTTTCAATTTTTCCTTTCAAATGCCCCTAATTGGCTTGATTTCTCTTGAGATCAAGCCAATTCAAACTTAAATGAGTCATTATTTTCAAAAACCCCTAATTCTTTCTCATGGAGCTCATTCGGGTTCTTTTCTTCTTCTTCTATCTTTCCTAAATGTTGCAAGTTTCGTTAAGCAAATCTTTCTTTTATCTAGATGGGTTCTCTCTCTTTTCTCGTAACAATGCTTTTTTAGCACTCGTAGAATGTTGAGGACAATGAGTACCCGGATGGTGTAGAAGCCTACGCTGGAATTTGTGCTTAAAAGGAAAGACATAACGGGGCATGGTATGCCTGTCGCTTTGTTAATTTTCAATAATGAAGTGGCGTTCTCAAAGCGAGTATTGAGTCCATTTGTAGCTTTGGCCGCACCACCAAGAAAGGGAAGAGAAAGTTGGGATTTATTGGAAAGAAAGGTAACAAATAACTCCACTTATATCGTTACTATAGTTTCATGCAAGAGCCGACTACCATATCTAAAATTTTGATTTGATATGCATTTAGTTTGTCCTTCCATTTACACATGTACAAAAGTGACATTCAAGGAAAGTGAGCTTTCTTTGGGATGATTCTCATTTAGCGATGTACTAAAAAACATTTTAATTCGAAATGTTCACGGAATTGATAAAGGTTGCTTCTGAGTCGAATTTTCTCTTTTTTTGCATAAGGAAACTAATATTTTGCAAATGTCATTCCTATATAAATATTCATGTACTTGAACATGCTCGTCGTTGTCCTCTTGTTTGAACTCTGTTATTCCGGATTCACAATTTCATATTTCAATCAATGAGAATTGAAAGCATGCAAGTGTTTTATAGTGAATGAATTTAAGTTCTATGCCGGGGAAATAAAAATGTAACGGATGTAATTTCTTCTTGTGTTTATGGATGAGGATACCGCATATATAAGTTTTGCTCGAAAGATATGGCTTGAAAATGATTAGAGGAGTTAACAATTTGAAGTCCGTCGTATTTTTTATTACTTCATTCGAGTTGTATTTCCTTAGTCGATATCCATCGAGATGGGAACACCCTTCTTTATTAAGTTTTATGTTTTTGTTTTTCTCCGGAAGAGGATATCTTATTCTTTTTCATGGTGGTTTTTTTGAATGCCTTATTTTCTTGTTATTGAAGATCACATTTTATCCATCTAAAAAAGATATTTTTGTGAGTAATAAAAACGAACGTAAAGGAAGGAAAAAAGAAGAAGAGAGGAAGTTCGTTCTAGAAAGAGAGTAAAAGTAATAATGACAGTATTATAATTAGGAAAGCAAAGAAGAGGTCTTAACTAAAGGAAACATTGTTGTATGAACGAGTGTCATCTACATTGATTTGTGCGAGGGTGAACGAGCCTCACCCCCACGTCTTTTAGAGTCTTTTGTAATATTTTGATTTCACTTGCCTAACTTGATGCATAGACCTTATCGAGGAGTTGATGGAGGTGCATTGAGGAGAAAAATATCTCGATTATCAATTTTTGGTATTCTAAGAAAATAGGATTTCAATTGTAAAATAGAAGATAGATTTTGATTTCTCAAAAAGCTACCTTACGACATGGTCGTGAAAAATGAGAGAGAGGAATTTTAGAGGGAAATTCTCAAGTTCATGAGGGTATTGAGTATTGTGTTTGAAAGAGGATGTTGTTGAGAATTTAATATCATTTCATGTGAATTAGATTTTGTGAAAAAATAATCAAACTAAACATACGTAATAATTAAAAATATAAATAAATCAATCAAAAAAGGACAACCGTAAGAATAACAAATTTACGTTGAAAACTCTCTTTATCGTAGAGAGAAAAAACAAGACTAACTTCGAAATAATTCTCTATTCAATAAAGCAATACAATTACCCAAAAAAAATTTATATATAAACTTGAGAAATAAAAATATTAACACTACCTTTTGCAATCTTGCCCAAAAACAATGTTGAAAAAAGCTCAAATATTTTATTCATAAAAAACCCTTATTTTCTTTATATATAATTCATCAAAAGAATAAGAAAAATCCTTATTTCTTTTCCTTTCTCTCATATTGCTCTTTCTTAGCAATTGTGTCAAAAACAAAACACAAAAGACCAATATTTCTTTTGTTTACATTTGTTAGATAAACAGAAAAAACAAAACAAGAAAAAAAAAGGTTTCTTTTTTAGTTTCAAAATAGTCATTTATTTATTACTTTCATAGATTATGTGGGACTGGACCTATTACATACACCTAAAAAAATATCCCCCTTCGATCTATGATGGAAAAATCTCAACTCGTTATTTAAAGTTCATGCAACTATATTGGTACATAGTCCATTTTTTCTATGCGCAATCAATTTTGTCAATATATTAGCATGATCTTTATCTTGGAGAGTTATTCTTTATATCATCAATTATTTTTCCATTATCTCACAAAGCCAATGACATTGTTAGTCATTAAAATTTGATTCCTAATCTTTATCATAATTTAAAATATTTAAAAAAGCTATTTAGTTCTCATTTGTCCATCAACAAGACATTATTAGAATTGAAATTCTCAATAAAAAAATGATATTGACCAATAGACCCAATCACGTGAGGCTCTACATTTTGAAGTTGAGGGTACTACTCTTCCTCGCTCAACACTCTCTCGTGTTCGTATCTTCATCATTACCAATTGTTGACTCAATATAAATTCTATATTCGTCGTTCAATACTCCTTTATATATGGTAATTTTCTTTTTTCTTTTTTTCAAAACGAGTAATGGAATATCTTTTTGATATTTTTTTTTATTCACTTAAGCATATTATTTAAACCATAATTTTAGAAAAGTTCTATAATTGATCGAATTGTTCTCGGGTTTGATCAACTACATTTTCATTTTGTAAATTTTATCACAAATATTATCTCTAGAGATAATTGTTGAGTCATTAACTCATTCAACACGAAAGCTACAACAATGCATTTGTCATCTCCATATGAGAGTGCCTTTACATTTCAATCGAAGTTAGTATTATAGCAATATTCTTGTTATCTTTAATTTGATTCTTCAAATCTTTTAGTTTTGTATTCTATACCTTGCAATTTCTCTTGACGTGAAATTCTTTTCCACCATGATAATATTTAAAACTACCATTGGATTGTGATTTACTTTTGAAATTTACCATGTTTGTTGAATTTTTTATTCTTAGTCCTCCCTATGTTCTCCATAATAAGAATTTGCTCATCATTCACTATTACTTTTTTTCAACTTGTTTCTTGTTAAATAAGCTATCTTTGACAATAAATATTGATAAAACATCGTTCGAAGCAAAATTATTACGTGTCACAATCAAAGTTTCATAGTTGTTTGGTAGAATTTTCAATAGCAATAGTGCTTGTAACTCATCATGTAACACTATTTTCATGGTTATCAACTAATTAATCAAATCCTAAAAGTCACTCAAGTGTTCAACAATAAATTTTTCATCTCTATATTTTCATTTCACAAGCTACCTAACAAAAAAAAATTACATGCAACATTCCTTTCATACATACTCTCCGATGTTTTTTCATAATTCTTAACCATTTGTCTATTTGGATACATGATAAAATACATTATTGTCAATCCATTGTCTAATAGCTCTAATAGCTTTTTTTATGTGTTTTTTTTCCCCAAGCATCACTAATTTTAAGGTGCTTTGGCTTTATCCAATTCAATATAATCAAATAAATCATTGTGACAAAGTAAATCCTTCATCTTTAGCTTTTAAATCGAATAAATCAATGCTATCGGCTTGATCATGG